CGGAGGCAGCGACAGCGTCGGCGACAGAGGCATAAAAGCCAAAATAAGTCAGCAGGCTGAACAGGAATTTAGAGAGCCGCGAAAAGAGAGTGAGTGAGTGAGGGAGACAGCATGGGGGAATGGGGACAGGAATGGGAATGGGAATAATGGGGATCGTGCAAAACAGAACGAAAAAAAAAAAAACGAGGCAGACGGGAACCGAAAAAAATGACAGCAAAAAAAAAACGGGGAAGAGAAGACATTCACACCAACGACAACAACAAATACTACAATTGCCAAACAAGCACATAAATTATAATATTTAAATATAGAACTTTTGCGTTGTTGATTTTCTCTGCTGTCCTGCTGTTGCCGGCTTCCTCTTCTTTTTTGTGCATTCTATTTGCCTCTCCCTCATGATTTTGGACTGCAATTTTGAATATCCGAAATAACTGGAAGTTGCTTTCTTTCCAATTCACACAGACACACTGGGTAAAAAATAACACTGCCATAAATTGTATTATTATGATTATTAGTAATAAATAAATAAATGTGTATCCCAAAATGTTGGCACATTTTTTTCTGATATTTTTTTTATTATTATTTGATTCCGGTTTGGTGCTAAATTGCGCACAAGTGAAATTATCGATACAAAACCATTTCTAGTTGTTATTTGTTATTGTTTTTTGTGTCGTTTTTGGCTTTAGAAATTCGGGGAATTCGTAATAGTTTTTTGATGAATCGAATTTGCATATGTTTTTACCTATTTACGAATGGTAAACAAATGGTTCAGCAATTAGGAGTCTTAAAATAAATATAAAGGTGATTTAAAATAAGGCTTTAACCTTTTAAACTGAATATATTGTACCCTTTACCTTGATCATGTGATTTTTAAGTCCTACTTCTACATTACTTATACTTTCTTAAAAATACTACTTACTCTTAATAATACCTTCAACTTGTTTAAATCTTTATAAACCACCTACTATAATTTCTTACCAATACAATTTCCCTTGTAATTTGATCTGCCAAAAGCCAAAGCTGTAATAATCTCTTTGTTGAATATACAATTTCATTTGCTAACTTTCAACTGATTAATGTCAGCTACAAATACCTCCTTAGCTTTTATTTTTTGTGATCAAAAGTTGAGCTCAATAGGTAAATCCCCCTTCAGCGCGGAACCCACATACATAAATTCACTTTTCGTTTCCTACCAAAAAGCCGCCCACAAAAACCTCACCGAAAAAAAAATACGGCGGGCATTGGGCACATCAAAAAATAGGCCAATAACCAAAAAATGCCATAAACAATTACAAAATTTGTTATTGTTGTTAGTATTGTTGCTGGCGGTGTGCAATTGTTGTGTTCAGCAGACAGGCGAGCAGCTTCTACTGCTTTCGGAAATGCTACGAAAATTGTAAACAAAATTCAAGCACCTCGGATGACGCCTTATCCACCGCAACCAACAATAAATCCAAAATGCGAAACAACCAAAAAAAAGAAGAAAGCTTGATTACTTTTTTAAAACGAAGTTTAAATACCCTTAAATTAGGGTAATAAATACCTTTGAAAACCCATAAATTATAAAAATCTTTTAAAACTAAGGCTTTGAAAAGGAGCTTTTTATTTTATTTATGTGAAATAGATGATTCATTCCAAGTTCAGAATATCCTTTCTCAACTTTATAATAATATATAAACCACAATAATATTATTTAAATTAGGAATACTTAAAAACCATTACAAGCTCCTCAAAAACTCACTATACCTTCCCATAGAGCATATAAACATAAAAAAAACCTTTGGGCGGGCGGCTTTATAAGGCGGACTAATCATGCAGCAACAACTACACTACACACATAACTCTGACATATATGAGTACGCCGAATATTCGAGTTGTTGCCCGTCGTGGTAACGATGGAACGTACCTACATTGACCTACTATTGCGGCAAAATGCTGCGCTATCCGCCGGAGTTGTGATGTAACTGTCCCAAAATGCCGCGCACATATCAACGAGCCAGTTCAAGTCCAAATTCGTGGAGCTCCCTCGCTCGATTCGAATTAAACAAAAGACAAAAATATAAATAAATAAAAAAATAGCAAAAAAAGAAATAGCCAAACCCAACACCAGTGCAACTTTACCGTTAATTTCTTTGTGTTGTGCGTTTGTGTTATTTTTTTATTATTTGTTGTTTGCCAATTTCGCTTTGTTTTCTCGTAATATATTTAATTTTTTTTTTCTGTTTTTCTGTTTATATGTTTTCTTGTTGTTGTTGTTGTAGTTTTCTGCTGGTTTTTATTAGACCGCATTTTTAGAGGTCAGCGCACATTTGGCGCAGCATTGCAATGTTACCTTTACCGCTTGGCTATTTGTCTTTCTTTCTCTGTGTTTGTTTTTGTTTATGCACCATTAAAGCTGAACCTCTGACGGACCCAATTGTTGGTTTTTCCTATATTTTTCTATTTTATTGTTTGCTGCCCCCTTTTTGAGGCGCCACCGCTAGCAAAAGGTACAGTGAAAGCTGCCACAATGTGTACTGCCAGGAAATGTGTCTATAAATTTGGATCTTCCTGCCGTTGTGTACACCTGGGCGTATGCGTAATATAAGCGGTCATATTACTCATACGCCCAGTATGCCGCAAATACAGGAAGCAAACCGCACACGTTTCGCACGATATAAATACTATTTTTAAAGTAAATAAATATAAGTACCGTAAATATTTCTATGAATGCATTGCGGTTTGAGTTGAACGTATATAATTTACATTTTTCTTAAATTTTAATATAAAAAACTTAAATGTATATATCATAATGAATAATTAATACAAGTTTAGTATAAGTATTTGTGGGAATTTTCATTCAAATGTAATCCATTAATGAACCTAAGTACTTTGCTACAAAAATATCAATGATTTATTAAGTTAAAACCCAAAGGCTAAAATTAAGCACAGTTTTTTCTCATCACATGTTCTTCTATTTAGTTTTGTATTTATTCTTTATTTTTTGCAAATTTGCAACGTCATTTGCATGTCATCGATTTATTGTTGAGAACTTCACTCAAATCAACTCGTCGGCGGACACCTGCAACAAATTACGCATACGCCGCGTATGCCTCAGTAAACAACAACACGTGAGCACTTCCCCACGGAAAAAACGGAAAAACTAAGAGGAAAAATAAAATTTGAGAAAAAAAACTAAAAGAAAATACTTACACACACACACACACGAGAAATATCGAGGCAAGTGACAGGCATTTCCGACATTTCCACTTCGACAAGCGATTAAAGCCCAAGTAAATAGAGTAGAAACTAAAGGAAATTCTCGAAACGAAAACCTGGCGAAAATTATATTTATAATTTCCGTTTAAAAAGTTGCTGCAACAGCAGCAGCAGCAGCAACAGCTAGCTAATTGTGGCCAGGGGTGGCATTCAGGGGGAGATGGCAGGGGAATGTGCGCTTTGTAACCATTGCAACCGCACAGCTGTTTTGTTGCCGCGCGATTTCCGTCACGACTTTTTTTTATTTTCATTTTTATTTTTATATTTTTGTGGGTAAATACGCTTTTGTGCCATATTTTGTTCGCTGTTGCTGCCGTGGCTTTACATATAGAAAAAAATATGGGTTTTTGCACGCAGAGAAAACATGTAAAAAAAATTGTATTTGTAATTTTTGAACTAAGTATGTTTTTTTGTGAATCTCCTTAAAAGGAGCCTAAATAATCAAAATATTGCACTTTACTTCTTTCCCTTTAAGTTCTCAAGTTCCTTAGTAGTTTCTGCGAGTGTACCTACATATGTATGTATGTGTGTATGTTAGTATGCTTGTAGGCATGGTATTTTTTACATGCTTCTCATTCACCCACAACGAACGAACGAGGAACGGGCGGACGAGCAAACGAACGAATGAACGGAATAAGCGAAGCGGGCGGCAATCAAAACGAGACGATGGCGGCGACGACGTTGTGCTCTGTGTGTATTTAAAAAGCTGTAAAAAGCACTCACACAGAGATAAAGAGGCGCGCACACTGGCGCACACATACACACAACCACAGGCGCAACATGCAATAATGCAGCCAGCAAAGCATAAATTGTAAACTCGTCGTCGTCGTCGCCGCAGCAACAACAGCAACAACGGCAGCCACAGCGCCGTCAAGCCTTGACCTGATTTCTCTTCCTCTCTTGCTGCCAATTGTGTGAGTGTGTGTGTGTGTGTGTGAGTGCTTGCAAGCCTCATTGCTCCGCGCTTTGCCTTTGATGCAGTTGTGTGTGCCTATGTGTGTGTGTGTGAACAGCTTGACATTCAATGCAATTTTTGTTGTTGTTAGTTGCTGTTGCTGCTTTGCTTTTTCCGCTGCAGCGGCTGCTGCATGAAATAAGTGAAAATGCACTTTTACTTTTTCAGCTGCAAAGGAAAGTGAGAAGCTAATTTTTTTTTTTGCTCTTTCTCTTTCACTGTTTTGCTGCTGTGGCTGCGAGTTCATGGCTCACCAAATTGGGGCATTTCAATTGTTTCACTTCACTTCGTCTCTTTCGTTTCGCGTTCGCCTCTTTGCGCCTGTTTTTTTTGCCTTTTTTTCCACTCAACAACAACATGACATTTCTATGAAATTATGATGCGAATTTTTACGTATTTATTAGCTCTTGTTGGACTTTTTGACATTTTTGACAGGTCTAAAGACGACGAGGGCGTAGTAACTGTAAAAAAATAAAGGGTAACACTGAAGTGGGGGCGGTCACTTATAATACCCTGCTGTGAGGTTAAATATATCCCGTTACCAAAGCAGAAAGCTGTAAAAGACAACGGTAATGGGGTGAACTTGACTCAGTAGAGACTCCTAATGAAAATATACAGGGTAATTTGTGGGACTACATATATTACATATATTTACATATATTATTATAAAAGCAAATAAATTTAAAATATTATTTATAATTATTTTGAAATTTCTTAATCTTAATATTATTTGTAAGTGCAAAAATATCACCATTTCAAATTTTCTCTTATTTTCTCACCCTTACAGATACTGAAATTCCTATTGTGAAACAATCGACAAGTCCGGCGCCTCAGCAGCAGCAGCAACACTCCCAGCAGCAGCAACATCTCCAGCAGCAACAGCAGCAACTGCAGCAGCAGCACAATGCAACATCCTTTGCCGGCGCCACAGCATTGCTGCATATTAAAACCGAGCAGAATACTTTGCTTACACCGCACCAACTGCAGCAGCAACAACAGCAGCAGCACAGCTTACATGTTGCAGGAGGCGGCAACAGCAACAACAATAATGCACACCAGCAGCAGCAACAGCAACCGCTGGCCATTCCGCACCGACCGCTGCTCCATAATCTGCTCAGCGGCGGTGCCATCCACAATCCGCACCACAGAAACTATACGACGGCCACAACAGGTGAATAATACACATTAAAAATAAATGACTTATTTTTTTGTGCAAGTAAAGGAAGGATAAAACACTTGAGATGAGAGAGATAATGCCAATGATATATGTTTATCATGATGAGTCCTTGAAAAAATTACAATTCGACAAAGAAAAAAATCAGGAAACATTTTTAAAGCAACCTTTAAAAAAGGCAATCTAGTTTCCGATATTATTTACAGTGCACCGAGTTGTGAGGCGAGCGTGTCCAGTCGCAAGGTGAACCACTGCACACGCCCTCGACTCGATTCGTTATACTTGTATATGTATATTCATGTCCATATCGATTGCTAATTACCCCTTTTCTTTTTCGTCCTCGTCCTTGCTCCCGTTTGCAGGTTCATTTCCGCCCAGTCCGGCCGACAGCGGCGTCTCCGATGTGGACAGCTCCAGTTCCGGTGGCCAGCCCTGTGCCGACGAGCTGAAGGCGCGCCTCGGGATGCCACCGGCCTCCTCCGCTGCCAACAACAACAACAACTCTGCATCTGCGTCCGCGTCGGCATCTGGATCTGCGTCCGCATCGGCAGCAGCCGCAGCAGCAGCAGCGGCGGCGGCAGCGGCACACCTTCACACTGGCACATTTCTGCATCCGAATTTATATCAGAACAATGCGGCGAATTCGCTGAGGAACATATGGAATCGCAGTGTTGGGGGTGAGTATATATACTGTATGCCCATAAAGCATTTGGTTATCCTGGCAGTTGAATGTGGCTAAAACAAACTAGGGATGTTGGGATTTATGTAGGGAAAATACTCAATTTCTTGAGAGTCCTTTGATTAAAATTAACTCTTAACTTACAGTTGTGTAATGTCTGCTTTTAGGCGCTTTTTAAAGCGATTTAAAGTCTGTAGCAAAAGGATTGCATTTTTAATTTTTCGATTGGCAATTAAAATAAATTATATTTTAAAGAAATTTAAATAAAATGTAATTATTTTTTCGGTTCATTTTGTTTGCATTTGTTTAGTCTTTCAAGCTCGACTTTAAACGGATTTTCTGATATCTTTGCCAATTAATCACATAACCTAATGTGGCATTTGCATTTTTTTTTCAATCAATCTGAACTTAGGATAATCTGTTGCATACATAATGCACTTCTAATCCGAGCTTACTTTTTTTTTTTGCTGTAAAAATGTCAACGCTCACACACACACACTGTGGCAGTACAATCAATTGCAATGAGACTGTGTGTGCTGCACTCGCTGCTTTTATGCTCTCTGCTCGTGTCCGTATATATGTAGGGGTGCGTGTGCATTTATCGCTCTCAGTGTGTGTGTGTATAAAAATCTGTGGTCATCGACACATTGCCTTTGCGCAAATTGTGAAGGTCACAACGACAACGAAAGCAGCAACAGAAAAAGCAGCAGCAGCAACAACAGCAACAGCAGCAGCGCCAATGTGGCAATAATGGCGCTCTGGCTCTCTTTTCTTTTGGCCAGAGAGCGCGGGAGAGCAAGAGAGAGCAACTGCAACGAACACGAGCCAAATACGAACTCGCAAAACGAACCAACGAAAGCGTCCGTTGCTCTCTGTATGCTTGCATATGTGTGTTTGTGAGAGAGTGCTGCTCACTTTTGTTTTTATTCAGTTGGAGACTGCCCCCCGGCCCCCTCCTACTCTATCTCACACTCGAACTGGCTGAGCCGTGGAATTGGGCAACGTCAGGCAACAGCAACAACTATAACAGCAACGCCGGATGTAAAAAAAAATAAACTTACTAAATAGCATACAAAATTATACCTGTGCCACTACACACACACACACGCGTGCAAACGGTGTGAAATAGTCGCAAGCGATCGTTACCATGGGATAGATAGGGATTCTAGCAAATAAAAATCTTAGTTTGCGAAATATTCTTAAAGTGGAAAAAAAAACTTAGCAAAATTCGAATCTTTACCAATAAAATAATCAAATTATTGATTGACAAAATTATTTAAATAGTCAGGGGTTGAAAAAAAAGTTTGAACTATAAAAATTAGTATTATTCTCATTTAGCTAATATTTAAAATTAAATTTTCCTCGGATTTAAAAGAGAAAATCATACGACATGTTTCGTTGCCTACTTTTTGGCGGAATAATCAAGAAAGCACCTGAAATATTATTAAAGGTTTACTATTTTTATTTTACTATTTATCTGATTAAGTTAAATTTTAAAACTTTAGTTTTTTTTTTTAATTATTTAGTAGGAAAAATACATTATTAAGTTTAGATCTAAAATGTGTACATATATTTAATTTTTAAGTATTTTTTTTTTAATATAATAATATTTTTTAGGAAGAATTAGTTATTTTAACATGGGATTTTTTATACATTATTTTTATCACTAAGATAAATTGAATTTAATTACTTAATCAATATTTTTTTCTTTTCAGTGCCCGATAATTACTATGGCAGCAATGGCGCCGGTAGCGGTGGCGGTCAGCCAGGATCCGGAGCCAATCCCCAGACTCCTGGCTATCTGCCCTCGTCCTACTTCACCTCACCGACGGCAGCAGCGGCGGCGGTCTCGCAGCGCGGTGCCGTCCACAACGGCTATCATTCCCTACACCAGCAGCAGCAACAGTCGCAGCAGCAGCAACAGGCGCAGCAGCAGCTGAGCCACCAGCAATTGTCGCACCAGCAGCAGCAGGCGCTCCATCAGCAACTGCAGCAGCAGCAGCAACAACAGGCGCAGCAACAACAGCAGCAGCAGCAGCAACACCCGCACTCGCAGCTGAACGGTGCGCATCCGCACTCACATCCGCACTCGCATCCACATCCGCATTCGCATCCGCATTCCACAATCGCTGCAGCGGCTGCAGCAGCTGCCGCAGCCTCCGTGGTCAGCAGCAGCAGCAGCGCTGTTGCAGCGGCGGCGATGCTGAGCGCCAGTGCAGCGGCGGCGGCAGCGGCCAACGCCTCCTCGTCCTCATCCTCGGTGATCCAACCGGCGACGTCCAGCGTCAGCTACGATCTCTCCTACATGCTGGAGCTGGGCGGCTTCCAGCAGCGCAAGGCGAAGAAGCCGCGCAAGCCCAAGCTGGAGATGGGCGTAAAGCGGCGCAGCCGGGAGGGGTCCACCACCTACCTGTGGGAGTTCCTGCTAAAGCTGCTCCAGGATCGTGAGTACTGTCCGCGATTCATCAAGTGGACGAACCGGGAGAAGGGCGTGTTCAAGCTGGTGGACTCCAAGGCGGTGTCCCGATTGTGGGGAATGCACAAGAACAAGCCGGACATGAACTACGAGACGATGGGCAGGGCGCTGAGGTACTACTACCAGCGCGGCATCCTGGCCAAGGTGGATGGCCAGCGGCTGGTCTATCAGTTTGTGGATGTGCCCAAGGATATCGTGGAGATAGACTGCAATGGTGTCTGAGGGGGAGGCCTGTAAATATAAAGGATCAATGAGTGAAGGATCAAAGAAGAAAACATAGTGGTTCTCCGGGGGGGAGGGAAAATTAGGGTTAGGGATTGGTCAAAGCAACCGGCTAGCGGCAATAGTGGCTTCCAAGGCCACGCGAGGGCGGGATCTAATGATAACTTGATCGATGATAACGAGATGATGATTTCTTTGTACATGCGTTAAGTTACACACACACACACACTTTTAGCTGATAGTCCCAATATATATATGATATATACCTATGTATATCCACACCCTGTGTCCTGTACCCTATACATACACCCCTGAAATAATGATGATCTATTCATTTGGCGTTAGTGTTGTACTTGTAACTGTAATTTTAATTGTAAACTTTAAACTTTAAACTGTAAAACTGTAAACTCTAAACTGTAACGGTACGTTTAATTAATGAATATTGTTATTATTGGTTATTATTATGAATATTATTACGATTATTAATATTATTATTATTATTATTGCTATATTGCTATTGCTATTGCTATTGCTATGGATTGATTCATATTGATATTCGATAAACGTGTGTAATATGTAAAAAATGAGCTACAAGAAATTCTCTATCTCTATCCGAAGATCTAAAAGCTAAATCTAAATCTAAAACTAAATCTAAAGTGTATATTGCCTAGCCTAATATCTTTTCAAACTGCCCCCCAAGTTAGGCCCCACCTGCCCCAGGCTTTAGCCTTGCCGATCTGAACGATCAGGTGCGTTGGTGTCTAGGCTTGGGTCAATTGTTTTTGTTGCTTATTTTATAAAGGAAAGATGGAAAGAGATGGAAATTTATTATTTCATAGTTTTATAGTTAATTTTACGACTACATTTAGGTTATTTATTTAAGTGTTTCTCTCCAGCTAAAACCCTTAACTTCTCTCCCATACAAAAACATACACACACATCCTATAACTGGAGGTAAAAAGCCCAGGCAATCTGGTGGTCTAAAACTTTCTTTGTAATTATTATTTCGTAAGTCTTGTATATTTGCAAACAAACTCACAGGATACAAACCCGAACGAACACACACTCCTTGAGCAGTCTTAGAACACCAAAACCTCACACACACTCAACTCTATCGATCTGAAGTTTATGTTTATTTAAAGAGCAAACTATGTATTTTTTGTTAACGTCACACTGCCACAGATCGAAACAGAAACCCCTGAACAGAACAGAACAGAACCAGAGATATACAGTTGCGGCAAAAAAAATAGCACCATGACATATATTTTTCATTATTGATTAATTGTTTTATAACTATTCATATATTTAACTTGTTTAAGGCTTTTATTTTTACTTTAGGCTCTAATTTATCGAAATACACTGCAAGTGTCGTCGATAATAACATGAAATTGAAATATTTACATTAAGAATGTGAACGTTGAACATTTTAGGCGGCAACAAAAATAGCACTATTTCAAAAATAACTTAAGAAAACGAAAAAAACGAAAAAAATACGGGAAGTTCTGGAATATTTGTATTCATTTGTATTCCTTATCGATATAGTGTATTAATATTTCGTTGTAAAAGCTTTGGCAGCAATGACAGCAGCACAACGTCTCGGCATAGAATTGACCAAGTTTTGACACCTTTCCGTGGAATACTGCTCCATGATTCTTGAATGGTGGCCCAGAGCTCCTGATTAATCCTTGGTTTTGCATTGGAAACATATTTTTTTACATCAGACCAAAGATTCTCTATCGGGTTTAAGTCTGGAGACTGAGCAGGCCAATCCATTAGGTGAAGGGATCTGTCTTGAAACCACTTAGGAGCTTTCTTGCTGGTATGTTTAGGGTCGTTATCCTGTTGGAAGACCCACAACAACGGTATTTCGTATTCTGCATAAGACAGCATCACTGTTAGCAAAATATCGCAATAGACATGTTGATCCATAATACCTTTTATCCAATGTATTGGACCCACTCCGTAATAAGAAAAGCATGCCCAAACATCCTATGGTCGGATGAAAGCAAAATCGTGCTATTTGGAGGAAGAGGATCTCGATCCTATGTACGGCGACCCCCAATTCGGAATACCGCCCAAGTTTCACCTGCAAGACCATAAAACACGGTGGAACGAGTATCATGGTTTGGGCATGCTTTTCTTATTACGGAGTGGGTCCAATACATTGGATAAAAGGTATTATGGATCAACATGTCTATTGCGATATTTTGCTAACAGTGATGCTGTCTTATGCAGAATACGAAATACCGTTGTTGTGGGTCTTCCAACAGGATAACGACCCTAAACATACCAGCAAGAAAGCTCCTAAGTGGTTTCAAGACAGATCCCTTCACCTAATGGATTGGCCTGCTCAGTCTCCAGACTTAAACCCGATAGAGAATCTTTGGTCTGATGTAAAAAAATATGTTTCCAATGCAAAACCAAGGATTAATCAGGAGCTCTGGGCCACCATTCAAGAATCATGGAGCAGTATTCCACGGGAAAGGTGTCAAAACTTGGTCAATTCTATGCCGAGACGTTGTGCTGCTGTCATTGCTGCCAAAGCTTTTACAACGAAATATTAATACACTATATCGATAAGGAATACAAATGAATACAAATATTCCAGAACTTCCAGTATTTTTTTCGTTTTTTTCGTTTTCTTAAGTTATTTTTGAAATAGTGCTATTTTTGTTGCCGCCTAAAATGTTCAACGTTCACATTCTTAATGTAAATATTTCATTTCATGTTATTATCGACGACACTTGCAGTGTATTTCGATAAATTAGAGCCTAAAGTAAAAATAAAAGCCTTAAACAAGTTAAATATATGAATAGTTATAAAACAAATAATCAATGAAGAAAAATATATGTCATAGTGCTATTTTTTTTGCCGCAGCTGTAGATTCAGCTTCAAACACTGCAACACCGCAATCCTCAATGCAATATTAAAACCAACAACAATTTCCAAACACTGCCCAAAACGTGCAATCTCTTGAAAGGAAGAAAAACCCTTGAATAGGACAAAAAAAAACAACAAAAAGAGAATAAAACCAACTCCTAGTTCTTTAATCTACTTCTTTAATAGTTGCGTTCTCTAAGTACCTTTATCTATTATTATTATTATTATTATTATGTATGTGTACGTGAAGATGAAATCTACAATATATCATTTTGTTTATGATGATTGATTTGGTTGATATGATGATATGGATATGATGCAAAAAATAAACAAAATGAGTCTTGAGTTCAACTCTCTGTTCATTGTAAACAATTTTTTATGATTATTTTTTATTTTTTAAATAAAATTATTATTTCAATTTGTGCATGCGTTTTATTTACCACAAAAAAAAAAAACAAAAACAAAGAAAAAACTCCAACAGAAACAAAGAGAAAACTAGTTTATAAGCAAAAGATAAAGATACAAATATATGGAACCCGCTACAAATTTGGAATCTAGATATACCTCCCATGACAAGTACATAAGTTATAGCATATTCAAAGTCTATATAGGATAATACCAATATTTATATAATCGCGTCTCCACAGAGCAGAGCACATATTTTAGATAAAGTCGTCGGATTGGTGTATTTTGTAGTTTTAAGTGACACCACACACCACACACATCGCGAGGTCTCAGTTTATGAGGTTTCCCATACATCGGATCATGGATATTTATATATATATGTCTATAAACCATTATCTAGACGTAACTCAGTTATTAGTTATTAGAGGATGCATATTCCCATGTTATAAGGATGATCTAGCAGATAAGTTGCACCCACAAAACAGAGAAAGCAGAGAGGAATCGAACAATATATTAGCTAAAGATTACGACTCGAGTACAACGAAATCTGAGCCATACCTCCCACAGAAGGCAGCTTTAAATCGGGACAGTACTTTCTCGTTTGAATTTCCGGAAATCCCCAGAAAAAGACTCTCTCTCTGACTTGAACCCCCAAAATATTTATATGGACGATAAACTGTATATAAACAACTTCTGGACCTCATGTTTCCACTTGGTTATAAACGTAAACAACGTATTTTAAATATATATATATTATATATACTTACACACCAATTATTTGTTAAATTGGATAACCCCCGAATGCTGGATAAGACCAACTAAATTAAATACCAAGGAATATCGATGCCCTCGGGCAGGATTTCTAGGCTTACTAGGCTAAGGACAACCAACAAAAAACTCTATTGGTAACTCGGAAAACAACAAAAAACGAACCGAAACTATATAGCTTTTAAATTAAATGTGCGATTATTGGATTGGTTTAGATAAATATGTTGAATGGATTAATATTAATTACGAATATTATGACTAACCCTAAGTTAAGAACTTTTCACATTTGTTTTTTTCGACTTTTTGTTCAATCTTTGTACATTTAAACAGACAGCTTTTGAACTGTCTGTCGATGAGAAATCAGCTAAAGCCAGCCACAATATATATAAAATATATATATTATACTTTAAACTTTAAAGCATATATTTGTAGTAAGGGAATGAAAGTTGGATCGATGAAACGATATGGTACGTAGGTGAATTTTATGGTTAGGAGCAAGCGAACGGATTAGATTAATTTTTATAAGAATGCATTAAGACAAAAAACGAAGCAAGGACAAAAAGTCACAAGCTAGCATAATTATTTACTGTTATGACAACATAAGAGTTTTAAGGTTTTTAGCTAAATTTTGTATATTTTAATCTACAAACTATAAAATATATATATATATATTATCTGTTTTATAAATAACAATAAACGAAAATGTGTTTTTATTGACGATTTTAAATGGGATCAGTATTGCTCAAGTTACTTAATTAAAATTTAAATCTCGCGGCAAAAGTACAGTATGCTCGGATTTGCTATTTACCAACACTGACAACTGACGCTGTTGACATTGGTGCTGCCAGATGCATAAAATATCGATATATTTAGCCCAACATCGATTGAGGTCACAGTATATTTTTGGTATATTCTTAGAACACTTAAAATTCGTTGTGCAACATTAAACTAGGAAAATAATATTTTCTAAAATTAAAATAAAATATTCTCATTACTCAAAACAATCCTTCAAGTTTTTGTAGATGATATTTCATAACATTTAAGTACTGGAACAAAAAAATACCGCACCAGCAACCCCATCGATATATCGCAACTATCGCCAGCTGTCAAAACATCGATAGGCCGTCACCATCGATAGCTCTGTTGTATCGGCAACGGTCACACTGTCTACAAATACATAAAAAACATTTTTTCTTGCAAAGTATTTGTCATTGTCCACATTTCACGTTTTTCGATGCGTTTGTGGATAAAATAACGCGCAGTGAACGACCCCAAATGGTGCAAGTGGCCGACGCGACGGCAATAGCGATGCGAATAACTATGAATTGACGCCAAGTTGCATAACGTCCGTCGCTGGTTAGTGTCAGTGTGCTCGGCTCGTCGCGTTCCGTTTCCTCCGTCGCTTCGCAATTTCCAGAAAGCAAAACCTCACCACACCACGCACACACACACACACACGCGCGAAGCGAGCAGCGCGGCGGAAAAAAACAAGCGAGGAGTGAATGTGGATGTGAATGTGGACTACCTCGCCGAATGTGCGTGCATTTCCTCCCAGTTCCCCCCGAGTCTGAGTGTGGCATAGCCGATGCGCTGCACTGATCCCCGCTCCCCCCACAACCGATCCGTCGCCGCCCACGCCACTGCAGCAACCAGCAGTCGCAGCACATACACACCAATACCAACAACCGACGGCAGCCCGCAGCCAGCACCCATACCAGCGCACCCAAGCACCGCGCAGCACGGCCGACAAAGAAAGAGCGCTGCTGGCTCTCTCTTCCTCTTCGTACAGTTCCTACGGCTGAAAATCAGCAGCAGCAGCAAAAGCGGTAGCAGCGGATTCCGCGGCGCAGTAAAGGAGGCTTGCATGTGAACGGGAACGGAGCAGCAGTAGCAGCTACAGCAGCAGCATGAGTCTCATGGCCACGCCAATGCCCCCAGCGGCCACGGCGCCATCCTCTTCGGCCAGCAGCGGTAGTGGTTCCTCCACTCCTGCCCCGGCCAACAATAACAACAACAACAATAACCTGCCGTTTGAAAAGGACAAGATCTGGTACTTTAGCAACGAGCAGTTGGCCAATTCACCCAGCCGAAGATGCGGTATCAAGGGCGACGATGAGCTGCAATACCGCCAGATGACCGCCTACCTAATCCAGGAGATGGGCCAGCGTCTGCAAGTGTCACAGCTGTGCATCAACACGGCCATCGTGTATATGCATCGATTCTATGCGTTCCACTCATTTACACACTTCCATCGGAATTCGATGGCCTCGGCTAGCCTGTTTTTGGCCGCCAAGGTGGAGGAGCAACCAAGGAAGCTGGAGCATGTGATTCGGGCCGCCAACAAGTGCCTGCCGCCGACCACCGAGCAGAACTATGCCGATCTCGCCCAGGAGCTTGTCTTCAATGAGAATGTGCTGCTACAGACGCTCGGCTTTGATGTGGCCATCGATCATCCGCACACGCATGTTGTGCGCACCTGCCAGCTGGTCAAAGGTAGGCACCCAATACCAATCGGCTCTAATGCCATGTCCTCCCATGATAACCCAAGGCCATGTCGGATGGTAGCCGGTTGAGCGATTGAGTACTGATTACTATGGTATATTTTAGCATGCAAGGATCTGGCGCAGACCTCGTACTTCTTGGCCTCGAACAGGTATGCGCTACTCCCTATGGTAATCCCTCCTCCACCACCACCTCCTCCTCCTAGACGTGTTGCTCCAAATTGGAGCTCTGGTATAAGCGGTGTATGCGTGTGTGTTTGTGTGCGGGTGTAGGTTGAGATCCTGTCAAGAAAACAGGCAACTCGTAAAGTCTGTCCGCCTACCTGACTTTGCCAATCGTTAGTGCCAGGTAACAAAGAGAAAAGGTGAGGACTTAGAGCCAAGGTCACAGCAGGGCAGCATCTTTAAAAAAGGAAAAGGAATATGTTTCCTGGTCTTTCGCGTTAATTATCCTCTCTTGCCTGACCATAAACATTGTAATTTGGCTGGGAAAATCCGACAAATGTCAAGGAATATCTTGTAATTCCTGGAAAGGATACAGTATAATCTCTCCGCGTTAATTATCCTGCTGGAAAAGTGGCTAAAATTTCGCGAAATTAATGTGTAATTCGAGGAAAAGAATTCAATGTATTTTTGGCCTATAACTTTCTCTTGAATTTGCCATTTTTGGTCAGGGGAAATCCCTTAAATCCTTAAAAATAAAGTAAGTCCTTTCAGTAATATCTTTCCACGTTAATTATTCAGCCGGAAAAGTGGCTAAAGTTTATGGAAAAACTTATAATTCAAAGCAAGGATTGCAGATGTCTTTTTGCCTTGTAATCTTCTTTAGAATTCTCCATTCTAAACCGGGGAAATCCCCTAAAAATAAAGAAAGTTCTTCTAACAATAAACCGTCCTGTTTTTCCATGATCCAGAGAGGATACCAGCTAAAAGAAGCCTTAACCCAAACCCCCTGCACACATTCACCCTACCAAATGTATTCTATTTTGTAAACTCTTATCCTAAACCAACCTAACAACCATCCATGGCTCGCAGCCTGCATCTGACCTCCATGTGCCTGCAATATCGACCCACGGTGGTGGCCTGCTTCTGCATTTACCTCGCCTGCAAGTGGTCCCGCTGGGAGATACCGCAATCCACCGAGGGCAAGCACTGGTTCTACTATGTGGACAAGAGCGTCTCGCTGGATCTGCTCAAGCAGCTGACGGACGAGTTCATAGCCATCTACGAGAAGAGTCCGGCGCGTCTCAAGTCCAAACTCAACTCGATCAAGGCGATTGCCCAGGGTGCCAGCAATCGGACAGCCTCCAAGGATAACAAGCCCAAGGAGGACTGGCGGGTGAGTGAGATGATGAAGGGATATCACTCGAACATTACGCCGCCGCCAGAGCTGGTCAATGGCAACGACAGTCGTGAACGGGACAGGGATCGGGAGCGGGACAGGGACAGGGAGCGTGAACGAGAGCGTGATCAGTCGTCCTCATCGCTATTGCCGCCACCGGCGATGGTGCCGCAGCAGAGACGATCGGATAGCATACACCAGCGTTCGTCCTCGGTGTTGGGTGTATCGGCCAACGGCTCATCCTCCTCATCATCATCGTCGTCGTCCTCAAATCACAAGTTGCCAAACTACCAAGGCGGCATGCCACCTGACCAGCATCCAGGTGAGTGTCCTAGCTCTGCGCTCTCTTTAAGCTAAGAAACGGAAGTAACAGCTGGTTTCCTCTTCTGCAGATCACAAGTCCAAGCAGCCGGGCTACAGCAATCGCCTGCCATCGAGTCATCAGCGTAGCAGCAGCAGCGGCGGCGGCGGGCTAAGCTCCTCGAGCAGCAGCAGTAGCAGTCAAAGGAGCAACTCTTCATCCTCGTCGTCGAGTCAGCCTGGTCGTCCCTCTCTGCCGGTGGACTATCACAAATCATCGCGCGGCATGCCGCCGGTGGGTGTGGGAGGCATGCCACCTCATGGCAGCCACAAGATGCCACCGAGCTCCTCTAAGCCTCAGCAGCCGCCGTCGCAGCAGCAGCTACCGCCGCCCAATCATCCATCCGCCTCAAATTCTTCTTCGGCCTCATCGAGCATGTCCTCCAAGGACAAGTCGCAAAGCAGCAGCAGCAGCAGCAAGATGTATCCGAATGCACCGCCTCCATACAGCAATAGTGCTCCTCCTAATCCCTTGATGTCGCGCGGCGGCTATCCTGGGGCCAGCAGCAGCAGCAATGGGGCACAGCCTCTGCCTCAGGCTGGCTATGGCAGCAGCCACCGCAGCAAATCCGGCTCCACCGTCCACGGCATGCCGCCTTTTGAGCAGCAGCTACCCTATTCCCAGAGCCAGGGCTACGGTCACATGCAGCAGCAGCAGCAGCAGGTGGTGCCTCCTCCTCAACAGCAGCAGCAGCAACAGATACCACCTGAAGCACAGCTGCCGCAGCAGCAGTCCAAGATGTCCCTCTTCAGTCCCGAGTGGCCCGACATCAAGAAGGAGCCCATGGCGCAGCCATTTAATGGTCTGCTGCCACCACCGCCTGCGCCTCAGGGTCATGACTACAAGCTGAACAATCATCCGCGCGACAAGGAGAGTCCCAAGAAGGAACGCCTCACGCCCACCAAGAAGGACAAGCATCGTCCTTCCGCCATGCAGATGAGCAGCAGCAGCAGTAGCAGTAGTTCCTCAGGCTCCTCGAAGTCCATGCTGCCTCCCCACAAGAAGATGTTGCCACATGGCGGCCCCGGTGATCTCCTAGTGCCCAATCCCGGCGAAAGCGGCAGCAGCCTGAAGCGAGCCAACGAGATTTCTGGCAGCCAGTATGGTCTAAACAAGCTGGATGAGCTGGACAGCGCTGCTCAGCAACCGCGGGAGAAGCTGCGCAAGCTGGATAACACCACAGGATTGCCTGCTTATTCCAGCTACGAGGAGAAACACACGCCTCTGAACATGTCCAATGGAATTGAGACCACACCGGATCTAGTGCGCAGTCTGCTGAAAGAGAGCCTGTGTCCCACGAACACCTCGCTACTCAAGCCGGACCCCTTGACCATGCCTGGTCTCAAGCCACCAGCTGAGCTGCTGGAACCCATACCCCCCACGCCGCCCATCAAGAAAGAGCCAGGCATTGCTCCTCTACCCAATCTATCGACTGTGGTGGCGCCACCACCAGCCATGGAAATGGATGTGGTGACCAAGCTGGCCCCTGGCGAGATCAAGGAGGAGAGCAGCAGCAGCAAGTCAGAGAAGAAAAAGAAAAAGGACAAGCATAAACACAAGGAGAAGGATAAGTCCAAGGATAAAACGGAAAAGGAGGAGCGCAAGAAGCACAAGAAGGACAAGCAAAAGGAACGCAGCAGCAGCAGTGGTAGCTCTGCCAACAAGGAGGGCGGCTCCACCCTGGCCAATGAACCGCTGAAAATGGTGATGATTAAGAATCCCAATGGCAGCCTGCAAGTGGGAGCCTCGGCGCCGCTAAAGCTTAAGATAAGCAAGAACAAAGTGGAGCCGAACAACTATTCGACGGGAGTGGGCATGCCGGGAGCTACAGGCTATGGTTTGCCACAGGCTACGGCTACGTCAGGGGCTAATTATGGCAGCAGCGGTGGCGGCGGAGGCGGAGGCTATAGCTCCTCTGGCGGCAGCAGTTCCGGTGGCAGCAGCAAGAAGAAGCACAGCGATCGTGATCGCGACAAGGAGAGCAAAAAGAGCAAGGATTATGCTAAATACAATGGAGCAGGAGCTGGTTCTGGAGGAGGTATCTTTAATCCTCTTGGCGGTGCTGGCGCCGCAGCCTCAATGGTGGGTGGTGGAATGAATGCTCCCCTAATCAGTGCCATTCCGCCATCCATGCTGCTGGCAGGGCCCAACAACAATGCAGCTCCACTGCCCATGGGCCTGGCACCGCCCAGCTCGCTGCCCTCCTCTTCCTCCGCCTACAACAAGAAGTAGTAAAGGTAGCAAGTCCCTTTTATCTTTGAGGGAGAAGCTAGATGCTAGAAGCTAGTTGTTTAGGATTGTTTCACTTTTAATTAAGCCCAAAAAAAAAGAGTAGGTAACTAAGGAATGCAAAGCGACGAGAGATGGAAAGTGGAAGCTGAAGAAGGCGAACTCAAAACAAGCGAAAACTTTATATTGTACAGCATTAATTAATTTATAATTATAAATACATAGAGCATACATACACACACACCGTACACACACACACACACACCACATAAAGCAGACTAGCTTGTAAGAGATCCGAATCCGGAGACACAGAACCATTCTTCTGAACAACCGTCTTAGCATTTAAGTTAGCAAATCAAATACAATATATATATATATATGCTGTACATAGCCACAAAAGAAGAAGAAATAACCCACAGGAAACTACACACACACACTGAGAGATATATAGTACCGACTTCCGCTTAGCAAATATGTATACCCAAAAAAAAAAAAGAAAATAGAAGCCAAGACAACGTAAGAGAACTTCAGAATAACCAAGGAGCGACGTAGAAACGAAAGCCTGCGCTTTGATTTTAAATTAAAGACGCCAAAAAAAAAACAAAAAACAAAACAACTACATGATAAATTATTTAAATTTAAATTAAACAAAAACTAGTTGCTAAAGCGAAAGTTAAGAAAAAGGAGGATGTGGAAGACGAAGTTGTGTATCTTTAGTTAGAAAAGTTATTTCCTTTACCTCTCACTCTCTCTCTCTTGAAAGTTTTGTGCCCCCCAATTTTACCACTTTACCAACCAATTTCAAATTTCAATTTCCTCACAAAAAACACCTAGCAATATTTATCATATTTTTTATTATTATATACAGTAATGTATTCTTTGTCAATGAAGAGATAACTAAATAGAGATCTGAATTGTTTCAGCTGAGGATATTATGTTTCAAGATCGCCTGGAACGTGTTGACGTGTAGCTTTCATTTGTTTTTAATTTATTTTTTAATTGTAGACTTAAGAAACAAAAAACCACAATTACCACAAACAAAACAAAAAATAAAAAACGAATTATGCGAAAAAAAAAACACTTAAAAACTATAAAAAATTTGAATAAAAACAAAAAATTGTTGTGCAAAACACTGAGAGAAAAGTAAAAGCAAAAAACAAAAACAACGTTTAAAATTTATCGAAAAGAAAAATGCAAGCGAAAACCAAGCTAAAACGTTTAAAAATGCTGAAAGAAAATGAGGAAAAACTATACAAAAACAAAAGTTAGGCATATAGAAAACTATATCTATCTATATTCGAGGCAGGAAAATGATAATGAAATGAAATTTTATGTAATTTTCGGCTAAGGCAAGAGACAAAAACTAAAACAAAAGGTTAAAGCGAACGTTGCGCGTTTTTCAAAACTATTCGTATTCGTATTCGATTTCTCTTACTACTGCATTAAGCTGCAAGCATATATAGCTCTAAACTATCACTACACAAACACACACCCCAAACACATACACACACACATCTTAACCCACATACAAATCACTGATTAAAACCATTTACTTTTAAGTTGATAAATACCCCTGAGGAAAACCCGTTTTTCTTTCTGAAGCGAATGCGTAATTTGCCTCTAAGATTTAGATTTTCCTTTTACATACTTATTCTTCCCCCCATATAGCCCCCTAAATCCCAAGTCTATTCCCCCCTAACTTTAGTTTTTTGTACATACTTAGAAAGCAAAATGGAAAACCCGCCGCTCGTTTGGTGGGCGGGCAAGTGTCCGGGTTCCATTGGGATTATTTGGTTGTGCATTCGAATATGGACGCACTCGGCTTTGGCCACGCCCACCAAGCAAGCGGCACGAATAAAAATCTTCAAAAACCAGGCAAAAAATTCTAAACAAAAAATCTATAAAAATGCGAAAAAATAAATCACAAAAAAAATCAGGAAAAAATTAAATACAAGTATGTGTTTTTATTTCGGGTTGAATTGGGGGTTTTTTTTGACAGGTTTAACAGGATATATTTTATTCTTACTTAATTTTATATATATTTTAAATGTTCTCTTATTGATTTTAAATATATTTTATAACTTAAAGTCATCTTAAATTTTCTTTTATTAATTTTAAAAATATTCTATAAGCCAAAGTCCTTTTAAATTTTCTTTTTTAAACTCTTAAACTTTATTTTATTAATTTTAAATATATTCTTAAACCTAAATTCCTTAAACATTTTCTTTTATAAAAAGATACATTTGTATCTAAAGTCCTTTTCATGTATTTTTTATTTAAAATTATATTTATTTAGGTTATAAAATCTATTTAAAATAAAGTAAGAATAAAATACATCCCCTTAACCAATAACATAATTTAGGATCCACTCCAAGTAGCTGCTAATCCGCGTAAAGACAGCCGGAAATCCCACCTGGCAGCCCATAGTGGTCCCAAAGGAGGTGGATCCTATCAGATAACTGACATTACCCTCTCGATAAACCAACGGACCACCAGAATCGCCATGGCAGGTGGACTTGCCGCTGGCAGTGCTCATGCAGATCATCTTCTCGGATACAGCTCCACTCCAGTACATACGGCACACAGGATACGGCATAACAGGCATCTCCACGTACCTCAGCACGGGTGAGACCGTGTCAGAGGCATCGCTATCCCTACCCCAGCCAGAGGCGAAAGCCCGCACGGAGTCGTAGGTGGGAAAGGATCCGTTAAGGCGACGCGGCAGACTGGCGGCTCGGATGCGTTCCGTGAAAGCCACGAAGCTGGGCAGTCGGATGAGCGAAATGTCATTGGCCACTGTGCTGGCTGTATAGTTGGAGTGGACAATGATACCCGCCTTGTCCACCACAATTCTCCGCTGGCCCGGCTCAGCCTCGTCCTGGATGTTGATGGCTCCCAGGTAAACGGTAACAGATTCCGCTTTGTCCATGCAATGGGCCGCTGTGATTATCCAATAGTGCGAGATCAAGGTGCCGCCGCACCAGGTGCTCAAGTTTCCTCCAAAAGAGACGTTCAGACCCGCTTGGTAGGGAAACTGACCCACCTCTGCCAGCTCGCCATTGGTAATGAAGGGTTCCAGCTTGTCCAGGAGCGGCACAGTCGAGCAGGAAACCAAGAGAAGAATAAAGGGTATCAAGAGCTTCAGCATTTTAGATTGATTGAACCAGCAATATGGTTTGCCTCCTGGTTATATAGAGGAAGCTAGACAGTGTTATCATGGTAGAGGCACCTGCTGAACTCTACCACTTGGAACTTGGAGCACCCTCAGAGCATTGATAGAGCAGGGATTAAGGCCACAGACTTGTCAGATAATAATATAACAACAGTTTTCCAATGACTCAGGCATGTGACCTTAGGAAAACTATAGACAAACTTATCTTAATTTCTCTCACTAAATTATAGTAACATTTTCATAAGCTTTTACAGATAACTAATTTTTATTAATAATGTATGTTTGCTGATAATAATATTATCTCTTCATGGTATTCTAATGCGCAATTAATATAGATAACGTTAGGTACTTAAAAAGAGGAAATGTAGTATACTTTGTGGTTACTTTTTAAAAGGTAAAAGTAATTATTATTTAATAAGGATTGAAAATAGAATATATTTAAAACAAGAAAGGAAAGTAACTTTGGGAATCAAAAATTAAGCATAACTAAGCCAAAAATGCCTTAATTTCAATTCGGAAAGTTGTCCTGAGTTAGTTTTTATAATCTTAATAAATCTGCATACTAAATTTACAAATTTCAAAAATCAAAATTTTGAGTCATTTTTGAGAATTTTAATGATGTAACCCCTTATCAATTTTTGAAAAAATTGATGAAAATTTTATTTCTTCAGAAAATGGCTAGAAGGACTCTCCTGTTAATGCTGAACAAGAATATATATGGTTTATAGGGTCGGAAATGCCTAGTTCACTAAATAAAAGCAAAATAATCTTCAAACAAGAAAGGAAGCTAACTTCGACACGCCGAAGTTTGTATACCCCTGCCGTTAAGCCTGATTTTATAGCCTCCCAATATGGCAAAATAGCTAGATGAGCATCACTGCCATATAGCCCGATTTTATTGCCCCCCAATATAGCAAAATATAGCCAGATGAGCATCACTGATGCACATGAGTATCACTGATGCAAGTGAGCAAAATTTCTAAAATTTGGCCGCTTTCCAAACTGGGGTAACAGGCGAACAGAAACCAGCAGCAAGCAACTGAAAACTGGTATAAACGGTTATAAAAACATTTGGCCAAAAATAATAAGTGGTATAAACTGTTATATTCCATTTTATGCATTTATACCTATTTGTTGCCGACAACAACAGCGTGATGGCAACAACAACCTTTTTACAACAACATTTCTACAGCAGCCCATCCAAATTTCCAAACATTTCCATGCAAATTGCCCGTTTCCCAAATTGGGGTAACAGGCGAACAGAAATCAGCAGCAAGCAACTGAAAACTGGTATAAACTGTTATAAAAAGTCCAAGTTTCAAACTATTTAGGAGCCGGCGCAAGTAAGCGGAGACTCAAACCTTTTGAATCCAAATTTAGGTGTTATTTTACAACTGCACCTGGTCACACTGAAACTAAAGGTTTGAGTCTCCGCTTACTTGCGCCGGCTCCTAAATAGTTTGAAACTTGGACTTTTTATAACAGTTTATACCAGTTTTCAGTTGCTTGCTGCTGATTTCTGTTCGCCTGTTACCCCAATTTGGGAAACGGGCAATTTGCGTGGAAATGCTCGGAAATTTGGATGGGCTGCTGTAGAAATGTTGTTGTAAAAAGGTTGTTGTTGCCATCAAGCTGTTGTTGTCGGCAACAAATAGGTATAAATGCATAAAATGGAATATAACCGTTTATACCACTTATTATTTTTGGCCAAATGTTTTTATAACAGTTTATACCAGTTTTCAGTTGCTTGCTGCTGGTTTCTGTTCGCCTGTTACCCCAGTTTGGAAAGCGGCCAAATTTTAGAAATTTTGTTCACTTGCATCAGTGATGCTCATGTGCATCAGTGATGCTCATCTGGCTATATTTTGCAATATTTAATATTTTTAAATTATTACTCTTAAATAACTATTCCCCAACAGTTTTCAAGAGGTTTATGCAATCTGGAGCACTCCACAGCCCAACTGAAGTGGATTGCTATCAAAAAACCCCATAATAAAATAAACCAAAGACCTGTGTAGTTATAATTTTTATTATTTCAACAATCAAATGGCGTTCTGATCAGTTGAGAAAGATAAACCGCAATCTCAGGCATTATAACCAATTCGTACAACTTTAACCAATCGCTGGAAAGATTAACCAACCATAAATCCTCAATCAAGCGGATGAAGTACGGCAGTGGCAGAGTTGGTTAACTCGGGAAAACATGCAAATCAGATTGCTTTTAGTTGCTCTGCTGATCGGCCTTCAGGGAGAAACGATCTTCTGCCTGGATCTGGGTCATGGAATCGATGGGAGAATTTCTGGCGGTGAGCTGGCCATAGTTAATCAGTTTCCCTACCAAGTGGGTCTGAGTATCGAGGAATCCAATGATCTGTTTAGCTGGTGTGGGGCCAGCTTGATCTCCGAACAGTATCTTCTGACGGCAGCCCATTGTGTGGACAAGTAGGTGTAGTTTCTTCTTCAAAAAAAAATGTAAGACTTTATTTATCAACTTTCCACAGAGCTGTTTCTATCACTTACTACCTGGGTGGAGTCCAGCGTCTGGCTCCCCGCCAGCTCATCCGATCAGCACAGCCTAAAGTGATTTTGCATCCTGACTGGAACTCTGACTCCCTAGAGAATGACATTGCTGTGCTGCGCCTACCCGAGTTGGCTCTCTTGGGGGACTCCATAAAACCCATAAGATTGCCAGGAATCTCATCTAGATCTTCCAGTTACGATTATGTTCCGGCCACAGCCTCGGGGTGGGGTCGCATGAATGATGGTAAGAATCCTGGCTTACCTAGAATTTCTTGTATTTTAATAACTACAATTTAATTTTACAGAATCCTCCGCCATTTCCGATCACCTACGTTATGTTGTCCGCTTTGTGGAGTCCAATGAGGACTGTTGGTATTCGTATGCCAACATCAGATCCACTAATATTTGCATGGACACCACTGGCGGACGCTCCACCTGCACGGGCGACTCCGGCGGACCTTTGGTTTACCAGGATCCCGCCTTGAACTCCGAAGTGCTAATTGGCATCACGTCGTATGGAAAGAAGTCTGGCTGCACCAAAGGCTACTCCTCGGTCTTTACACGGGTCACCTCCTACCTGGACTGGATTGAAGAGGTGACGGGAGTTGTTTATCCCTAGAGTTTGGTTTTCTCGATGAGGACTACACTAATAGTAGTGCTGGGCACTGCAATTATATTAAATGTTGAGCATTTTACAAGCGACTTTGTTTTATTTTTAGGGGAGAAGGGGGATAGGAAAATGAAATGAATGAAATAGGAAAGGAAATTAATATATTACAAAAATTTTTAGATATTTAAGACCTTTTATTAATATTATTGGGAAGCCATTTAATTGAGTATAAAGAGGCTAATCGTTCAGCAAAAAAGTATGCTATACATTATAGGTTTTTATAACAGTTTATAATAGTATTGATTTTGGTTTCTTATATCATCTGTGATCAGTTCCTAAAAGTTTCAATATATAACCAGCTAATTTTAATTAAAATGTATATATGTATATGCCTGTACGTATGAAAAGTCAAACATTCCTATCAAGGTCTATTATTTAATATTAAAGATTACGTACTTATCATGTATTGTTGCTCTTTTTCAACCTAAAAGTTCGTCAAAAAAATCCCCAAATTGTTTGCAGATTGTTTTCCCTGTTAGACTATCTTCTTTTGGCCAAAACCCAACAAAAACTGTAGAGTCACGGTCGCCTCCCTATCTAACAGTTTCAAGCAGATCACCTCTCATATCGCCCGGAATTGGAGGAGCATTACGTTACACATGGAACAGGGGAGCGTCAAAGGGGTCTGGCCACTCGAGCAGGTGCGGACGAGAGATCAGATAGTGATAGAGGGACGTCAATCAATAGGAACGGACTGTCTGGGCATGAGTATAAAAGCGACGGATGAGCCGGAGTGCGCCATACTTTCCACAGGTAGCTCCAACATGAAAGTTCTTATTGTCTTCGCCTTGGCCTTGGCCTACGCCTCGGGATCGGCCCTGCGCGCCGCTTCGTCCCCGGATGGACGCATCACCCACGGCGAGGATGCCCGCACCGACCAGTTCCCCTACCAAGTGGGACTATCCCTGAAGATTGGCTCCTCCTCGGCCTGGTGCGGTGGCTCTTTGATCGGCAACGAGTGGGTTCTGACCGCTGCTCACTGCACTGATGGGTGAGTTTTATCCCCCCAGTTCCTTGAATCCTGAATATCTCAGCTAATATTTATATCTCCTTCTTCAGTGTCGACTCCGTCGAGGTTTATCTGGGCAGCACTGTCCGTTCTAGCCCCAAGGTCAAGCACCATGTCAGCAGGGACGACATCATCATCCACGCCGACTGGAACAGCCGCACTCTGAGGAACGACATCTCCCTGATCCGCATTCCCCGCGTGGAGTACAGCTCGGCCATCGACCGCGTTGAGCTGCCCAAGCACGAGTCCCACTACTCTTCCTACGATGGCGATGAGGTGATTGCCTCCGGCTGGGGCCGCACTTCTGATGCCGCCAGCGCCGTGGCCGCTCATCTGCAGTACGCCCACATGAAGGTCATCTCCAACAGCGAGTGCAAGCGCACTTATCTGACCACCATCCGTGACTCCAACATCTGCGTCTCCACGCCTGCCGGTGTTTCCACCTGCAACGGTGACTCTGGCGGCCCTCTGGTCCTGGCCAGCAGCAAGGTCCAGGTTGGTCTTACCTCCTTTGGCTCCGCCGCTGGCTGCGAGAAGGAGTACCCGGCTGTCTTCACCCGCGTCACCAGCTACTTGGACTGGATCAAGGAGCACACCGGCATCTAAGCTGCTGGCGACTCTTTAGCTTTGATTATTAAAAGTTCTTAATAGTTTTTGAACATAAAACAAACGAATTTTGAACTGGGGGTGTACTGGAACCTGTTAAGGGGAAGGTAAAAGAGGTCCTGGAAGACCTTTTATATCTGAAAAGCAACCTAAAGTTCAACTAATTTTGAAACATTTGCCAAATAAATTACTTCATTAGTTTTAACTTAACTTTAACCTTTTCTTTTTATTGGTATTTATTTTCATCTTTGTGTCGCTCTCTCTCTCTCGTTCTGTGACTTTCTCCATTTCTTTGCTTTCTCTATATAATTTGAGTTTAAAATTTAATTTTGATAGACTTCCAATGGGTCAATAATCATATTATCATATAGGCCTCCAATTTTTTTTCGCACAGTAAACATTTGGAATGTGTGTCTTCTTTTTTCGTATATAATTAACATTTATACAATTATACAGTGATTGTATTTTCTTTGTTTATAATATATATTTGATGTTTGTCTTTTGTTTTTTTTATTTAAATAGTAAAGAGCGACTGTTACGGACTAACATTACAATTAATACGAATACACACACATACAGTTTATACGGAATAAAAATGTAATGTTACAAATATTAACTTGCATTTACTTGAGTTATTTTTTTAGTTTTATTTATCGCCTTGTAGGTTGTTGCTGAGGAGGAATAGCGCATAAAAATAACAATATTATAAAAAGGTTTTTCTCTCTCTGCACATAAAAGACAAGTAGTTTTTATAGTTTTCTTTTGGACTCTCTTTCTCTCTATAGATTTAATAGTTAGTTTTGGGCTTTGTTTTAGTTTGTAAAACGTTTTCAACTTTTTACAATTGTCGGCAATGTGTAATAAATATATTTCTATATATAATTTTGGACTCTTTTTTTTGTTAGTTGTAGGTTTTCACATGCTAATTTTATATATTTGGATTTTGGTGTGCATGCTTAGTGTGTGTGTGTGTTGTGAGTTTTGGCGCCTAGTTAAAAGTACATACGAAATAACACTAAACTAGCAAAAATGATTATAATACAAAAGCAAACGAACAAGTAAGTACACGATCTGCTGGCGGTGCTCCAAGCATTGAGGTGGCTCTGTCGCTGTCGCTGTCGTCGTTGTTGAAGTTCTAGTTGATGTTGATCCTGTGGTTGCTGTGATGTCTGGAATCGTTGCTGCCGCCGCTGCTCCTCTTCCTGTTGCTGCTGCTGAAACTGCTGCTGCAGCTCCTGCCAAAGCATTTGGCTGTCATCGCTCCCGTTGCCGTTGTTATTAATCAACACCAGCAAAGCCTTGGCTGCCCTCGATGGCCTTGATTAGCTTGTCCTTCAGCTGCAGGTAGCCCTCATACGGAGGCAGGTCCAGGCGATTGAAGCTAGTAAAAGAAATTACTTATTAACTTTATATCTCTTTTTAATTTTTAATATTTTACTTACCAGGTATGAGCCCTAGGGAAGTTATTGGGCGTGCCCCATTTCTCAATGGTAAACATCTGCGGGCCATTGGAGCCATACAGCTCTTTGAAACCGTTCATAGGCACACGCGAGGTGCCGGTGACAAACTGCAGGAGGCGTGAGCGCATTTCATTAGAAAATGAGAGTACAGCCCGCCAGAACCATTGTATAATGATGTGATTCATGTGATAGTCGCCCTTGTACAGCGTATTCTCACGCCAATCCCTCACATCAATGTTCTGTATGCCGCACATCAGCAGCTCCAGTTCATGCTCATCAAAGATCTTGATCAGATTCAGGGGAATTATAGAACCAAAGCCATCCAAAAAGGCAGACATTTGCTCTTTGACACGGGCCACAAAACGCCATTCAATAACAAGTCTAAATATAAAAAAAGAACCTCAGTAAACCTCAGATATTATATTATATTTTTATATTTTACTCACTTGATGTACTCATCCTTGTTGTCATTGGTCACATCTATGTTGGCGCCACCCGGCTTTAGTTCATGCTGACTCTTTTGGCCAAAAACGTCTTCGTCCAGACAGAAAGTCAGTTCCAAGATGCGCGGATCATTCTCCTTGATCCACATGAGCGAGTTGTAGTACTCCGTGTCCACCGATTCCATGTCCTTCAAGTCAATGGGCTTCTGCAGCATCATCTTGTAGAAAGGACGTATGAAGAAGGCATCCAGCAGCTTGCCATGGTACACAGCCATGCCCGCAATGCGGCCAATGAATCTGTATTAAAATATATTAAGTTTTTATCTTTTTAAATTCCTCAAAAATAAAACTTACTTAAAGTAACTTAAATGCTCCTCGTTGCACAGACCGCTGCCATTGTTTATCTGCAGCGTGTAGTTGTCCATGGCCGAGTACTCAAAGAGTCCATAGTAGGGATTAAACATTTCCTTGGACAGCAAATAGAACCATTCCCTAGCAAGGCCACCATAATCTGTGGATACAAGAAAGGGATATTAATATATTTATATTATTTTATATGTTTGTAGCTCACCTAAGCCAGTCTCTCCCTCAAATTCTACCCATAATTTAGTCTTTAGTAAATCGGTTTTGGTCACCGAGCTAATAATTCTGTACGAATCCTCCAGTATGGATGTACGGCGTATGCGTATTTCAAATTTATTTGGTACATTTGTCTGGAAAAAAATAAGAAAATAAAAGTTAGTTTTCAGGGAATGGAAAAAAATATTTAAAAAAAAATAATAATAATAATAAATAAATAAATAAAAATAAAAATTATAATAATAAATAAATCAATAAAAATAAAAATTATAATAATAAATAAATCAATAAAAATAAAAATTATAATAATAAATAAATCAATAAAAATAAAAATAAAAAATTTCAAATAAAAAACAAACTTACAGGCTTTCTAATATGACTCTTGAAATACTCGTATTTCTGTTTGTAATCCCTGGAGTAGGGCACAGCCTGTCCTGCAATATTAGGATTGGACAAGCGAGGATCCTCCCATTGAGTGGTTCGCGTGTCTGCAAGGAGAAAAAGGAGAAGTATTATATTACTAAAACAAAACTCCAAGAACTTAAATCAAATACTTACTATGATCTATATAAAACACTCGACCATCGGTGTGCACCCGCTCCTCCCAGCCTTCAGGCAAGGGACCCAGATCATCCTCAACGCGTCGCGTTTGATTGGGCATGGGACTGGCCCTTCCATTGCGAGGATCAATCCAAGTGGTACGCCGGGCTGCATGATCAATGAAGAAGGTACGACCATTGGGGGCCACCTGCATGGACCAACGAGGTGGCAAGGCTTCCTCCTCGCCGCCGGCACTCTGCAAAAGAAGAAAAAGGCAGGTAAGATTAGCTTTGGAAAGGAAGTGTAATCTTCCAAGACATGCAGGGAGTTCTAAAGTTCTCCTTGTGCTCTTAGCAGAATTTAGTATTTATAAATAAAGAAGTTTACTTGTTCCATGGGCTGCACAGCGGCGTTGTCTTCCTCGGAATTGCGTCGGGTGGACGGAGCTGAGATCTCTGAGGGATTGTGGCTGTCTGTGTGATCGGTGTCTTCATTCTGGTGGATGGTTTTATATTGTTTTGATATTCAAATGGATGCATTGCATTTGGCGTTAAATTATGTTGGTTTTTTGGAAGAAACAGAAAAGAGAATAGGGTTTTTTAGGAAATTAAAATCATGTTTTCAATTTGTAAAATCCATCAAGAAAGTAACACAAAGCGAAACATAGAAACGAAGCTTTTAAACTAATATATACAAGTTGGCAACTTAAAGTTATAAATAGCCTTGCAAATAAAAGCATTTATGAGTTAGGATTAACTTGAGTTTAGTAGAAGAAACACATGCAGGCAAACACTAAACACAAACACAGTGCAGAGATGCTGACCTAGGGAATGGACTTAAGGATATTCAGGGATGCTTACCCCTTGAGGGTTCTTGGTTATGTTTATAAACCCATGAACCGCTATATACAGACACAGATTTATGGGGAAAAAATAGAGCGAAACACTGACAGATTTTGCGGCGCCAAAACAGTTTCAATTATCTAATCAGAATCAAACACAAACAAACAAGAGGAGCAAGAGACACAATCATGGTTTCAAAGCTACAAAATGGTTTAAAACAAATGCTGACCAATGAGTTGGCTTCTGACTGCAACTGCAGTTGCAACTGATGTCGCCGCCGATTCTGCAGCTGCCTGGGATGATCCACATCAAGCTACAAGTGAAAATGAGGGGAAAGTTGTGTGTGCTGTGAGGTGTGGTGTGTGTGTGCTAACAAGGCTTGCTAACCAATATTCTATTCTGCCGCTGCTGATGCTGCTGGATATGCAACTGCATCTGCTGTCGCCGACGCTGCTGCTCCTGCTGCTGCTCACTCCTGCCAGCCATTTTGGCCACGGCCCGCCGGGTCAACAGGTTGTTCATAGTAATATCAGGCACTGCCGGTGCCACACGCACTGGACGCAGGTCATTCTGCAAACTGGTGGCCGAAACCTCAGGTGGCCTATGACCAACACGGTGTTGCAGGGAATTGTAAACAAAACTGAGGAATATTAGGGAATATTAGGAAGAAATGGCTATCTGCTTAGATTTGGGTAGCGTATGAAATTCTTATTGGGGAAACGGACATTACGGACACAGGATTTTAGAAGTGGAATGTTTTGCCTGGCGAATGAGAAATATTAACCTGTTGTGAGCCACTGTGGGATCTTCGTTATAAACGTCTTCTTGACCAGCTAATAGCTCCACATGGCTGATACGGTTGCTGTGGTTATAGTTGTTGTTGTTGTGGTTTGTTGGTGTGTTGTTGGTTTCTGCTGAGATCGTTGGTGTTAAGTTGCCATCCGTTGGTGTGGTTGGTGTTGATGGTGTAGGAGTTGTAACCCCTTCAGCCACATTGTTATTGTCTTCTACACTAATGCGACTGATGGTATCCTACATGATTATATATAAGGGTTATGGGTTAGTGAAGGAGTTCAACAAAGCTAACAAAGCTAGGGCCTAGCTTTAAAATCTTGCTGTGTTTAGCAATCTTAAAAAAAGAAGTAAGTCTAGCCTCTTTACTTAGAAACTAACTAGCGATACAACTACAGGGTACTTTTTACTTATTTCTGAAATAAATATAAAACATTTCATGCTTTAACATCAAAGATAAGTAAAAAGTAAACCCGAAAATATGGCCAATAACTTTTGTCATTACAAATATGCGTGTCAGGTACAAATTCCTATCGAGTATATCACAAGTTTGAGCTTTGGGGGATGTGCCAGCCAAATTCTGATCAGCATCAGGAGGTTCTTCTTCCTCTTCCTCCTCCTCATCATCATCTTCATCAGGCTGCTGCTCCTCCTCGTCTTGCTCCCCTTCATGCACTTCACCACAGTGCAGGCAGTTGGCCTGATTATTCTGATGATCCGCCACCATCTCCTCCCCAATATCCGCCTCATCCTGGCTGCTCTCATCGCTGGCCAAAGTCTCCATTTGGGCAGCATTGTTCCTCACCGACCTCTGTGGCTTGCGGTTTGTGGGTTTTTGTGTTTTTGATTATTGGGTTAGTTTTGGTTCAATAGTGCGTTTCGTGTGTGTGTATGTGCATTGTGTAAATGGATTTGGTAATTTGTGTAAGTGTGTGTGTTCAGAAAAATCATGCACGAAAATCAAAGTCAATTGCTCAATCTCACACATGCATAAATTGTAAATATAAATATATGTAAATAATTCAAGATTATATATAAAGATTTAACTCCCAGTAAATTAATTAATAATAATAAAAGACTAAAGCATTTCCACATAGAACAAAATGTAGGATAGAACTTTCACTTACCGCCGAGCGTCCCGACTCCGTTTCGTCTACGCTAATGTGAAAGCGTCTTTGGAAGTCCGAGGCCAATTGGTCAGCGGATTGGCTGCTGTTGCTGTTTAAGCTGCAAAAAGAAAAAGGAGAGAAGAGAAAGGTGAGTTAGGGATGTATATCGAGGAGTAAGTCCTTGAGGATTCGATTAAAAGACCATAAACAATCAAATTTTACCCTAATTTCTACTTAATTCAATTTCTTTTCACAACTTACATGGTAGGTCTCTCCCACTGCGTCGTCCTGGCGGTGTGATTTACATAGTACGTGCGTCCATTGGCATCCTGTCGCTCCTCCCAGCCAGCGGGCAAGGCATCATGGCCGCCGGTAGGAAAAGGATTCTAAGCCAAGTGGGAATAATATAATTATTATTTGCATTTCAAAGAGTTTTTCAGTTTTTTTCTTTCAAAATTTATTAGTATGCTTTTACTCACCGGCTGGGCTGAGGTCTCACCGCTGGCATTGGTGGCTTCCACATGCTCCCACTCGCCGTCGCTGTTGCTATTGCCGCTGGATGGCTCGCTCTGCTCCCGCGTCTCGCGGATGAAGGCATGGTAGATGCGCAGGGTGCCCTTGATGCGGGACTTGGCGCTGCTGGGGCACAAAAACAGGGGGACCAACCAAAGCGACAAGGTAAATATTAATGAGCCAACCAAAACAGGTGCACAGACAACACACCGGGCACACCGCCACCAATGCAAATTCCCACACACACACAGAGGCAGACTCACATACGGGTTAAAAACAATAAGTATTATACTAAAAAGCGTTAACTAAAAATAAACTTGAACGGCGTAAATTACGAGAATGCAGATACATATGGAATACTATGAATATGCACAGTGCGTTTCACAACTTTAAGACCTTAAAACTATGTTTTCAAGATTAACTCGAAGATAAGAAAGTAAGTTGGTGACAAATACTTGTCGAATTTAATCAGTTTAAGATTTCTAATCAAGTGATTCGGGTTTACTAAATTTAGTTTTTCACTTAAAAATAAGTTTATAAGTTTTAAAAGTAATTTATTTCATGTTTATCCACTTTTAAAGTTAATTTTCTTCTTTGAAGTTAATGAAATCACTTATTTTCTAGTTTTAAGATTAATTTCTTAATTTTTTAATGTTTTTATTATTTAAAATTTTTTAAATATATTTCAAAGCTCATTTATTCATTCCCTTCTTTCTGCCTTTATTTTTTTTTTAACTTATTTATGTAACTCAAATCTAAACATTTCCCCCTTTTGGCATAATTTCATATGCTAATATTTCTAATATTTTATATTATATTTATAACAATCCTTAGATAATAAAGTGAAAAACTGGTCTTATAATATGTAAACTCTACAATGAAACTTGAATGTAATCATCTTCATCTTCCTTTTTATTTAAATCTTCCCCTTAAAGATTCAATTTCCCGATTAAATAAGCTTCTATAATTTTTGGCGCTAATCCTGTAAATCGCTTCATTACTTATATGTCACAAGGTGTCTCCTAAGTGCAATTAGTCGCTTATTGAATGGCGTAATATTAATGCAAGCAGCAAATATTGACACACACACACACACACTGACACCACCTGAAATTGCATTTTCCAATACAGTGGCTCTATTATTAATTTCTTGCCTTGTCATGGCGGTCTTAAAGTTGTGAATAGCTGTGGAAATTCAAAGGAAAGCGACTCTATTCTAAGGCTACGGCTAAGAGGGTGAAAGTGTGGACAATGACACGATTATTGTTGTTGTTGCAAATTATAATTGCATTCAAAGATTGCCACCTGGAGGAGGGAAGTGGGCGAGGTGATAAACAATAAACGAGGTGAGGTTGGAAAGCAAAACAAGTATGTGTAAGTTCTAAATTGGCACTACAAAGAAATTTCTAAACGATCGTGATAGCTCCCGCCACCAATCATATCTCTAACATTTACAATATCTGCCTTTTTGTATTTTTGGAACTCATGTTCCATTGTATATATAGTTTTTTATGGCTATGTATAGTTGTGTTTTTTGTAAATCAACTGAAATTAAAGGAACAAAATCAAACTGCAAACGAAATAAACCTACCCTACTGACCTGCGCGGGCGCAGAGTGTAGCTTTGGTCGCCAATGGTGCGTCCCTCCTGCTCCGTGGGCAAGTTCACCAGGGTTAGCTCAACCATGCCCAGGAAGTCGTCGCGTGTCAGGCGATTCTCGTCAAATACTTGAAAGACAAGCTTATGCTCTGACGGTTTAACCTGGTCAAAATGGGTTCAAATAATCAGGTATTTGTTATGGTTTAAGCACGAAATAGTTTGATGACTTACTCTGAATATAAATTCCTCGTTCCAAATGGGATTTAGGGTCTGCATGTCAAGGGGGAAGAATCGAAAAAAGAATAATATTAGTAAGGATCTTTAGACCTTTGCAAATATTGTATTATTCTTGAATCCAATTTTGTTATAAAGCTTTTTTTTCTAAACGAAAATTAAGCCATTAATTAGACAATTCGACAGATAATCGGATTTAACATTATTCACCTCATAGCTAAATCAAGTTAATCGTTTCCCAAATACAAAAACCTTTTCAGTTTCTCTAAATACCTTACCCTTTCCCCTTTACAAATCCCCAATCTCCACAAGTTCTTTGCTCTCTTAAAAACTCTGTTTATATATTTAACAAAGGCCTGATCCCTGAGATATCTTTCCCTTAGTCATAGACTCCTCCACGCGATGACACTGATAAAAGCTCTGTGTGGTTTACATTTCTATAAGAATGTGGTAATCATTCCCATACAAATAAGATACCTTTGCCCCCGAAATACACTATAATCGATAAGATAAGCTTCACTACTTTCGCGGCCTTGTCACTCGGCTTAAGACCCGTTTATTGCTTTTATTGAGTTTTGGTTACATTTGCCTTACCTTCTTTTTGGTCTTGGTCAAAACAGAGTCAATGTTAATATCACCGTTGATTGTGTTCAAATCGATTCTGACATACGGGTCGCTGCCAACAACGAGAGGATGAGAGACAGAGAGAAGGTAAATTTTAATTAACCAAGATTTAATTGCAAGCTAATTAGCACACTCACCTGGCACCGAAAATATCCTTCTTGGCCAGCGACTGTCCACTGAGCACAACGATTCGCAGGTGGCACGAGTCCCCAGAGTCGTTCTGAAATAAAAAGAGAGAAACGAAAACCGAATGGGAAAATTAGTAAAATAGCCGGCATACAAAATGAGAGAGACACTTGTGCACGCATCGCTGGGGAAAAACAGCGGCGACGGCTTCAGGGATTCAATGTCGACAACGAAATAAATAAGCCACATAATAATCCTGGCCACGCGGCGTATGCTTAATGTCAGCGATTACGCATACGCCGCTTGGGCCCACGCTGTTGGTGAAATTTTTATGCATTTTCTTTTCCGTTTTTAAATGCTCTCTGAAGGATCTGCATTATATATTCGTGTGCATAATTGTTGTGTTCGTTCGCGGCTAGATAATTTCCCCGACCTTGACACATACAACAAACACACTCAGCACACACACACACATCGCATAGTGTAGAAGTTCAAGAGAGTCATCAAGTAATTGTCTAGTGCAGAGAATGTGGCCCAAACTTGAGCTAAATTGCGTGCTGTGATTCATTTCGGGCCTTGGGTTTTGAGTTTCTGGCTACGGGCTTTGGGGTCTGTGGAAAATGTGGTCTATTTCATGTTGTTGTGGCCAGCTAGCTCTGGTTAGCTCTGTGTAGTTGGCATTTCTCATGCAAATGTTTGAGGCAGGCATATTTCGTAGGAAACATACATATTTTTGAGCCAAATTAAAGGAGGTTTCCAGTTCCAATTTCCTATAATTGAGCGCCAAGTTTGATGCTTTTGATTGCTAGACCTCAATGCTTTGTGGTTTTTCCTCTCAATATATTTAATTAATACTGTTTATGCCCGAGTGGAGTGGGTTAAGCTGGCTTTTATGGCAGGGATTTGCACTAAAAGGGAATTTAAAACAGCTTCGTTTGACGATTTATTTTTATGTTCAAGGCTTGGAAAATACTCGGGAAAATGCATTAAATTGTCATTGGAATTCTGTGAAAGTTCTGGGGTTTATAGACTTTATAGCCAGCTTAAAGGGAAGTGAGAGTTCAAAGGAAAATAAGGCTTAATTTATTTTTAAAATAATTTACTCTTTAAATTCAATTTAATTTTAACAATTATTATTTTCTTGGTTAATTAAATTAAACAATATAATTACATGACTCATCTGTAGCAGATTTTTCCCCACTTTTCCTCATACTTATAAGCAGTCTAAAGCGATTTAATATTTCAATTATGCATCGCCAGAGGCCAATGCTATTTTAGCAAAATTTTTGTTTACCTGTGAGAGCCAACCTCACACGGCAAATGCCATTACCCAGCCACAACATGGCCATCGAAGGAGGAGCAAAAAAAAACACCTCCAATGACCAGCTTTTGGCACCCCATTATTCTCTAGGGAATCAGGGGGGCAGCAAAACTTTCTGCATTCCTGGAAGTTAAACAAAACCCATTTTATCTACTCATCTTGGCGAGAAGAAGAGAGCCCGGTCCGGGCCAAGCACTTGTGTCCATTAAAAGGCTTTCCCATGAAATATTCAATTTGCCGACATTGTTTATAAAGTGAAGAGCAAACACCCGCCTGCTGCCCTCACATTCCCGCCACATCTCCTAGTTGGTGGCTGACCAGACGGCGCCGTATCTATATCCAACCATCCACCCCCGATGTGGCCCTCTTTCTATATCAGATATCAGAGGCTCGCATGTTGCGGCTAGCTTTGTTGGCCGCCACATGACCCTGACTGGGTTGCTTTTTTAGACGGTCTGCCACATAGTACATGTGCCATTTAGTACACGCTCTGGGGAACTACTATTCCATTCGGGTTCCTGGGTTCTGTGTTCTGTGTTTGGCTTTTATTTTTGTTGCTATTTGTTTGCCTCGCAGTTCCGCATTTTCCATGAACTTGTACTATTGATTTTCACCGCATGGGTCTAGGCTCTTTAAAATAGCTGCGGCTTTTCCCACTTGTGCAATAATTAAAGGTGCACAGTAAGAAATAAAAAACTATAGTTTAATTGGTGATATAAAGGTTAGAAATAAAAATAATCAAAGTAAATACTATGAAGATTTATGGGTAAAGCAATTGTATTTAATATTCTCATATTTCCAATGAATATTTAGTTTAGCTTTGACGTTATATCCACCTCACTTGCTAATAACTTAATAATAAATTAATATAATGCGTTGCTTTATAGCTTATATCGCGTTTTATATCAACGATGAGCTGGGCTAAGCTAATGCGCAATATTGGTTGCCAGATGCCCGTCTGTGGAGACGCGATTATTGCCTGGACAAAGGTCCAATCAATCAGGCAAAGCTGCCTGGTGTCCCTGGACTCTGGGTAATCCCCAAGGCCATTGCCTGGATCCCTTTCCCTTTCCTTTTTTCAGCTTTCGTCCTAAACCGCTGACCCTTCTGCAGCTGTCACGGTTTCGCCCCCCCAGCTGGACGTAAAGGAAGGAAGCCTCTTTGACTGAGCCACGTCAGTACTGCTACTGGCTTGGCATTAAATTGATTTTTAGCCATTAAATCTGGAACCGAGGGAAATTAGCTTAAAACTGTTCTTGTGGTTTAAGCCAGTTTTGCTTGGGATTGGCAGTGGGCGGCAGCGGAATTGCGTTAATTAAAAGGGATGTCCGACATAATGATCTGGCAGTGGCTCTGGCTCTGCATTGTGTTGCACTGCCCACTGCCCACTGCCATTTCATCTTGCTTGATTGACAGGCTTACAGTGGTAAAAGGAGATATCAAACCGGAATATACTGAACTAAGGCAGAGAATATTAGTAATTTTTACAGAAATTATTTAATACGGAAATTTTAAAGACAATATTTAGACCGCTTTCCATTATACCTCGCCTTTGTTGGCTTGTGCTTTACTGTGCACTTTTTTAAATCACTATTTCCAGTGATAGGGTCTCGATTTTCTTTGGCTACTGGAATCGGAAACTCTTTCCATTCCGTCGCATCGAAATTCAATTATCAATAGGCGCAATGCCAAGCGCTCATTATCAAAGCTGTTGGCAGGCATTGACTGACTGTTGGATGACCATGTGACATCCATTCAACCTGCAAGCCAGCGCCACAATCCATTTCCCATTTCGCCTTAGTTTTCTGCTTCCCCCACCTTTATATTGACCAAGCCAAAACAAACTGAATGAATAATGAATTATAAAAATATATATGTGAATAATCATTCAGCTGTGCGCGCTGATAAGCAAAATCGAGAGTGTGCGACGACGACGACGACGACGAGGGCGAGATAGAAGGCCCAAAAAGTCAAGGTACTCCATCCACGGAAGCCCATTTTCGTTGTTCTTAACTCTTCTTTTTCGTCTGCTGTTCAAACAGACGGCTTAAGGGAGATAATAAATACCACAGGCAACAATGGAATTAAGCAAACTCAAGTATCAATTTTTAATTTTAATGCGCACAATAAAAAAGAAAAGAAGAAAATCCAAGTGAGTGTGGCGCAAAGCTTAGGCGCTGCCATTAACCTAATTGATTGGTTATCGCCCCACCACCACCACACACACTTGTCACACTTTCCATGGGGTCAATGCAAATTCATTACACAAATTGACATTCTCTGCCGTGCATTTCGTTCAGATGATAGATACATTCAACATTTCACTTGCTTTGATACAAAAGATACAGATACAAAGACAGCCACAGATGTTAGCTAGATGCTTTTCGAATCCCATAGTGGAAGAACAATAACCAGATAGAACTGACATTGAAACATTATTGAATGTATAGGGAAAGGAATGTGCTATAAATACACCAACAACAACTATATACATAGATATATCTTGGTGACGTTAACAAATGCAAAAGATGGCTTATGTTATCGAAAAGATAAATTATTTTTTAATACTCATTATACGTTTGTTGTTGTTCAATTGATTCTTAGAAAAATAAACTAATATCTATTATGATTCCCAGGGGAAGAACATACAGTATTCAATGTAGGGTCAATAATCTTTAAATTGTCAACTGTATCTGAGTATAGGATATTTATCTATAAATTATAACGTATTTTTTAATTAGATTAAGTGAAGTCTAAAGTCCATTTGTTATTAATCATAAATGTTTATGTACTTTAATTCAATTTCATAGATTATAATAGCAGAACAAATGTTTACTTTTAATTTTTTATTAAATTTGAATCATTTTTTATATCAACAACTTGTTCAAACCGTAATTTTTATATTAATTAAAATTTTTATGAATAAGAAAAACGTTACTAAATAGAAAAAATTACGATTATCTTTTTTATATTATTAACTAAAATGTAATTTTATAATTTCTCTTCCCTTTCTAGAAATATTTGAATAAAGCTAAAAGATCCTGAGAATGGATTTCCTAAACCAAAAAGCTTTCACGATAAAGGTGTATCCTTAGAAGGGAAGATCAAGATTCTGGTGAGCACTTTAAGGGAAGGATAATATTACCTAATATTTAGCACATAACCCTTTTTAAATCCCAATATATCCCAAGAGATCCCACATTTCACATAAACGTACATCGTCACTTCAACTATTTATTTACGATTTGAATTCTCTCTGATGCCACCGATCATCTCTGATTTTCAGCACGCCCCTTTAATCCCTGAGCCGGAAAATCCGGCAAGCGATCTTGGCTAGAGAGGAGAGCGCAGGGCAGAGAGGAAAATGGAGGACAGAAAGACGGCTTAGATGGGGGGAGTAGCGGCGGGCAGGCAGGCACGTGAGGCGCATCAAAGGCGGCTCAATTAGCAACCGAAGAAAATGAGCGCACACACACACACAACCAGCTTAACATACATTCCGTACATTTGCATATGTACCGTTTACACGTACTTGCAGGGAGCGGAAGAGCGGAAGAGTGGAAGAAGAGAGGAAGAGAGCGCTGCTCTTGCCAGTTACTTACATCACTGTTATTGTAGCCATGGATTTGGCCATCTTCGCTCGTCACCGATGGCGATGTGGTTGTTGACTCGGCCATTTTGGTTTTTTTTAGATTTTGATTGCGATTTGATTTAAATTTGATTTGGATTTGAATTAAGATTCGGTTTCTGGACTTTAATCACTTCTGATTCTGTTTACGATTTTTGCTGTTTTGTGTTAATTTTCGTGCACGCCTCTTCTTTCAACTAAATTGAAGAATAATAAATTAATAAACAACTTGGGAAAATATTTTCCGCTTTGGCGGTTTCAACTGCACAAAACGGGTTAGCCACAAGGAATTTTTGTTCCTATTCTTACAGCAGCATTCTTTGGGTTCTTTATTATTATTTTGTTTGTTTCTGGTTTTCGGTTTTCTGTTGTCTGTTTTTTGTTTTCACATTTTTTTTGGCGCACACAAGGTTTTATTTTGGTAACTCGTCCGCAGCTTTGCCTTTATACTGCTGCACAGCCCAAGCTGCTGCGGCTGCTGCTGCTGCTGCAAAGGAACAGGTTTCACAACAATTGCCGTTTTTTTGGTTTTTATTACGATTATTACGTATACGTAATGTTGGCCGCAGAGGGAGAAAATATTAAAGGGCGTCCCCCGCGCCTTAATCACATTTATGTATAATCGCGCGAATCAAAGGCAAAAGCATGACTAATAGGTCGCCCAGCCAGTAGAAGAGTAAGAAGCAGATTCCGAGTGAATTTCAACAGATTTCGCCGATACTCTCGGACTGTTGCTTTTTCAGATATGTACGTTTATTTACTTTTTTTCTTGCCTCTTTTTTTTTATATAATTAACACATTTCAGGGGTACGGGTGCGGTGCATTAGCCAGCTATAAATTGATCTATACTGCGTATATATTTTGTATTCGTATTCGTATATATTTATAATTCAATTATTCACTTATTTATCTTTTATTAACGGCCCTAATGCCCATATGATACACTAATGCAGTTTTCATTAATTAGCTACTTCATTAGAACCTTGAAAGAGACCACTATATGTGTAATTTTGTGTAATTTGGCTTAAATTTTGCTTGGATTATTTTGGTAATACGACTACGGTCACACCGACCGTAAAAGGTAAACAAAAAAAACGGCCGCCATTCGAGGCGTATTACTATGAATTTCTGAATTCCTCGTCGAAGTATTCTTGCATAAATAAATGCAGAATCCTTTAAATTTATGTTTTTAACGTATAATGCTTAAATTTTTTTTAATTATTACCAAAAAAAATGTTTATATTAATTTTACAGCGTAAGAACCTTGCCCTCGCAAAACATATTATTTTTCCTAATTTTCTAATATTTTTTCAGTTCAAAAAACCAGCGAAATGATATAAAAATAAAATTCTCATTGTGAGACCATACTGTCAATGAGCTGGCTAATACATTTTTCAATTACAATTTTCTTCATTAAACCCGTATTTTGTTATCGAGTATCTAGTATATAATATGTAGATCTATCGATTATCGCGTCAATGAAGTAGCTAATGCATTATTCTAATGCATTAGAGCGCAATATAGTCGTCTTGCTCGCACTTGTGTAAAACGCTATAGCGCTGTCAAATCTTTAATGAAGTCTCTAATTAATGCGGCAGTGTCATGCCAGTATAAGCGATAGAAGCACCAATAACAACAATAACAAACGAACCAACACTATTGCGAAAACATGTTCTGCGTAAATCTCTCGGCCTCTCGCTCGCTCCCGCTGCGAGTGTGTGTGGTGCGCGTGTGAGTGCGAGCGGAACAGCAAGAGCAACCAGCAACAGCACAACACTTGTCGGCAGCCGCTGCACGTAACTTTCAGCTATCGCGTTCTAAGCTAAAATGGAGGCAGCTCCCCCATCACAGTGTGGCCAGCTCAGGGTAGGCCCCCAAATGGGGGGAAAGCTTTAGTATTTTGTGTGACCAAAATGGCAGAAAATTATAGCAGTCTGCCTCCACTGACAATTATTTGTAAATAACTTCTCCTGTATGTTTGGGAAATTTAATTTAAAGTTTTAAAATTGTTTATTGATTTTAATGTTAAAATATGTAATATCTGGATTTTTTGTAATTTAATATAAATATTAAAAAAAGAAAAAATTATGGGACAAACACATTTTGAAAATAGCATAACTAAGTCAAAAAAGCATCAAATTCAATTCGGAATGTTCCTCTCTGCTATTTTTTCTTGATTAACAAATCTGTATACTACATTTAAAATTTTAAAAAATTTAAATTTTAAGCCATTTTTGAAAATTTTAAAAAAATTGATGAAATTTTTTTTTCTTCAGAACAGGGCTAGAAAGACTCTCCTGTTAATGCTGATCAAGAATATATATGATTTATGGCATCGGAAATAACTCCTTCCCTGCGTTATTAGCTTCTGATTGAAATTATAATACCGAATACCAAATGTATTTTGCCCATTCCCGAGATTCACAACACTATGCCCTAAGCTTTCAGCTGCTGACAAAAGCTTGGCCAAGTGACAGCTAAGGCCTTACCCCTTCCACCAACAGCCACCCCACCATTTTCTCACTCTCTCTCGCTTTGGGATTCTCTCTGCCCCCCATCTGTCAGCTGCCAGCGAACAAGTGTCCAAGGCAAAACAAAACAAAAACAGCTGATCGGCACTGAGATGTGCTTGTGTGCGTGTGCTACGTATCTGTGTGTGTATGCATCTGAAATTTGTATCTTCGGCATGAAGAGATATATAAACACAGAATATAAATGTTGGGCTAAGTAGCGCATCATCAATTATAATTGACATTTGACTGCTATTGCCGGCCCTGTTGAATGACGCAATGACGCAATGGATTCCAATTCCAAATCCAATTAACCTCGTGTAAATAGCCAACTGTTGACTGATAAGCGGCCCATTAGGCCAATTTGTTGAGCAATCAGTGACGTAGCGCTTGGACAGGTGCGTTCGTCGTTCGTTTGACGTGCGAATTGGATTAAATAACCCAACATGGCCGAGCTCTCAATTAGCGGTGCCTCCACTGGACACAAGTGCTCTAATGAAGATAAACCTAGCTATTCAGGAGATACAAACATACATTCATGGCCAGGAATTTCTGCCATTTCTCTGACAACGCTTAAATAAGTTAGGCAAATAGAATTCGGAAGGCGCCGAATTACCGTTCATTGAGTAAACACACTGGCGGAAAAAAATCTATAAAAATCTATTTGACATTTCCGGTCTAGAAAAGGGTATCATAAAAATATAAAATTAAATAATTGAGATTGCATTTATAATTAAATACTGTGAAATTAGGGGAATTTGAATACTATAAAAGCCTTTTTTTGCCAACTTTAATTTCGTTAACAGAATCTTATCTACCGTCATAGGCTATACCTGTTTACTTTTTTAAATTCCAAATGACCGATGAGTTAGTTGAATAATTACACAGTACGAACTATAATAAAATGGTATCTTTCCAATTTTAGAAAATAAAATCTAAACTTTCAGTGTTCCCTTTTACTACGTTATTTTGGTCTGTGCATTAACCGAAGGCAATTTACGCACATTCACATTCAGACAGAGACGAAGACGGAGCGATGGCCAAGTCCGTGTTGATAAATTCAATTAGGTCTGAAGAAGATATGCCGATGCTGACTGCTCTCGCTCAAGTGGCTCGCATCTTTTGGCAAATTGAGATAAATAAATAAATTCCCGTTTAGTCTGAGATCTCGATGCGAATTATTTGTTTACACAAGTGAACAAAACACTAGTGCGAACAAGCGCACATTCCAGACACTAAATAAACATCACTTGAGGTTCGTTTTCATCTTCGTTGGTGGCACTGGCTGCTTATCAAGCTGTTTTCTGTACGAAGCAGGGAAAAGTGCAAGTGAAGAGCTCGAAATGCCTGGAAACTTTTATAAAAAAACAACTTTGAAAATAAGAGGTTGTTATTGAGACCTCAAACTATAAGTTTAACATTGATGCAGTCAGCCAATTTGTGTAATAAATTAATTTAAATAGATTATCAATTTATCTATAAAATAAAAATCCTTCAAATTGAATCGCTTTATTTAAATATAAACTGTTACCCATTTTTAACATTTATTTACAGAGAAATGAGTAATACCCTAAGGTAACAAAACACAGATTTATATTGTGTAATTTCATGGTTTTTCCAATGGCTAAACCAGGTGTAGATCCCCTGAATTCCCCATTTTATACCCTACTTTATCACCCTTGAATGGAATCTCCGGGGCCCATCTACACGACTCAGCTGTTTGGCAAGCTGCAGATTAGATTAGCAGTGAAAACATCATAAAAATAGAAACACCAAAAAAGCAGAGGCACTGATAAGGCGGAACGAAATCCCCCCGGCAACCTCCTCTATCTTAACTTTTCCCCTTATTTTTTTACCTATTTGACACAGTAAACAATTCAGGATATGGTTAAGTGTAGTTTCCGGCAGTGTAATGGAGGATAAAAGATATAAAAGAGAGTAAAGTTTACTCTAAGTGATGTTTTGTGCAAGATTAGGTGGAGCTACGATAAATGATAAAATGCACTTACCACTGTAGCCAACGATCGACGTGGCGTGTGTCCGTTGCCGTATTCCAGGCGCGTCTGCTGTTGTCCTGCAACAGAGGCGGCTCTCCTCCGCGGCGGTGGGCGTGGCACATCGCCACCTGACGCCGCCGAGGAGGATGATGAGGGAATGGGGAGGGCAGTAGCGGCCACCAAGCCGCTGGAACGTGCCGACATTATTATTGTTGTTAATTTTTAAAAAAGAATCTGCAAAGAGAGAGAGAGAGGAATGTGTGAGTGAGAGGTGCATAAAGTGCAACGGAGGCGGAAGTGCAAATTAAGCGAGAAAAGACACGAGTGGCTGGCTGGCGGGGGAGCAGAGGCAGCTGCAGAGGCTTGCGACAATGGCTTGGAAGCTGTGACAAGACAAGGCCAAAGTGAGAAGTGCGAGAGGCGAGAAACGTAAAGAAAAGAAAAGCGAACAGAACAGACAACAAAGAGGGGAGCAACAAAAGTGCACAATGGACGGGGACGCGGGCGAACGGTACTTGTGCTAGATGCCATCTCTGTCTGCCGACCGCCCTGTCCCATGCCCCTGTGCAAGCGAGGTGTGGGAGAGAAAGAAAGAGCAAGGGAGTAAGCGGCGCACAAAAGCCAAACATTTTCCTTGACAAGCAGCGCCTGCAACAACTACGGGCGTAATTAGCCAAGCGCGAAGGGTTCAACGGCATGTCTTCTAGCCGTGTGTCGTCGTCTCTGGCTCCAGCTCCTCCCCGTTTATCTTTTATGGTTCGGTTTCGCCCAAGTTTTCCACTTACTCTTCTAGCACACACACACACACACGCCGCACTATAATTTCGCTTGATTTATGTATATATTTGCACCAGTATGTGTGAGTGTGAGTGCGGGTTGGCCTTTTATCCACTATGTGCGGAAAATCATCACGAAAAATCTTTTATTCACACGACGAGTATTCCGGCAATCACGGCAGCGCGCTCACATGCCTGAGTCGCCGATCTGGGGCGTTGGGGCGGCGGCTATAGCTGCACACATTCACACGCGAGATCGAAAACAATAATTTAAAAACCGCACACCGGACGAAAAAAACACGCAAAACGGACAAAATCGAGAACAAAAATGCTAGAGGGACCAGAGTTGCGCAGCCAACAAAATACCGCTTCACCTGGCAGCCGATACCGTTCGCCGAGCACGGGCCTGGCCTAAAAACAGCAAATTTTGATTAGTTAAGGGCTATATTAGATGAATATATCGCAATACTTGTAGATTAATTGTTAACTTTAGTTGTAAAACCAGTTTTTTTGCAAGCCTCCATGACACTGCCACGCTGCCAGCTCGGTATATTTCAAGTATTTTCCCACCAACGATGAACGGCCACACGAAAGCAGTGAAAATCAAATGAAACGCGAAATCTAATAAATAAAAGTGTTGCAAATAGCAGTTGTTGGTGCATTTAAACCCAAAGGAGTGTCCGAATTTCAAGCCCATAACCGCCCACAGCTAATACAGTATATAAAAAGCCCCTGACAGACATTTCCAGCCATCAAAACACTCGAAAAACGCCAGAGCGGCAAGAAGAAGAGAGTGCGTGGTGCGTAGTTGGTGCGAAATTGCGTATTAGGAAAGAAAATCACAACAACAACCACACCACCAAGGCAGCAAGACGGCTTCGAAAGCCAGTGAAAAACTGCAAACGCAGGCAACAACAAACATTTAGCACAGAACGAAGAAACAGCCAGCTAAGATCAAATATCGGGCATTATCGAACGACAGACAGCAGGTTACATGGGTCTGACGGATCAAGACTGGATCGGCTGTGCGGTGTCAATAGCCTGCGACGAGGTGCTCGGCGTCTTCCAGGGCCTGATCAAGCAGATATCCGCCGAGGAGATAACGATCGTTCGCGCGTTTCGCAATGGCGTCCCGTTGCGCAAGCAGAACGCCGAGGTGGTGCTCAAGTGCACCGACATCCGTAGCATCGATCTCATCGAGCCGGTCAAGCAGGACGTTGATGTGCAGACGGCGGCGGCGCCGGTGATCAACAAGCCCACGCCGGTCAAGCTGCCCAACTTTTCCAACATTCTCGGCAAGCAGCAGCAGCTTCAGCTGCAGCAACAGCAGCAGCAGAAGCAACAGTTTCAGGAGCAAGAACACGACCTGGACCAGCCACTGACGCCGCGGAACAAGGCCAACGGACATGGAAGAGCAACGGCAAGCGGAGGAGGAGGGGCAGGTGGAGCGTCCTCGTCGCGTGGCAACTACAATTCAACGCTTAGCGACAAAATGCACCAACTAAAGCTCATCGAGACGAATGGCTCCAATGGCCTTAGAAGGTAGACAGTTTTTAAAATTAAGGTAAGAGCTTTTGTCATCTTTGTTTTTCTTGTCCTTTTAGAACACCGCAATCATCGCGGGCAAACAGTGCCCAACAGCAGCCGCAGCAGATGTCAACAACTCCAAACAGCGTGGCCGCCTTCTTTGGCAACATGATTCCGGCCAAGGTGGAGGTGAAGCTGGGTGCCACTGCTTTCGGTGGCAATACGCGGGAGAGCTACTGCAGCAGCAGCGGAGACAGCGGCGAGGCAGCTGGTTTAATCTTAGGCAGCAGCGCAAGCAGCAGCAGACCCATCGATATCGTTAGCAATGGAGATGGCTACTACAAGCAGGCAGCCTCCAGCTACGGTAATGGCAACGGCAACGGCAGACGAAATGGCAACGTAAACAATAATAATAACAATGGCAACGGCAACGGCTCTTACACCAATGCGAATGGAAATGGAAATGGCAACGGAAAGAACAAACGGAACAGGGTGCGAAGGGAGAGTAGCATGCGACTGGTTCAGCAGACTTTCGGCAGCGAGGCAGACGATCCCCTTATCCAGGAGGACTTTGACTTTGAGGGTAATCTGGCTTTATTCGACAAGCAAGCGATTTGGGATGACATCGAGTCGACGCACCAAAAGCCAGATGTTGTGCGTCACACTGTGGCCCATCATCGCCATCATCAGCAGCCGGAGGAGAAGTACAGGCACGACGAGAACATCTTGGCCAGCAAGCCGCTGCAGTTGCGACAAATCGAGAGCATTTTCGATGGCAGTACGGACTTTGTGACGGATGACGGGCTGATTGTGCCAACGATTCCGGCCTATGCCCGGAATAAGATTGAGTTGAGTGCCGACAAGGCGGGCCTCTCGCTTCAACGCCAGATTGATATTTTGGCGCGAGGGGCCAGCGACCTGGCCATCACACTGCTGGGCGGTGCCAGACGTTTGACGCCGGCCAACAATCATCAGTGGCCGAAGATAGCCATCATTTGCGATGGCGTTAAGAACATGAGGTAAGAGGTTTGACGGACTTTTATAAGAGTTGAGTGATTTAAGTCTGATTTCTTCCTGCAGAGCAATCAACATTGGGGCGGCAACAGGTCGCCAGCTGGCTTCTCATGGCCTTACCGTCTTGCTGTATGTGGAGCAGGCCAAGCTGCTAGAGCAGAATATCAGCAATGCTGAAATAGCCCTGTTTAAGGCCACTGACAATGTCATTGTTTACTCGGTGGATGGTGAGTGTGTTGCTTAGCTGAAATAAGATAAAGATTATCTTGGGATTACATCAAAAAACTCGTATATTGCAGCCTTGCCTACGCCAGATCTTGTGATATTGTCGACCAACACCGCCAATCTATCGGAAGCGGTCAAGAAATGGCTTAGTGTTAATCGGTTAGAAAATCCCCAAACTTTAATTTTGCTTCCTCCTAACTTATAAAGCATTTCTTTCAACAGCGCTTCAGTGCTTGCCGTAGATCCCCCACCCTGTGGCATCAACGATGTGGCCATCAAGTACTCTATTTTGCCCATATTACCATTAAATGGCATATCAACAGCAACAGCATCATCATCCTCGTCGGCGGCTGCTACACCCACGCCCATTGCCAGCACATCATCGGCAGCAGCAGCAGCAGCGGCAGCAAACAAATCAACAGCAGCATCAACGAACAATTGTGGCAAATTGTATTTATGTAATTTAGGTATACCGGATAAATTCTATCGTGATTGTGGCATTAAGTACAAAAGTCCATATGGACATAAATATGTGATACCGATTCACTCAAAGGACTGAAACAACGACAACAACAGCAACAACAACAACAACATAAACACCAACATACACCAACATTTTCAACAACAGCAATCAAAACAGAGAGAGAAAACCAAGAAAAACAAACATCAACAGCCAGAATAAGTGAATACCAATAACAAACACACAACCCGCACACTTGTGATGATCATCAAGTCCAGTTTCCTGTGAATCTAGCTCTTAGTAGTATCTTCTTCTCATCATATATATTACACTCAACACCCGACATTTTGTTTTGCTAGTTACTAGCTAGACCCTAATATAGAGTATGCCTGCCTAGTTATCGTATCTATACTTTTTTCGGAATTATTTAAAAGCTGCCAACCTACTATTAGTTTTCCTAAGATTAGTCCTTTAAATTTTTTAAAAACAATTATTAAAGATATCTTTTATGGCGCTAGTCCCAGCATTTATATAAGTTTCAAAAGCTTTAGTTTAGATGAAAATTGTTCAAAAACATTCAAACCCAATCATTTGATTTGTACACCCTCCCTTTTAGTGTCCTTCCCGCAAGTGGTCTTCATAATCATAATCAAGTAAAGATATCAGGCGACTATAAATTGTTGTGTACATACACCTGTAATATTCTATGGGGAGGAAGCTAAGGGTCATGTTAATTATTATCAAGAAGTATGCGCAATAAATGCCAAATTCAATGTCTAATTTTAAGCCTTAAAATCAACCGCAAAAGCAACTATTGTACGATATAAACACAAAGTAAAACAAAAACGGAATACAAATCCAAGTATAAATCAAATCAGTTACTTAAGCTAAGTTAGTTGTGTAAGCTTCAAGTGTTTAAGGAACCCTAACAACCATCGGATATAGCGAGTTAAAGAGGAAAACACTTTCTATCAAGTAGAGTTATTTAAGATGTGTCTTTAAGCGAGAAACTAAAAGTCGACAGCATAATTTTTTACCCATCGAATACTAAAAAAAAGAAAGAAAAGTAAACCACAACACAAAGCGTATATATACTCTAAATCTAAATCTAAACTTTAGTAGAACGATGAATTTTATATAAGATTAAATCCAATCAAATAGTGCAAAATTTTAGCAGGTTGCGCGAGACTCAGCAAGGCGACAACCAAAAAAACAACCCAAAATTAAACCAATTTGTTGTAAACATCATAATTATAATTGTAATTGTAAATTGTAACGATACCAACCAACCGGCAACACACAAGTAGACTCTAAATTCCAATCATGATGATCATCTGCAAACTCAATTTCCAAACAAGCAAAAAGAAAAACGAAAAACCATCAAATTATATTGTAACAGAGAGAGAGTTGAATGCGGACCAACTGCAGGTCCCGCAGTGACTGTTTTGAGTTAGGCGTAGGAGGAGGAGAAGAAGAAGGGTTAACCAGACCCCAAATGGATGTTAGTGGAGAGCGGATGAGAAGGTTTTCCAAAATACCACAACACACCAACAACGAGACACAGTTTCCACAACCACCAAACAACAACAACAACAGAACAAAACACGAAACACAAACATCCAGAGATTTTGTGAACGCTTTAAAATTGTGGAAATACATAATATATTGATCTATTTTCGGGCCAATTGAAATTGTTAAACAAAAGAATGAAAACTTAATTTTAAAATTTATACAAAAAAGACAAACAAATTGTACAGAAAAATTCTCTTTTGGAACAAAAATGTGTAAACTCAAAATTAAGCAGAAAAAAAAGCGGAAAAAGAAAACACAAAAAGAAAGTCCTTTCCAAAACGAAACAGCAATATTTAAAAAAAGAAAATACAAACAACACCGAGAAGCCTTCTCATGAAAAAAAATTATGCGAGTTTTTATTTACGGGGGTTTATCTTGGGTTTTAGCATAAGCATTTTTGAAACAGTAATCTGTATCTTTACCTTACCTGATTTTATAGATTAATACACCCTGCTTTCTACTTTCTACTCTTTTTCTAGGCAATATCGTATTGCAACACACAATATAAGACCTTTCCCCATCAAGAAATTACTTATAAAACCCTCATTAATAGAGTAAAAAAAACAAGCTCACTCTGCCATATAATTCAAGTGCAATTTTATTACAATCCGCTTAGATCCATAAAGATAAGTGTTAATTTAGATCTTACTTAAAAGAGTGTTTGTGTTTTGTGTGTGTGTGATATATTTAACTTAAGAGTGTGTGTGAGTTTAGGACAGTGTTTTTTGGACTTACAATTTAGATAAAAAACAATATAATTACGGGATAGATATATAGATAGATATATTAGTTATCGTTTTCGATCGATTCTTACCCAAATAAGTGGCAAATGGGACCAAACACAAATAACTCTTTACACTGCTCTCCCCTGTCGAAAGAAACGAACCAGAAATACACAGAAACAGAGACAGACATCCTCTGCCCCCGTCCCTCTTCGATGATTATAGAATTTTGGTATCAGAGAGATTAGTGCCCCGAATACTCACATATATGTATATATAACTGATTGATCTGAGCCCCCATATGCATCGGCAGCGAAAAACGTATAGTTCTGAACAGCTACGAGAGTTGTATATTAATATTTTTGCATTTTTATGATGGTTTTCTTTTTATTTTTTTATAGAGAGAGACTGGATCAATACGTACGTTGGGGTCTGGAACGCCGAGAGAACCCTACAGAGCCTGGGAGTGTTATCACAAAACGTTATTTGCATACGTACCACACAAAGTCGTGATCTTCTAACATAAATACGTACCCAGGAACGCATAAAAACACAATAATCTCTCTCATCGATACGTACCCAAGCTATAGTTTATCTGGATTATCTATGTTATATATATGTAACTGGCTAACATCTGGGTATATATGGTATTTATATATACTCAATACGTACCAAAAGCGGCTGCAAAATGTGGAAACTTCGAGTAGAGAACGCTTTAGCTTTGGGGTTACAAATCAAATCAAATCAAATCAAATCAGATCAGAGCAGTGATAGTGTCAGAGTTATAGAAATATGGTCGACAGGCTTACCCCAAAAACTGGGACGACAGCGATGCATCGACGACGTGACCTGAGCTGAGAAGAGTACATTATAGAGGCGAGGGAGAGTGGGTGTACCTTTGCTATACAACACACAAAATATCAAATGTTAAAGAGTGGGCGGGGTTAACTCCTCTTCCTCCTAACTGTGGGGTTACTACTTGCTCTCTACTTGGAACTAACGTGTGTCTATCTCTTTGGGGGTTTTTCTGTTTTCGGTTCTGGGGTTTATTGGGTTAATTTCTATATTTTTTTGTGGGACTTTTTGAACAGAGTTTAATTCGCTTTATTTCGGTGTTTAAGAGGTTCAAAGGAGCGTAAGATCAAGAGTAGAAATTATTAACATTTCGAAGGTTGGTTGGTTTGATTAAGCTACGAATATATTCTCAGTTGCTGTTGGTTTTTCAGTAGTGGCATTTTGTAGTTGTTGTGATTAATGCTACGTACGTGCGCTGCCTGGAGGGATTCCTTTAGCGGCGGTTGTAGCGTTCGCGGGAGTAAGAGCGTCTTCGGTTATTGCCTCCGCCACCTCCTCCTCCTCCACCGCCACCGCCGGGTCCATCCCGAAAGTGATTAAAGTTGCGGCGTTCACGTGGTGATCTGTCCCTGGAGCGTGATCGACGTCTGTCATCTCGATGGTTGCCACCACCTCCAAAGCGTCCTCTGTCGTTGCGATGTCCCTGGCCTCGGTCACGATCCCGTCTGCCATCCCTATCACGTTCCCGATCTTGCCGGCCATCTCTGTGATCGCCACGGTCCTCTCGACGTCCTCCGCGCTCACGTTCTGGTGGCCGTTCGGGTCTCTCCGCTGGTCCTTCAGCCGTCTCCTTGCCACCCTTTTCGCCATTGGGCCTGTCGCGTTCTCGCTCTGCATCACGGATACGCTGACGCTCTCTGGAACGGGAGCGATGAACACGCGAGCGACGGTCCAACTCTCGGCCACCTACAAAGTAGCGATTGCGTCCACGTCCCTCATCGTCTCGATCGGGCATCTTACCCGTCCTCTTCAGCTCTGCCTTGCGCGGCGCCGCCGTCTTCTCCAGCTCGATCAGCTTCTCGCGTATGGTGAGGAAGCCGAGATGCAACTTACCACCAAAGTGGTCCGCCAGCCGGATATCGTTGTCGTGGATGCCCAGGTAAGCGGAGCAGACCTCGCACACGCGCAGCTTCTGCTGTTGGTACGTCGAGGCGGGCATAGAGGTGCGGTATTCGTGCTCGGCCTTGATCTTCTTGCCGCGCAGCTCATCGATCTCCTTCATCAGCTCCATGCTGTCCTCGACCTCGCCGGCCTCGCCCAGAGCCTCCGCCTTGGCCAGCTTCTTGCCAATCTCCTCAGCCAGGCCGTGCACAGCGTTGGCCTTTTCGGCCACCTCGGCGGTGAGCTCCTCCTGGGTCTCCTTGAGCCGCTGCTTGGCCGAGTCCGTGCGCCGGTCGCAGTCGGCTATGAAGGCCTGCAGGTGCTCCATGGCCTCGATGTCGTAGTAGTAGTCGCGCGTCTTGGCCGCACTCTCGTAATCTGCGCGGAAAGCCAGGTCATGCACTTTGGGACACTCACCGAGATCCATGCGAGTGGACGCCAGGATGTCGTGGGGGCAGCAGTCGAGCAGGAAGGACTTGCACACCCGCGAGTCCGAGAACTTGAGCTGGCGCTCGTCCCCGTTCCGTGTGGTGCCCATTAGCTGGTCCAGCATTGCGCGCATCTGATCGGTGGCCGACATTTTGTTACTGGCTGCGCTCATTTCCCTCTGACGGTCGGCGTGAAAATGGCTGCGGCGTACCGGGCAGTGACAGCTATGTCGCAGGTCCTGTGACCCACTCTGGCTGGCTAAATCGGAGAAAACGTGCGGGAAAATCGGAAATTTTCACTCCGCTTTTATTTTTTACCCAGGAAAATTCGTTAGGCGTGCGTGTGTGCGTAGAAAGTGTGACCAAATATAGCGATATAAATATATCGATATGCGTATGCATAAATAAATTCAGTATTTTTTATATTCGAACCACATCTGATACTACAACCTACAACAGATAACAGAGTTGTAACAGAATTTTCTGTTAAAATGAGAGCCTAACAGAATTTTGCTTATGGAATTCCCAAATTGAGAGGGCGTTTTAACAGAACGGGGATGTGGAAAATATATCGATATATCGATATGCATGGACGATCTGGTACTTTTTGCCCCAGACCGTGGTGCTGCCATCCTTTGCACCCACTAACCACCCCTAATGGCGTTGTCCAACACTAGCTAGCAAAACGTTTTCATTGAACGAAATATTTTTTGTTGTTTCTTTCGTTTTTCGGCGAAATTTTGGTTTAAAATTAATTCTACACGCTCGCTGGCGTACAATGTCAGATGACGAAGATATCCAGTACATCAAGCGCCAGCGGACGCTCCACTATGGCTCGCTGGAGGAGACGGAGCGCAAGCGTCAGAATGCGGCGGCGGCGTCTGCCACAACCGGCGCTCCGGCGCCGGCATCTTCCTCGGGATCTGGAGCAGGAAGGGAAGGGGGAGGAGGAGGAGCGACTACAGCGGCGGCGGGAAACACTGGAGGCCAGCTGGAGGACATAGACTCAGATGAAGACTACGAGGAGGCATCCAAGAAGGCGACAGGCAGCGGCAAGCCGGCGGGCAAGACTGCCGGCAGTGCAAAAGCTGCGGCCGCACTGCCCACAGCAGCCACACTGGCCAACAAGATCGACGACGACTACTTCGATCTGGAGGCGGAAATGGAGCGCGACAAGGTGGCGCTGCTGGAGGAATTCGAGCGTAAGAAGCGCGCCCGCCAGATCAATGTGTCCACGGACGATGCCGAGATCAAGAACAACCTGCGTCAGTTGAACGAACCGATTTGTTTCTTCGGCGAAGGACCTGCAGAACGGCGACGCCGTCTCAAGGAGCTGCTGGCCAATCTTGGCGAGAATGCCATTAATCGTGGGCGAGGCGCCGAGGATGTTGAGGAGCGTAAGGTGCAGTCGCGCGACCAGGAACAGGCAACATGGTACCACGAAGGACCGGACACCCTGCGCATTGCCCGGCTCTGGCTGGCGGATTACTCGCTGCCGCGGGCCAAGGATCGATTAGAGCGTGCCCGGCAGGCTCTGGAGGTGCCCAGCGCAGCGCGTGCCGGTCGCATGGTGGAGATGCAAAAGAAGCTGCAGTCACTGGCACCACTCTGCTCCCAGGTGGGCGACACACGGCCCGTCAGCAGTGCCGCCTTCAGTGCCGATTCCTCGCTGCTGCTGACTGCCTCATGGTCCGGCCTCTGCAAGCTGTGGAGCGTGCCCGACTGCGAGCTTAAGCAGACGCTGCGTGGCCATGCCAGCTATGTTGGCGGCGTGGCCTTGCGGCCCGGTGTCCATGCCGACGAGGAGAACGTGGTGGCCATGGCCTCGGGCGGCCACGATGGCGCCGTCAAGCTGTGGGGCTTTAACAACGAGGAGTCCATTGCAGACATCACCGGCCACATGCCGCATCGCGTGTCCAAGGTGGCTTTCCATCCGTCCGGCCGTTTCTTGGCCACCGCCTGCTATGATTCCAGCTGGCGGCTGTGGGATTTGGAGCAGAAGACAGAGGTGCTGCATCAGGAGGGACATGCTAAGCCGGTGCACTGCCTCAGCTATCAGTCGGACGGCAGTGTTCTGTGCACCGGCGGCTTGGATGCCTTTGGACGGGTGTGGGACCTGCGCACCGGGCGCTGCATCATGTTCCTCGAGGGCCACTTGGGGGCCGTATTTGGCGTGGACTTTTCGCCGAATGGCTTTCACATAGCCACCGGCTCGCAGGACAATACCTGCAAGATCTGGGACTTGCGACGACGACAGCCGGTGTACACCATTCCCGCGCACACAAACCTCATTTCGGATGTGAAGTACCAGCAGGAGTGCGGCAGCTTCCTGGTCACCTGCTCCTACGACTCCACGACCAAGATCTGGTCGAACAAGACGTGGCAGCCGCTGAAGACGCTGCAGGGCCATGACAACAAGGTCATCTCCGTGGACATTTCACCGAATGCTCAGTATATAGCCACCACATCGTTCGATCGCACCTTCAAGCTGTGGTCGCCCGATAGTTGATTTTAATCTTAGGATTTTCATTTTGATTTATTTTGATTTTGGATGCCACTCAGACAATCTCCATTATTGCGTGCGATCTGTGCTGTCTTTTAATCCTTTTTCTTGTTATTTCAGAGACAATAGCCCAAGCAAGTTTTTACAAACAATTCAAGTTTTCGTTTTGTATAACACAATTTGTTGTTGTTTTTGTTAGGCGAAAGGCAGCGGCCATTGCAGTGCGCGATATTGCATTTCGTAAATTTAAGCATTTTTTATTGAAATTGTTAATAAAAAACAAACATTTTTGGTAGAAAAAAAGAGTGTATTTTTTAAAGGAAATAATTATAGAAATGAAATTTCTAATTTTGGAAGAATTTGGGATGAAATTGAGGAAAAACATGGATATATTTTCATACTAAACCTTTGCAACATGTTTAAGTTGCCAGCAATAAAAGGTGTTGCTCAAAAAATGTTGCTTAACCTGCATCTTTGCTGTGCAACATGGTGATATTGCCAGCAACAATACGTGTTGCTAATCATGTTCCTAGCAACATTTTCTGGAAAACACCTAAACTGACGATTTCCCACTTATTTTATCAAAAAAATCTTAATTTTAAAACCCATAAAAAATATAAGAAAATATACTTATTATTTGTATATAGTTTTTCCATTTAATTTCTTTTCGTATATTCTTTTTTTGTTGTTGGTTGCTCTTGTTGTATGACAAAACTTAGACAATTAGTTTGAATTTTAACTAAAATTTAACTACCACAGATAGGTTGCAATTACATACATACATGTAAATGTATATGTCTAATATATTAATTACAGATTACAGATTACACATATATAGTTTACACATTACAGATTTCTCAATTTACTTTTCGCTTTTCTCAATTATTTTCTTTCTAATTTTCTCCTTTTTTTAGTTACGCTTTATATCTTCGTTTCGCGTTGAGATTTTTACACAGAATTTAAACGTAATCCATATATAGGGGTTTTATGTAGAATATGGAGCAGGGATCCTGGGGTTCGGGTTTGGGTTCCAATGAGGTCTCCCTATAATCAAAGATGCCACTCTCTTTCTCTCTTAACTAAATACATAACTCTTGCACTAGGCTAAAAAACTAGACAAAATGATAACTAATTAACAATTAAGGTAAACGTTTATTGGAAATCTCTCAGCTGCTGGGCCAAGCTCTCGTCTCTGTCTCTGTCTATGTCTCTGTCTAGAGTATTCTTCCTTTCCTAAACCGTCGTATCCGGCGCCGGTGAGATGGGCTGCTTTGACTCGGACACCTCCAGGGAGCGTCCATTGCCCGTGTGCCCGTTGCCTTCTTGGGGATCCTCGGGCGCAATGTCAATGCGATGAGCCTTGCGCCAGACCACCAGGTCCATCAGGAATGCCAGGAACATGATGCCAGCGGTGATGCCTTTAAAGGATAAATCAAGGGTTATAGAGTTAGCATTCTTTCCAAGTTTATGTAAAGTTTTTGTAGAGCTCACCCAGAAAATAGTGCCTAAAGGTATCCGCATCGTAGAGCGAACAGGCTCCATGCTTGCCACACACCGACTTCCAGATGAGGCAGGCGGAGTCCACAACGGCGCCGTAGATGATGGGACAAGGAACATTGCCAAACAGGCCAATGGCCGACTGTATCACACCCATGGCCATGGCCTTATCTGTGAAGGGATTAATAGATAAATAATTCATTAATATAGAAATATTTTTAGGGAAGGGTCTGTCTTCTTACCTTTGGGATGTGTACATCGCATGACGAGCAGCATGCTGCCCACCTCGGAGGTGGAATGCATAAATACGCAAATGGCAAAGATCAGTATAAAGTAGATGAAGTTCTTGCAGTTATTATCACAGTAACCGTTGACCGCCTCCGGAGCTGTAGAAAAGGAAATATCTTTATAAAAAGGAAGTGATTTAATGGGAGAAGGACTTGCTCACCATCTGGAATGCAAGCGCAGTCGGTGTATAGGGTGCGATTATCGCTGGGTCGCAGCGAGGTACTGCTGCATCCCGCATGGCAGGCCGAGATGTACATCTTGCCATCGGCACAAATTGGGGCAAAGTTCTCCTTATCACAGGTACAGTTGAGAGCGGCACTGCAGGTGGGCTCGATAAGAGCGGGACTAAAAGGGGAATATAAGGTTTTTATTACATTAAATATAAATTATATATACATTTTAAATAATTAAGAAGCTATATAATCAAACTCATAAAGCTGGGAGGTTTAACTAATGATTTTATAAAGATTTTCCATGCTTAAATAGCATTTTAATTTAGTTGATAAAAAGTATAGCCTACTTTCTGGCAGCTGCTTAGAGTAATTTACCAAGTTAACTAGAAATCTGTAGTTAACGTAAAACTAATCCGATTAAGATGAAAATTTGTATACATATAAAAAAAATATTATATTTTCTATATAAAAAAATAAGGACACCCCACCTGTTGCCATCGCTGGCCTTGTAGCCCGCAAAGTCATTCATACTGCAGCCTATAAACATCAGGATAATCATGCCCACGGAATACACCAGAGCTGTAAAGGCTATCCAGGCAGCCACACCTCTAGCCGTGGGCTTTCGCTTCAGGATAAACAAGCCGGAGATGACAATGCCAATGCCCATGACCAGGATGCCACAGAAGGCAGCTATCATATTGGCATCGTAGGTGGCCAGCCGAAACTGTGTCTCCAGATATTTGGGAAGGAAAGTATACAAGCCCGCGATGGGCAGCAGATGGAACACACAGGAGGCAGTGCGGAACATAAGGATATCGTTGCTTAGCTGACGGCGTACAGTCTTGGGAAAATCTGGACAGGAAAATAGGAAATATTGAATCTTGAAAAGGTATAAAAATCTCTAAAAATCCCCTTGAACTCACCTTTCAGCTTTGGCTTCTCCTCTGGCTCTGCTGGAGGAGCTGCCACTGCCGCCGCCTGGGACTGCTGCTTGCCTCGCAGTTGCTTGGGAAACGAAAACATGGCAATCGAGGCCAGCAGCATCAGGCTGCCAATGGCCACTGGGCCCAGCCACCAGGCACCAATCCAACGCGGATCGGTGGCATCAAAGCCGGGATTGGAGAAGTTCACATACCAGCGGGTGCAGAAGCTGCCAAAAATAAAACCAGAGGCTGGACCCAGGATGCGCATGCCTATGGTGACGGCCATGTACATGGGTGACTGCTTGCTGCCCACATTGTCATCGATGTAGGGAATGCCCAGGGTGGCCACCGCCGTCTGGCCAATGCCCGAGCTCAGCAGACTGCCAAAGAAGATGCACAGCACAATGACGGTGATCTTGGAGTGAGAGGCCTGCTCCAGCTGCCGCTCCTCATTGCACTCACTACCCGACAGGCTGGAATTGCCCCCCAGGATGCACAGATTGGGATTCAGGCTCATCACCTCCGAGTCCCGGCTGCCATTCAGCCACATTGAGGAGGTGGACTCAATCTGCTGCGGCTGTTGCTGCAGAATCACACTGGAATGCATCAGCTGCTCCCCGAAAATGAAGTGGGGAAGGGCACAGGCAAAAGCTGCTATGGAGAAGAGGACCATTCCGCAGGCTATCCATCGCGGACGATGACCCCTGCCCGCAAAGTAGGTCAGCAACATGGCCGTGCAAATCTGACCCATCTCGCTGGCGCTTAGGAGGAGTCCTGTCGTCTTCGACTTGATCTGAAAGAGCTTCTCAATGGTGGTAATCACAGAGACGAAGTAAGTCATGTACATTCCCTGCAGAATGTAGGCCAGCAGGAAGACCACCATAAAGACGTGCGTCGAGGCGAATCTCCTGGCCCACCTAGGTCGGCAGCCGAACAAACCGCAACTGGCAGCAGCATCCGCCGAGGAGGAGCCGCCATTGAGGTCTGAATCAAAGTCGGACTCTTCCGATTCACTGGAGCGAGGGGGCAGCTTGTAGCCGCCAGTTAGAGGCGCCTGCTCGTGGGCATATTTCTCGCTGAGATTGTGGCCATGTCCATGGCCATTGGAGGTGCCATTGTTGTTGGTGTGGTTGCCATTCTTGAGGTCCTCCACCGCCGGTCCCTTCCACTCGTTGTTGTTGCTGGGCGTGCTCTCGTAGAGCACTGTGCTGGGCGGCGGCGTTGTGGCCACCTCGTTGCCACCGTTCTGGGCCAGGAGCGGTGTGAAGGCCTGGCTAGAGTCTCGGCGTCCACCGCCGCCATTCTGATGATAGCCATTTACCTGGCCATGTCCATTGCTGGGCTTGCCGCCGCCCAAGGATGCAGCCTGAGTGGCGCCGGCCTCCACATCCCCGTTGCTCTTGGTCATACTGTTGGCCACTAGAGTTCCTGGGAATCCTGGGAATTAGGGGTTTTGCGGATGATCCTCTAGATCTTAAGTGGGTTGTTCTTATAATCTCAGGGGTGTGTAATCTCAGCAGCAATTCTAGGTGGTCTTGGTCACTGCCTGTTGTTCCATATTGTGGTTCCCATTACTTCGGACTTGGATTTGGGTTCTCGGTTCTATACATTCGATTCTGGCTGGTATTGTATATTGATATTGGCCCAAAAACGAGGTAGATTGAGGTTGATCTGGTTTCTGTTTACAGTTCTATATATTCTTTGTTGCAATATGGCAGTGTTGTGTGTTCTGAAAATGGAAATAGGAGCAAAGAATCGAACATTAGTAATAGAAAGTGATTAAAATTGGGTTTTTAATTGAAATTAAGTCAAAAAATCATATTGTAATATTTAAAAACCTCCTATATATTATATATTTTTATTACTTTTTATGTATTCAATCTTCTTAATTTACTTCCTCCCGATTTATATGGAACTATAGCTTTGAAATCCCAAAGCAGACTGCAGGAAAAAACGCAGAACCCGCTGGAACCCATACACTCGCCAAAATGAAAGTGGGAAGCAGAGAAAACCTTATCGGTTTATATATAATATAAAACATATATGCATTAAAAACGCAGTCGTGTGAACAGCATGCGACAACTTGTTAGCAAAAAAGCTCTTTATTTCGGATTTTTTCTTCGTATTATTTTGGCAAATTGATAAGCCAACACCTTGGAAGTTCAAGGTTGAGCTGATAATAACATTCAGGCACATGTCGCATTTTTGGTTAGCTAATTTAAATGAAGTTTTTAATTAATTTTATGTATAAAATAGATCTTAGAAATTTTTCTAGAATTTTTATTAAATATATAAAATTAAAAGAAGATTTAAAAATAATTTTCTAGCCTTTAAAAATAAACTCAAACATTTGCTTTTTGTGTTTTTAATGATAAAATAATTCTCACAATTAAACAAAATTGTTATATTTAAAAACTTTTTTACTTTTTTGTATAAATGAGTTTATGAATATATTATTTAAGATTTTAACCTATTTCTATAAGTGTATAAATTGTATATGCAAAAAAACAAATATTAAAACAGTTTGTCCAAATTCCGCTCTACTCGTATCTCACTTTTTGTTCCCCCTACTTTTTTTTTTTATTCGTTTTGCCAAAATTTCAATGTCAAATATTATTCGCAAATTCGTTTCTAAACATTTGCCTATACATACACACATTTACGCTTGTGTGTGTGTGTGTGTGTTTGGGTTTATAAAAAAGCAATGACGGAATTTAATTTCACTTTCTGCCGGGACAGCCGCTCTTTTGGTTCCATTGCAATCGCAATCGCAACTCACTGGCTGCAGTCGCAAATCTTATCACTATGCCCGACCTCGATGATAAGGAAAGTGAAATTGTCACTATATATACACACATACATATACCCCTACACTTGGAGAAATTAAGAGTTTTTTAAAGAAAATATTCAATGTTTAGAGACAAAAAACTACTAAGAGATGAGTGTAGAAATCATAAAAGCAAAGAAAGGTAAAGGTTTTTTAATAGCTATGAGAGTTTTTTAATAAATATTTTTATTATTTACTAAAAAATATATAAAATATAAAAAAAAATTTTATATACTTCAAAAAATTTGAAATATTTGGTAACTAATCGATGATATATCATTATCATTCAATTTCTGTGTAATATACATATATTCCTTTAAATTTGTTCACAGTGTAAGCGACAGGAGTTTCCTGCCCTCCTTCTTTTCTTTTTCTTTTATTTATTTACTTTTTTCTTTTATTATTATTAATTTTTTATTTTTTGCTTAGCCCCCCTAAACTTTGGCCTTGAATTTGTGTTGTTATTGCTTTCCATGATGGTTTCTTACTTTTTCCTCTGTTTTTCATTCGATTTTGTTTATTGCGCATTTTGTGCTTTTGATTTCTATTTGAAATACTTGGCTGCCATTGTTGCTGTTTCACTGGAATGCTTGTGAATTGAGGGAATATTTATTTATGCATAATTAGAGATGAATGGGAGTAGCACGTGCTTAATTAGCATTCCTGATTTGATTGATGATTAAAATATAACCAAAGCGGGAAAAATAATTGTAACAAGGCAAGGGAAAATATTTAAAGATAAAGATATATTCCAGATATACAGATACAGATACAGATATGCATTAAAGATACAGCTACAGATATAGATATACATTAAAGATACAGCTACAGATACAGATACATATTAAAGATACAAAAAGTATTGTAAAATATAGCTTTTTTATGATGAAGTTTATGGAAGTTTTTATGGTATCTAATTTATGACTTCAAATGCTTATGACTCTAAGTTGTAAATAGTTTTTCAGATATTTTTAGATTTCTGTATTAACTAAATTTTCCCTATAATATATGGTTGATATATCTAAGCATCGGGAACCTCCCCTTCTACTTTCATACTTTGTAAAGGTCTTTAAAAAATGTTTACCTGTGACATCACACACAGCTTGTAATATAAATTTCCAACTTAAACCCAAGATAAGGCCCTTGGCTTTATCTTTAGTTTTCCGTCTTATCTGTTTTTCACACTTTCCCACAGTTTTTTTTTTTTGTTTTTGTTTTTCTGCAGTTACTTCTAACTGATTCTAACCGGTGACGTACCTCTGGATGGGACAACAAAGCCAGTAGTTTAGCACTGGCTGCTGGCCACTTATCGCCATCATCGCTGCATAATCTTCAATGCTTCTGGCTTCCTCATCGGCAAAGTTAACTTACACAGAGAAAAATGTAGATATTTCTTAAACAACTTCTACAAATTCAGCAGTTTGCTAAGACGATTTCAACATTTGATATTAACTTTTTAAATATTTGTATCTATTGACTTCTGAACTTAATAATTTCTGTTTAAGTTGTATTTTATCATTGATTTTAGGTATTATTTTCTCTATTATTTTTTCAAATATTTGATCTATTTTTCTCCCCTTTTTCCCCCTGTGTACTTAGCAAAAAAATAGTTTAAACTTTAAAGTTACTCTGATGCACTTGCTGGCGGGACCTGGTCTGAACCTGAACTCCTGCAGTTACCTGTTTGAGGCTAAGTTCGAGTGGCAGCAGCAGCAGCAGCAACCAGCGGATGGCTGGCTGGCTCAAGGCTCATTGAACCCTGGGCTCTGGTAGCTCTAAAACTGACCAGGTTGCGAACCTACAGTCAACCAGCCAGATGCTTATGCAAGATCTAACCATCTATCTAAACATATTGACTTCAATTCGGCCTGATGGATGGTTAATTGTTCAATTTGCTGCAAGTGTTGCTAGCTGACAGCCAGATATTTGCCGATTTATCAGTGTCAATCATAATAAATGCAATTAAACCGCCCCGTTTACGAAACTATCAAAATCGAAGGGGGTAAAAGGAGATGGCAGGGGAGAGAATACTGCGCGAATACTGGTTAGGAGCGATCGATGGGGCAGATGGCGGCCGAGGTTTCCATTTCAATTGGACCCGCAGCAGCACTATCATTATAAATACAATGTGAGAAATTCAACGGGTGAATTTTACACTAAAAAGCAAATTAAAATTGAATATTCTAGAGGGAAGATGTAGAGGTAGGGTTAATTTATAATATTTTAGTTTATAAATTTATTTTACAGGGTTTATTTATAATATTTCATTTGGAAAAGAGTTTTCTTTGAGCTTTTTAACTCTTTAAGAAAGTTGTAAAGTTACTTTAAGGTAAGTAATTCATAAATAAAAGAGAACAAAATATGTCACTTTAGACACTAATTAATTACTATTTTATATAGAATTTATCCACATATTTGATTTAACTATTTTATATAGCTTTTAATAATATTTTAAATATAATCTACACTCCCTTTTGGCTTAGTTATCCCCAATCTAACCTCTTGTCGTCTAGTGTAACAAGAATGGTAATGCTTGGTTGTGGGGCGGTCGGCGGAAAAAAAACAACAAATGGGGAGTTGCACTTTTTCTCCGATCATAGCGTGTGGATTTTCCGGTTTTCCCGGCAACTTGCAACTTCGTCTTCCCCTTCCGCCTTCCGTCTTACATCGTCGTCTTTTGCTGCCAACTACGTAACTGAGTTATGTACGTGTGTTTCGGCGAGTGTATACGGGTATTTCCACGGGTGTGCATTTGAATTGCGCAAGCGCAACTATTGCAAATTGCATACCGCGTTGCTGTTGCTGCTGCTGCTGCTGCATGCCAACATGCAACAAAACCAGACACGCGGGCAACGTGCTGACTAGACGCTGACAGCAGCAATATCACAACAGCAACATGGGTATTAGGGATGAAAAAGACAGTTAAAATATATCGAAGAAAAATCGTTAAGTATTGAAAAGGGATAAATCTTAAAAAAATATCATAAGAATTGATATTATATCGTTAAAATATAAAGCAGAAAAATCGTTAGGTATTGAAAACCGATAAATCTTTAAAAAATATCATAAGAATCGTAGAAATATCGATGACTCTGAGAAGACATTTCTTTTAAATAATGCAACCTGTATTCGATAAAGATATTTTTGATTAATATCTAACCCTTAGTTTATCATATTAAGCTTTGTAATTAATTTTATTTTTATTTTCAGCAAAAACTATAATATCCAAAAATACGAAATACCTAAGGATACCCAAAATACCACTATTAAACAATAATTTATCAATAAGATATTGAGGCTTTACTATCGATTTTCTAATTTAATTTATTTAAAACCAAATAATGTAGATACTTTTATCATTCCTAATCGCCACGAACAAGTGCCAAAAGCCACACAGGGGAGAAGAAAGCCTCAACAATGGAATGGCTAGGAGCGGCATTGAAAGTAAATTGCACACTCGACCAGCAGCAAGCCAGCAGCAAAGCAGCAATAGATGCCAGGTTGCCAGGTTGCAAGTCCAAGTTGAAGCCGCAAATGCTGTTAAAGCCAGAATCTTGGAAAGAAGAGCTCGGAAAAGTGGTTTAACCACATTTCACTTTTAGCATAGAAACGATTTAGAACTTGTGTGTGTCTGCTAGAGATTTGCCATCAAAGATCTAGCAAGAAATATAACAGAAGTTTGCCAAAATATTGCACAGAAAGTATTAGAAATTAGATAAAATATAAGGGAAATTATGTGGAGCAGGGGGATGGCATTATGACAAAGGTTCTTGAAACAATATTGAAAAATTCTAACAAATAGAAATGATTATATCACTTTGAACAATGAAATTAAAGAAACCTTATTGTTTTTTTAAGTTACAGAATTTAAAATAAATCAAAAAATAGTAATAATATTATATTCCCTCCAGACATTGAGTCACTTGCTTGGCTTATTTATCTAGGGTCTCCGTCTCCAAGTCTGACTCGGTTTCCGATTCGCTGACCAATCAGATATCCATATGTTTATATGAAGCGAATTGTTTATGCTTGTATTTTGACTTTGACCTTCACATTGAGAACTGAACTGAAATTTGAACCAGAGGCTTGATTTGTGTAAACAAAAAATGTTAGACAGACAATAACAATAACAGAAGCGTTCTCAGCTTTTGCCTTGTGTGACAAACGATTATATTATGAATACATCAGGCCACTTATATACTCCATATGAAGAGAGAGAGAGATAGAGCTTTTTATAAATATTAGAATTTTTTTTGCTAAATTATATTGTGCTTAAAGTGCCGAAATTATTTCAATTTTTGGGGCAGCAACAAACCAGCATGATTCAACCCACTTTTTTTGAATTTTATTTTATTTGCAATGTGGTTAATCTTATTACGGAAAATTAATTTTTTTTTTACACCAAAGCAAGATTGGGGATTATACAAATTAAACTTCAAAGCAATCAAGATATCAAACAAATTCGTAAAATATATACACGGATATTTAAGCTTGTACAGGCTTATGCTTTTATTTTTTTGTTGGTTATTTCAAAGTGGAACAACCATGTAAAATATATATATAAAATTCAATAAGAGGTACATGATTCATGACAGGGCAAAAGGTGTGGCTTGCTTCCTGAAAAAAACAACAACAATGACAAAAAAGTACTTAAAACATTTAAATAAAGGTGGAAAATTGAGAGTTGAAGAAGGAATACTCTTACATAAATTTAATTTAAGTTTTAAATTAATTTAAACAATTTGCAAAAGAATTTTATTTAAAAAGAAATATATTTTTGAGTTTCTAAGATAGTAATATGCCTTAAAAAATCCATAACAAATTTAATAAAATCAACATAAAGTATAAATATTTTATTTCTTAAAACAATTTACATTTTAATTTATTTCTTTTCGACTTTTCTTTATTTTTGCCTTAATTTGGCTTTAAAACAAAACTTCCTTTTTGACGTCGGCGCTTGTTAAAAATCTGAGAAAGGTAAAAAACACCAAAAACCCAACCAAAATGAAACGAAAAAAAATAAAGAAAAATTAACAAGCTCAAAATGGCAGCCAAGTGTGCATAAATTTTTGAAATGTCCGCAACAGGCTGTGCCAAAAAAAAAAAAAAAAAACAACAAAAAACAGACTTAATGAAATGCAATCAAAAAGGCATTCCAAGAGGACTGCATTAAGTCCGACCCGGACTTGGACTTGGACTTGGAACTGGATGTCCAGTGCTACCTGGTAACCGCTCCTCCGATTCCGATTTCGATCCTCCGATTCAGATTCTTATTCCAATTCCAATTCCCCCAAATATCTCGCCCAAAGATCAGTACATGGCGCTGACGTGACGTTCTGGAGTCAGCCAAAAAAAGAAAAAAACTGAAACAAAAACAGATATTCACATTTATTTCCCTTCTGGACATATACAACCTATATAGGTACGCATATACTGAATAAATGCGAACGAGAGAACAGCTTACATTTGTCATTTCGCACGGACTGTGGGGCAATATTGAAGCAAAAGGGGTTTGTTTTTTTTAGAATAAATATTGAGGAATAAAAAACATTTTAAAGAATATTTAGCAAGCTTATTTTGTACATTTTTTGAAGGTTTTTCTTGCTAAATTATAAACTTGCTTTGTAAAATTAAATCTAATGAGAAAATACATGTAAACGCAGCAATTTTTATTTGTTTAGAAGTGTTTTTAAATAAGAAATAAATAAATATATATTTTAAATATAATTTAATAATAAAATTTAATAACTTCAAGAACCCACTAACATCTTTAAATGTTTCTTATATTTTTGTATGTTTTCAAGTCACATTTTTTAAACCCTTTTGTTCCACTGTTTCCCTGTAACATGAAGAAAAGAAAGCTTGTTTCAAAAGCGCCAAAAAAGCAGCTTAATTTAAAAACAGAGAACCTTTTCTGTCTGATTGATTGAGCCGCTGATTTAAGCGGCTTTTCGTTTGGGCTCCAAAACAGCGCCGATTTCTGGACCAATTCTGACCAGAATAAGGTGTTAACTTGCCTTAAAAGGTACCGTTATGGGGTTAATTGAAATTTTATAAACTGTTCGCTGCCATTCCTCCAAAAATTCAGTCTTTACCAACTACCTCCAGCTAATTTAGCATAATTTATTATAGTGGCAGCATTGATTTTTCCAATTAGCAACCAATTATACGGCCAGAGCTTCGTCATGCGCAAAAGTCTAGCTCATTATTTGCATAATTTCAAGTAGATAAAGAATGCCCAACTCAAGTGTTTTGGTTCCCAAAAGTAAGTTCACTTCAAGTGTCAAGTGGTTTCTTACAAAAAAAAAAAACAGGGTATAGAAAAAATAGATAAATAAATAAAGAAAATAGAATAGAATATTCCAAAAGAGAGCCATTGAAATTCGCATAGATACAAGACCATCATTACTCATGAGTATTTGTTTATGAAAGTACTTAGCAAGGTTCGGCTCTCCACAAAAAAAAATTATTTCAATTGTTTAACGTACAAAAAAAATCCCTGCATAATTTTTTTTTTCGCTGAGTTCGTGTTTGTAATTTTTTATTTATTTTACTTATTTTTTTGTTTTGTAAATTTCCACTTGGCACTCTTTTTTGGGGGTTTCTTTCCTTAACTTCTTTGGGCGCCTGACTTTTTATGGCGTTCCATTTTAAATTAGTTGTTTACTTATGAAGAATTTTGAATGGTTTTCGTGTGTCTCCAATTTGTTGTTTGCAACTTACTTGTTTATTGTTGAGTTGTTGAGTTTCTTTAGTGGGTAGAGAGTGGTTGCGGTAACTGAAAGTATAGAAATTTGGGAAAATAAGTTAGATATGTATATTGTTGAAAAAAAATTAAAAGAATTATTTGTATATATGTATATTATATTTTTATATTATTTTTATTATTAATTTAAATCTGAGAACTGGAGTTTGTCTTCTTTCAAATTGTAAATTTTTCTTTCTTTCTAAAATCTATCAACAATTGCATTATCTAATAATTCAAATAAAATTTAAATATAAATATATTTCTATTCATTTTGCAAATTTCCTAGATTTCTAAACTACAAACTACTAGCTTCATAAAATACACCCTCAGTCATAACTATAAATACGTCCGTTTAGTTGGGTCATAACAATTACAGCCAAAACGATTAAAGCTTGTTAAAGTTTTTCCATTTTTTCTTGTTTTTATTCGCATTGCAGCGCGTGAATAAAAATGCAGTGAACATTTTTAACAAGGCAAAATACAAGTAAACATATACACACATCACACACACTCACACATATAAAGCGATATTAAACAACAAGAAAACGTATTAAATGGGGGCAAAGTGTACAATTAATGTAAATGCAAATCTTGTGCCTACAGCTGAGCAAAAACAACAAGAAAAACAAAAATAGTTGCTGACGGCTGAGAAGAATGTTATAAAAATAAAAAGATAAATGAGCACAAAACAGTCTGCTAGCTCCTATGTTTGTGTGTGTGTGTGTGCGGGACAAGCAAAATTGCATTGAGATAGGTCAGTCACACACGCACACCCATACACTAGCTAGTGCATGTCTCTCTCACTCTCTGTCTGCAATTTATAGCTTGCGTTTTAATATGCAATCAAAACTGCCCTAATTATGGCTTTATAGGGGTGGTATTTCTACCTTTTTATTCAAATATTAACCCTCGAGGCTATAGAAATATTCGAAGAAATATAAAGAAAACAAGTTTTAATTCTTTTTTTTCCATCCATGTAAAACTTACACAATCCCCTCTCTTGCTTGGGCTCTCTCGATTCACTTTTCTTTGTGCAATTCCAATAATTTAGCAAAAGAGAGTCAAAGCTCTTTGGCCATTGCTGCTGCAGCAGAGCGGGAGAGTTGGTGCATTTGCAGAGAGGAGTGCAAAAAAAAAGAGAGAGAGGTGAGCATCTCTTTGTTTACTTGCACTTTCTGCTGCACTTTTTTGTTGTTGGCTAAAATAGTAGTAGATTTTTGGTAAATTTAATAATAAATGTAAAAATAAACTACTAGTATTTTATTTTAAGTAAAAAAAATTTAATTTAATTTAATTTAAGAGAAATATTGGAATTTTCTTAAATTTAATTAATTAAAATTGTATTGTTTATGATTTTGAGTTCCTAAAATTTAGATCTCAGGTTTTTTACTACAATTATTTAGGTATTTATTTCTCCTAATATTTCATTCTTTAAATGTTAATATATTCTTTACTATTTCATATTCTCTTCTCTACTTAACTTTTTCACAATAACATCCCCTATTTGCAGATTATTCCGAACCTAGGACAACAATAAAATAAGTGTCTGAGGCGGGGAAAAATCCAAGCAACAGTATAAATACAACCCCCAAAGAGCTTTCTTTCTGTATTTTTGGCAAAAGCAAAAGTAAAAGCTTGCCAAAAACAAAAGGGAAGGTAGGGAGTGGTTTATATTTGTCAGCCAAGGAATACAGACAACTAAAAACTTATTGCGCAGTAGACGGAAAATGTTATTTTCCCCACGTCTAGACAGAGGAAAATTAAAGGAGGGCAAGAAAAGCCACAGAAGGAAAGCCTGTACTTGACACCAAAATTAAAGGCAAGGAATGGGTTTAAAATTAATGAGACATAAAAACAAAATAAGAATAGCTTAGAAAATAGTATTTAATTTTCAAAAATCATATAAAATAAACAAACTTTTAATTACGAGTTTTCCAGTTTTTAAATGAAATTATTAGATAGATAATAATTTCCCTTCAAAAATTTACTATATATGTTCCTAAAATAATTAAAAGTACTTTTTTAATTTCTATACCAATTCATCTTAAAGCTCTAAAATACAATTAAATTACAATTACTAACTCTATTCTACTAAAAAAAATACTCCGTTTATTAACAAGAGCGCATCCCTTTGGTTTTTTATGGTGACATAAGTGAGTGAAAGTGAATTTGTAATGAAAACGAAATTCAAATTCGAAATGAAAACGAAATTATTGCAAAATCTAGACACGCACACAGGCAGCCGACTAACGGTTGAGCTCTCTCTCTCTCTCTCAGTCTCTCTGTCTCCCCCTCTTTCTCTGGCTCTCTTGCACTCTTGAAAAGTGCATTGACTTGCTGTTATACCATGCCTTTGTATGTGTGCTATTTGCTGAGCTGCGTTTCTATGTGTGTGTAAGTGTGGCCAAGATTGCATTTGCCAATTCCAATTTGGATTTTCGCATCTTGTCGGCGGCAACTTCTCGTGTTTATTGCAAAATAAATACATATGCAGATATCATAAAGAGGAACCCTGCCGGGGTGTGTGCATTTCCTGAAGCTTTTCCTAAGTAGCTACCCCGGGGGGCGTTCATTTTTCCAACAGGGCGTGTCGTGGTAGTGATTCAGAAGTAAAAATTCTTTAAAAATGTATTTAAAGGGTGTGGATTTTAGAAACTTAAATATTAATTTTAGTTTTTACATAAAAATGGGTTGAATAAATTATTAAAAATATTTTCATAGAAGGATTTTGGGTTTTTTCAGGAATGAAAAATACAAATAAATAGAATAATATTATAAATTTTTATTTTAATTCAAAAAAACTCAATTTTATTTATTCCAAAAATAAACACAACCTTTTTGATAACTCTAAGCTCCCAACCCATAATCAGTCACCTATTCTCCTACTTTGTAACACATGGCGTATGATTTATTTTTCGCTCGCATCGCGTATACGCCCCACTGGCACCGAGTATACAATAATAACGAAAATATAATCAAATCCAATGCACTTTACTGCCCTTTCCAGTGCAATAAAATATATATAAAAAAATAAAACCCTTGCCGGATTTGAAAACCGTTGTCATTGTAACACCGAAACAAAATCCATTCCCAGGTTCCCAGGTTTCCGAGAATAAGAAAGTGGATGTGGACACGAAACTAGTTTAGTAGGAATATTGCAGATCGTTACGTGGCGCTTAATTGAATAAGTGCCCCCGGGATTAAGTCGCCAGTGAAGACGGGACGAGAATGTGTGCTAAATTGATTGAGTCGCATGGTGAGTGCCATAAATTAAGCGGACAAACATGGGTACAAGTCTGCCTGCAGTGGCAGATTTGCAGTTGCAAATCACAGTCACAAATCTTGTGAATCTCACAAAACACATATCGTATAATTTTCACAAAAAAATGCACAAAAACCGCAGCCAAAACGGAGACAGAAAGCGAAAACTGGGTCAACCTGATGCAGAGCAACCTACGCAGCAGCAGCTCCTCCACTCACATTCGCAGCCATAGATGCAAGCCGAAAAAAAGAAATAACACAAAAAATAATATAAATGGTGAAAAAAAAAGAAGTGTAACCCACGACAACGACGACGACGACGTTTCGCTTCATTTGCTCACAACACTGGAAAAGTAAAAAGCGGCAGCTACACGACGACGCCAAATTTATGTCTGCTGGATTTCACCCACGCAGCAGCAGCAGCAGCAGCAGCAGTTGCAGCTCTCCTTATAAAAAACATTAGCAGCTTGTTGTATTCGGGGAACTTTAATTACTTCCACTAATCTTATTTATTTACTTATTACTTGGCTAATCGCATTCTTATCAGGCACACGTGCTGCTTGCAAGTGCAATGCCAGAAAACATTCCATAGTTTTTTAGCGATAATGAAAAATCAAAACAATGTAACTACACAGTGAAAACCGGGTTGGTAATCAATGGAATTAAGACCTTAAATTGTAATTTGGATTCTTTTAATGTTAAGAATCAGGAAAAACTCTAACATAAAGGTTTAATTGTAAAAGTTCTACCTTCTTTTTCTAGCTAATCCTCAGACTTTGATCCTTATACCCTAACTAAACTTTATCTACAATAATTTGTCTAAGAAAAATATTTGTTAAAAATATTTAAAGCTTTGAAAATTCTGTTTAAACAGTACTTATTTTTCTAAACCTATTTTTAAGCTTTAAAAATATTGTTTACAAGCTTCAACTTAGTTCATAAACTTTATTTACAATAAATATGCCTAAGAAAAATATTTAAAAAAATATGTATAGCTTTGAGACTGCTTTTAATATTTATACAAATATTTTATTTAATTTTTAAGTGGTATAAAAATCCTTAAAAAATGTATTTACAAGCTTTAAATTAGCTTAAAAAACTTTAAATGCTTCCCTTTTAAAATAGCTTACTCTAAGCTTAGTTTTTTCTCCATTAATTAATTATAAGCAAATATATTTCTCCAATAAACTTCTTTATATTTAGTACCCACTGTACTTAGCCGAGGGAGATAGAGAGATTTTTGCTGCTGCCCACAAAATCGTGATTCCGCCAGTTGCCGACGCCACCGCCGCCGCCTGCCACTACGTTCACTTTCAAAATCAGTGAAATGTGACCAAAAAAATACAACAAAATACAAAAAAAAAAAAAAAAAACAAAAAAAAGTGAATTGATGTTGCATTGTGTTTGGCTGTCTGTTTGTTAGCTATTCGCATTATTCACTTGGCTTACAAATAGAGGTTAATTTATTGTGACTTGATTGAGTCGAGCATGCGCATAAAATATGCAAGAGAAACTGGCTTTGGGGAAAAAGTTAAGTCAATAAATTAAGCAATTATTTGGGAGGGAACTTCAAAGTTAAATTAAATTTAAGAAATTCTTTGAAAGCCTTTAATAATTTATTAAAAATAATACTAAACATGGGCTTTAAAATATCTCAAAGTTCTTGGAGCTCAGTCAGTCGGTCCTACCACAATGAAAAATGCTCTTCTCAATGTCAAGTCTGCCCAAGTGTGTGCTGTAGGAATCAATTACACTGATTCAGAACTTTACTGCACTTGCAGATACAGATACATTTAAAGATACAGATACTGGGTTGCTGTCCATTTGCAGTTGCAGATACATATTCATGCTGTGGACTCTGAGATAAACATCCGAGGCAAAGAAACCAGATGAAAACCGCGCGATCGCATTCGCTGCATCCGACAACGACCTTCGGCGACGATCTGACATTGAACACTGGCTATAAATGGAGCCATCTACATGTGTATGCACACTCCACGCTGGCACTCGCTTACATTAAACATTAAATGCATTGTTGCTGTACAAGCTGTTGACAAAATTTATCCAGATTATGCACTGAACTTCAAATATGTGAGGGGTTTTAATTAATTTTTAATTTAATTTGAATTTATTTAAATTTTTGAAAATAAATAAACGAATTTTACAGATTTCTGTTGAATTTGAATGAATAAAAACGTTGAGATATTTATCCTAATATTTGTGAAGCGAAAAATCTTTCACGTGCGTACATATAATTCTCAACTGGTTTTAACAATTCTGGAATTGAAGGATGCAGGTCTTAGGCCTTGTGATATATTAGATATTATAGGTCAAATGTTTTATTTTAATGCTATTTTAGGTAAATATTTGTATAAGTTTCTTTGCATTCTAAAGCTTATGAAATTAGCTATGTAAATTAATTTAATTAATTTACCCACACAAGTAAAACCCCAAGTGGAGGTTGTTTCGCTTGCTACCCCTGCAACTCACTGAATATATAATTAATTAGACCCGCATTTCTTACAGTGCATGCAAAGTGTGTGTAGTACTTGGCTTGCGGGCTTTTTTCGCATTTAGCCAATTAACCGAATGGTGCCGAATTCAGATAACTATGGAGACGGAGACGGAGATGGAAATGTGGAAATGGAGATGTCGGTGACGCGCGCGCACATTCCATTCCAAACCGAGGCGATGCGAGGCAATAGGATCCAATTGGAAGCGAGTCTCAGACGGCAGTTCATGTTGCAACAACTGCTGGTGCTGCTGGTGCGACTCCTGCTGCTGCAGTGGCTGCTGCACTTGACTTACTTGAGTTGCGTCTGGTAACTGCCATCGCCATCGCCATCGGCGCAATGCATTTCACTTTCATTATGATGCAGTCAGTTTTTGCCACTAAAAATGGCAACGGGGCAATGCCGATGTGTGGTTTTTCCAAGCCAAAATGAAAACCAGTTAGTAGATGCCACTCTCTTCTCTTTGGCTCTTTTGCTCAGCTGCAACAGCCAACAGCCAACAGGCAACAGCTGACAGCTGCACTCACCTGGCCTTTACCTGTGTGTAGGCGTCGTCAGCGTCGTTGTCGTTGTCTTTTGTTTCGTTTCGTTACTTGTTTTTACTTTCTTCTAATAGATCGTTAGCTGTGCCATGAACTTGCAATTGATTGCTTATTGTTAAATGAAAATGGAAAGTCATTTTCCATGCATTTTATTTTGTATTTTTCCCCCTCTTTCAAAGTGTGTGTGTGTGCGAGTGCTTTTTTCGTGGCTTTTCCTTTTTCGTGGGTTTTCATTAACGACGAGGCCTTTGCCTTGGCTTTCCCGAAACAAAAAAATATATGTGCCAATGGGGGTCAAGTCGGCTCTTTAGTCCCTGAGTGAGTAATTCTTGACTTTTATACATTATTTATTTATTTTTCTGGTTTTATTGAAAGCGAAAGTAATTAAACACAAACATTAAAATGTTTATATATATAGTGCTTAAAGTTCTCATCAGAATTCCCCCAAGAAGCCGATGCAGTAGCAACCCCCAATTGCATTTAGTATCTCCTCTGACTGTGTGTGTGTGTATTTTCCCCTTGCCAGCCAACCAACCTACCCCTTACCCTTACCCTTTCCCCTTTCTCTTCCCAGCAACAGAATCAATTTTTATTGGTTACACAACGACAACGCCAGCAGCAAAGGAAAAGAAAAGTCCATTGACCCCAAGGCGACCGACTCATGACTTTTAGTACTTCTTCCCCACAAATACACTTGTGAAGAAGCATTACGAATAAGCTGATCGTTTGGGGTAAAAAAATAATATATAACAGGGAAATTAAATACATTTTTGAAAATTAAACAAAAGTTATTACCAAAAATATATAAAAGAATACTTTAAAGCCAGGAAATCACCAAGCTATACGCCTTCAAAAATGTATATTTTAGGTATTTTGTAAGCTTTTAATGTTTCCTTACAAATTTATACATAATTTCTGAAGCAAAATTAAACTTTTTAATCCCCAAAAAGAGTATTTCAAACTTCGTTTAACTTGTTTCCCTAATTTTCCCCTCATTTTCGCCCCCTCTTGTTGTCTTTTCAGTTGAGTTACTTTGAGTAAATAGCCAATGCATTGACTGCAGCTACTGTTTGTTTTGGTCAGGCGCCTAGATCTCTAAGAATTTCCCATCTTCAAGAATTGTTATTTGGCTATAACTTTTTTCTTTATTTAAATGAATCATGGCTGAGTTGTTTTAATACTTCAAAATGTAATACATTCCCTTTTTAGAAGCGCCAAGATGCCTGAACGCCACCGCCATAGTTGTTGCGATTGTAGTCGAAATTCCGACTGGCCTGGGCATAGGCATCGATAGAGCCACGTCCATCCCGGCTGGTGTAGAGATTGTGGTTATACTGGACACTGGCCTCGCGTCCCACCTGGTTGTCCTTGCTGGCGGTCAGCACCACGGAGCCACCTTCCGGGGAACGAGCACGACGAACCAAAAGCTCCTCGGGTTCGGCCACTAGAAAGTCCTCGGGTTCGGCCAACAGGAGCTCAGCGTGTTCAGTCGTAAGATACTCCTCTGCGGGTTCATCCATCAGATACTCCTCGGGATATGGCTGTGGGTAGGCAGACACAAAAGCCACCAGACAGCAGGCCACTAGAAGCAGGATACTTGACTTGTTGGAAGACATCTTGGCTGGGATGATTGTAGAAACAAACTGATGTCCAACCGAGAAGTGCTTCCACTTTTTATAGGACCCAATGGGGATTCAATGGGATTCACCTAGGCGAGGGGACTTACACTGGCAAGATGTCATTGTTCCTTATCTGTCTGGCAGGGTGATTTTTTGCAATGGTTCATCCCAGAAACTGGGATCTTTATCAGCGTTTTGATGACAATAGCCAAGTAAATAGGCCTCAAAATGCCACAGAGATTTGGTATTTAAAGCTGTGTTTTATTTAATCAGGGTGTTTTATTATTATACATATAAGGAAAGTGTTTAAAAAATAGTTTTGAATATTTTTAAATATTTTTATATTTTTAAATATTATACATACAGAAAAAGGGGCTTTAGAAATATTTTAAAATATTTTTGAATGGAGAAAACTTTTGATATAATGGTCCTAAATAATTAAGAAATATTTAATTAATTTATTTAATAAATTTAATTTGAGAAAAGTACATATAAAATATTTTAAAATATATTTAAATTGAAAAAACTTTTTATACATTCGCCTTAGATGGACTATAAATATTTAATCGATTTAATTCATTAATTTTTTCAAGGGAAACTGCTTTAAAATATTTTAAAATATTTCTAAAATTTTCCCAAACTAAAAAACTTTTTATATAATAAACCTAGATAATTTTGAAATATTTAAAAACCTTAACTTAGCTTGATTTCTTATAAATAATCTCAAAAAAGCCAAGAACTCTTTAGCTAAACTTTAAATTTAACAAGAATATAGTATAATAGTAAAATTACAGAATTTGTAATATATTTACTAATTATTTCTTATTTAAAAAGTAAGCTTTTATTTTCAAGATACAAATCAAAAAGCTGTTAGATATCTTCAACTAAACATTCTTCACCCTTTAATCTCCCCTCTTGTAAAGCTTTAAATAAACATTAAAAATGCATGTTAATTCCCTGCTGATTAGGCCCGATATCGACGGGTTTCTAATCACCAAGAAAAAAAGAGGGGCCCGCTCTCGTCATAACTTTTCTTTTCTAAACGCATTCAAAATCGGCCTACGCAACGCCACAGCAGACACTCTTGAGATAAGGCCGCCGCGCACGCACCTCGCAGAGCCAAAAGTCCAATAAAAAATAATACAAAATCGGAACGAAAAAAAAACAGAAATCATAAAAGAGAATTTAGTTCAAATGAGTTCGTTGACACAGAAAGGCAAGAAATCAAAATAAAATTAAGTTTTCCGGTGCGTGAGTATCGCACGCTCTCTCACACGCACAATTTTGTATAGAATGTTTATAGTATTAGTTATAAGATAGCACAGACTTCGTCACTGATTAGTACGAGTACTCGAAAGCCTAATAAATAAATAAAATAACTAATCTTTACCGCTTTTGCATTGAACTTGAATATTTTTGTTACCAAAAACCAAATTCGATTGTGAAAGTGCTGGCCCAACCTCTCTCTCTATTTTTTTTCTAGATTCTCCACGAGAACTGATTTCTAATCGCATTTTTCGAGTGCTGTAATTAGATGTGCGTATCGCGAAAGTCTTTCTATTTCTTGCCTTTATTTCGGGGTGAAAGTTTTCTTTGGCATTTGCTCCGTGTTTCTTTCATTTAGATTTCATTTACCCGGCCGGAGAAGCGTTATCTATTGAATATCAAGTTGTGTGTGTGCATTTACATCTTTTGTCACCTGTGGCTATTTATCTCCAAAGAAGAAAACCTAAACCCCAGAGAAATAGATACAAAACTTCAGACACGTGTCGGTCGGTCGGTCGTCGATATCCCAAACCGCAAAGTTGCCAAGTCATAATTGTAAATTTTTATAGATCTCCCAGAGAATTAGGAGAGGCCCGAAAAAAAACAATTAAGCCGAAAAATATCAAAATTCATTGAATGAAAGTCTATACAAGTGGTGTATATGTATGTATATTTTCTGGCCTTTTGGACAGCCATTTGTCTAGGCGAAAAAATAAAAGATGCGTGGCGTACGCACGCTTTCAAAATAAATTATATATGCGGCGATGATACGATTTTATATAGACAAATGCGTTTGCCTACGTATAAGCAATATATGTAGTTATATATCTGGATATCCGCTTGTGTGTCGGTGCTTCTTTGGTTGTTTTAAAAAGATTTATTTGCCAAAAAATATGACGACGAAAGAGCAGTAAAAAAATACTGTCCGAAATCGCAAATGAGCAACTTTTGCGGCCTGCCTCTACTTTATTTGTATTTTTTTTGTATTTTTATTTAGTGTGCGGCTTTGCTGCTTAACTTTGTCAACAAAAAAAAGAAGAAGGAGGAGGAAAATGCAGATTAAAATGAATAAGAGAAATGATAAAAAGGGAAGTAATGGAAATAAAAGCTTAAAGCGAAGATTAAAGTCCCTTTTTTAATTCCAAGGAAATAATTAATATTTATGGAACTTAATTTATTATAAAAGACAAACAAATTTATAGAAATATCATAGGATATTTTCTTAATTTTTATATAGTTTTTTTATGCAATAATATATATTTTAAGTCACTCAAAATATTTTGAAAAAGCAAAACAATAGCTAATAATAACTGATTTATTTATAGATACATTTGAAGGTCTCATCTACTGCAAATATTTTTTATAAATAGCCTTTATGTCTGCAAAATGTTGATAATATAAAAAAAAAACTATAAAAGTAGAGCTTGTTATTTATAAAAATATAAACCTGTTTTATTATCTACGCATCTTATTATCTATTTATCGTATTTTTCTCTTTTTAATATGTCTGCATTTTATGGCTTAAATATACTAAAAACAAATAAATATTTAAAGCTATTTAATTTTATTTCTTTTTAATATATAAAACCCATAAAAATTTAGCAAATAAACTTATTTAAAATCCATAAAAATTAAATCTATAAACGAAATGGCTTAAACATACTAAAAACAGATACATATTCAAATGATTTAATTTTATTTCTTTTAAATATATAAAACCCATAAAAATATAGCAAATAAACTTATTTAAAATCCATAAAAATTAAATCTATAAACGAATAAAATCTATAAAAATAAGCAGACTCTTCCAGCGGAAAGACACTCTTTCCTGGCCACAGAAGACTTGAAGTAGACTTGCACTTTATTTATTTTTTTCCAGGCAAATCGAGAGCAAAGAGATGTCGTAGTTGTTGTTATTCTTGTTATTGTTGTTTGTGTTGTTTTTATTGCTATTGTTGTTTGTGTTATGCGTTGCGTTTAAGTCAAGTTCAAGGACTGTCAATTAAATTGAAATCACTTGCTAAAGACGAGTCGGCAAAACAAGCTTCCAGATGAGTAGAGCCGGGTTTCCGGGGGGTATGTAGGAGACCCGCTTCTTGTGGCTTCTCTACTGTATATCTCTACTGTATATTGTATGTGTATCTGTGAGATTTTGTATCTATGTGCCGCTGTTTTTGCTGTTCGATTTTGCACGCAGTCTGCTTACATTACACTGGGCTTTAAAATAAAGAATTAAGGTAAGAGGTAAAACTAAGATTTGCTTGAAAAATAGTTTTTTTTAATTACGAAATTATTATTATTATATGAAGAATATTTTAAATTAGTTTGAAATATTTTTAAAAATATATTTTACATATTAAGTAATATAAATAAAAGTTGTAGTGTATCCTCAAGTATTTTTGTTTAGTTCAGTGTTATTATTATTATTGCGAATGCTGCGTAGTTATAGTGCGGTAATTGTTGATGATCATCATGATTCGTCTTCCTCTGGGTTTTCTCTCATCTCTGATCTTCTGCCATCTTCTAGGTCTTGTATGTATATATGTCTTGAATGATTCTTTTGTATGTCAGCTTGCTCGGCTTTAAGCAAGTCAAGTGCTACTTCTGGTTCGTTACTAACCAATATATATATACAAAAATATATCTCAAGTGGGGCTTTTGTCATAGCCAAAAGAGAGGGCGTGTTCCCCAGAGAATATAACTCAAGATTGACTTGGAAAACTGGGTCTTTTTGAGAGGTTTGCCGAGAAGTTACAGAATTTAAAAGAATTTATATAAGGATGACATGATATCAGATTTATTTTAGTTTTAAATTTAAAGAAATTTCTTCACAAAATTTGATTTTAATTTATAATAATTTTTACATTTCTAACTAAGCATTTGTTAACGGAAATACATTTCTTTTAGTCTAAAATAAATATGTTTTTAAGCTATAATAATTTTTACATGTCTAACTAAGCATTTCTTTATGGAAATACGTTTCTTTTAGTCTAAAATAAATATGTTTTTAAAGCATATAATTCGTGTAAAATTTTTAAATAAAATAAACTTATATTCTTCATCTTTCTGAAGCGGAAAAATCCCATCTGAACACCAACTAAACCGGCAAGCACGACCCAACCCAATCCAAGTCCAATTTAAACAAAAAACAAATCCAAATCCAAATCCAAATCCGAATCTAACGACAATGCATATGGCCCAGGGGCGATTCCTAACTGTGTTTTTAGGCCAACTTTCAGTTTCTCAAAATGTGAATCGAGGTTTTCATATCAAATGTGGTCACAGCCAGCGGCGAGCTTAAAATAAATGCATAATTAATGACAATACATACATATAAGTTTTTTCAGTTGATTAACATAAAATGCCGCCGTTGCTGCCATATAAAATTATCAACTTGGACCTGTGAATAAGAGCCATACTCTGTGTACTATGGCTTACACGTGCTAAAAAGAAATATCGATCCATTGAACCATCGGAGCCATGACTAAACTTTGTGGAAATTGTCTTTGTGTCCGGTGATGATGATGAGTAAATGTTTCTTGGCACTTTGTTTCACCAAAATGTGCACTTTAAACAGATAAAACGAATGTCAATCCATCAGATAAAAATGTATTTATATTTCTAGAAGCTAAAAAGGAAACGGAAATGGTAGAAAAGTAAGGCGAGGAGATGGTATAGGGGGTTCTTGGTAATGGTTCTATGTGGAACTCTGTCTGTCAATATTTGGTCAATAAAAGGCATTTTCGCTTCGTTTCGTTAATCAATACACAAAATTTGTTGTTTTTTGCGTTGTATTTTGTTTTTTTTTCTTCACTTTTGTTGATTTTTTTGTTGTTTTTTGTAGAATATTTTGTATGCCAAGAATTTAAATTAGTAGTAAATCTGGTTTTGTGATTTCGGGTTCGTTCTCTCTACTTTTTCTTCTCTTCCTCTCTGTGTTCTCTCTGTTCTGTTCTTGTTTTTGTCTCCGCTTCATTCGTTTTCTTCTTCATTTTTTCTGCGACGTTATTACAGGTGAATTTTTGTATAGTTTTTTGGGCTTTGCTTTATTTTGTTATTGCCTTCTTGCTTGGACTGGGGACTTGGACTTGGCGGAATCAGAAAACAAATTAAATGAGTTTGCCTGAAATCGAAATGCTTTGGGCCATTGATCATTTATTGATCGCCGCCAAAGTTGAAAGCTAACTTCGAAGAAAGATGGGAATTGGCAGAGTCCAGAATACCAACACAAAAATAAAGCATGGAAACTTTAGGGTTATAAAAGAAACACCTTATTTATCATTTAATTGCAAAGTTCTGTATTTGTTTATTAGGAATTTGTGTTGGTTGAACTTGAACTGTGAATTAAATTACAAGCTTATGTTGTTTTTAATTTATTTATATTTAAAAAATAATAAACTAAGGTTTATTTTATTTAAAATTAATTTGAATATAATTATATTTTTAATAAATAATATATATGCTTGAATAAAACATTTGAACTTGTGTATTTTAATTCCTTATTTTGTGTTCTTTATATATTAAATTTTATTTTATTTATTTAAAGCTTAAAATTTGCTTTAGAAACTCTTCATTTTAAAATAATAATTTGTCAACACATAAACCTAATGAATAATTTAAAAAATGTACTTGCTAGATTTTTTTTTTGAACATGAACAAAATTAATAATAACTTCATTATTTTTGGAGAGACAAATTTAACAAGTTACCCCTTAAAAATCACACAAAAATATTTTTTGTAATACTTTAAAATTCATTAAAAAATTCATTTAATATAAAAATTTGTAAAACAACAATATATACCCCACATTAAAAACACTTTCGGTAATTTCTCTGTCACTTTCCGATTTGTTTCCTGCTGTTTTTAACATCATTTCATCTGTTTCTCCTTTAACATTCCAATATATAAATACTTGGGTAAATATTTACGATCAGTCAAATAAAAAATATATATATATAAATGGACAACGATAACGAACCCCATGTGGGTCAGCTGGAAAATATTGTATATTTTTTGTTTCTGCTTTCTGGCCAGAACAAACACTCTTGTAATTGAGGTACAAAAGTGAAACTCGGGGTATAAACATTTACATTTGATTAAACAACGTTTATCGGCTTTTGTTCGATTGGTTTTAATGCCTTGCGCTGATTTTTTTTGGGGGCTTTCGTTTTGCGAGGACAAAAAAATTAAAGACCAAGAGAAGCCCCCAACTCTGCTGGTATCTGTATCTTCTCTGCATCTCTGTGCATCTTTATCTGTGCGTATTTATTTTGGTTTTACGGCATGTAATTACCCAGGGAAAGAGAGGGACGAGAGAGAGGTAGTATATATATATTTATCAGAGGTGTAAGCAGCCGAAATTATAAAAGGGTTTTGGATTTTTGTGGTAATTAATAATTTAATTAAATTTTTAAGTTAATTATCTTTGAATTTACTATATATTTTATTACATTTCTGGGGTTTCTTGAACCCCCCTGTAACTACACCACTGTGTTCTTTGGCTGCCTTTTGCCTCGTCTCGTCTTATCATTATCTCCCCAGTGCGTATTGTGTATTGTGCGCTTTCTGATTGCTCTGCCCCCTTTTAACCTTTTAAGAAAGATTTCTTAACCCATTACGATTTCACTCAATGCAGCGTATCATTTTTGTAGGCCGTCCCAAAAAACAGAAACAACAAAAAATTACATGTTTCACTTTCTCTGGCGCCTCCGAAAAAAAAAAAAAACAAAAACAAGAACGGAAAGGAAAGATAAATGCTTAGACATTGTCTGCTTCTTCTTGGCATTTCTATGGCATTTCGAAATACATTTTTTCGGGTTTTCTGCTTTTGTTTTTTGTCCATCAATCAGAGAACATTTCTTTTTCTTCATTTCTTTTGTGGCCTCGCATTGAAAAGGGAAATTTCTTTAGCCCAATTAAATTAAAGCAAACAGAACCAGGTTATTCCTTGGGTTTTTTCTGTATTTTTTTTATAACGTTGAGTGCAATTCCGTTTGCAGAATTTATTAATGGGATTTTGGTGGCTGATTTCAAAGGAAAATTTAACAAACTGATGAAATTTTAAATTAAATTCCTGGAATAAATTTCGTTCTCAGTCTGTCTGTATTTTTTCTTCAATGAATAATTAACCCTTTAACATTTGAGTATAATTTATCTGCGAAAACTTTCCACTTGAAGAACTTCCCTTCAAGTTCCGAGTTCTAGTTTGTTTCTGGATAATTTGTACAATTAATTTATTTATTAAAGCTGTACTTACGCTTATCGCTTTCTGCTCTGGCTGTGCTTGCGGCTTTTCTGTATTTTTTTGTTGTATTTATTCATTCAGCATTTGCTACGCAGTTTACGCGTCTAATTTCGTTGTTGCTTTTGCTTTTTCACACACCCAATTTGTTGTTGTTGTTGTTATATTTTTTATTTTCATTTAATTGCACACATAATGGACACAAAAATTAAATGCTATATTTGTATGTGTTTTGTGCGTTGGAAAAACACGCACACAGCCAATTGAAAATTGTATTTATTGTGGCTGCGTTTTTTATTATTTATGAACATGAAATTATTCGAGCACTCACTGAAAATGGGATTGGCCTTTGTAAGATCAAGGGATTTTGTATTTTAACGATTTTTGGGTTATATTTTGTAATATTTAAATGGTATTAGGCACACATATTTTATAATTTTCTTGAATTTTTAGTAATATTTAGGAAGTTTTTCTCATAAAGCTAGCTTTGTCTTTGTAATTTAATGGAATTTTAAAGAGTTTATATTTTAACAAAGCTGTTTTGGGTTTATTTTTATTTTTTGTTAACATTAATTTGTTTTATAAGCACATGAACTTTTTATAACTTTAATTAGAATGGGTTTTTTTTAATGTTTATGACGAGATATATATTTTTTAATTTATTTTACACTTTTCTTTTGGTTAAATTTTGTTTTCTTTTCAATTTAAAACATTTATTTTCGAGTTTTCTGTTTTTCGGACACATGTATCCCTTAGATACGGGTGTGTGTGGGAGTAGGAGGTTTTTGTTTTTGGGAAACGGCAAACGCAACCGATTCAATACGGAACCGAGAAACCCGAAAAAAACACGGCTTTTCGAGCACGACGCGTGCACAGACAACGAGGTGCGAGCGGCAAAAACTCGAGAATAAGCAAAGTGCGGCTCAATTTATACGACGAGAGACGCAGACGACAAGAAGATACAGACTGGGCGCACACTGAGACAGACAAACAGAGGCCGAGGCAGCGGCAGATGCAGATACAGATACGAATACAGGCGCGCACTGTATCTCGAAGATACACACGATCGCCCCGGACAGATAACAGCGCTCTGCCGGCGTCGACGCTCACGCAATGTTAGGCTGCAATTAGAATAGAATGACTCTCTTTCCCTGCTCTCTTCTGCGGGGGTGGTCGCTCTTTGGCTCTGTTATCTCCAACTCAAGCTCTCGCGCTGCTCTCTCTCTTGCTATTTAACTCCCTCTCTGGTGCTCTCTGTGTGTTTTGGTTATAATATTTTTGTTGGTAGCAGCAGCAAAAGTGTAGTAGATTTTTGGCATTTATCGTCCCGATTTTTGGTATTTGCATACGCTCAATATGCGCGACCCACATTATTTCTTATACACACGCGTTGCTGTTCGTCCCCATATAAATAAAAACACAGAAAGTACATATTACCCGCCGTTGCCACCTAGCTATCGCTCTCTCCCTCGCTCTCGCCCCCCCACACACAATGCCGCACACTCACGCACCACACCGCACTCACACACACACAGTTACAGACGCTAGAGTTCCGCTGCCCATCGCCACAGTTCGAAAAACGGACTGAAAACAGCCGAAACTTTTTCCATCGCCCCAACGGGCCTCTGCCGCTGCCGCAGTCGCCGTTGGCTTCGCAGCTGGCTGCGCAGCTGTTTGGGGGCTGTTGGGGCTCTGCTAAGCCGCCCGCTATGTTAGGGCTCTGTTACATGGCTGTAGATACGTTTGGTTCTGTAAGTTCGCTGTTAACCAAGGCGAGGCAAGGATTTTATCAAGGAATTACATTTTATATTTGATTTATTTAATTTTAGTAACTAAATTATATTTTCAATAATAATTTTAATAATAATTTTATTTTTTTTTTTCAATAATAATTTTAAATATTTTTTAATAAAATATATATTATATTTTGTATTTAAATATTTCAACCATTCGAATTCCTTTAATATATGTACATACGTCTCTGCAAAGAGAAAACTGATAAGGAGACGGGGCTTGGCCTGTTTGTGATTTGATTGATTGATTTTTCGTGTCATTCGACAGCTGTTGCTCCTCGCAGGCTTGTTACATTTGTAAAGGATACTTTCATGACTTAAATATATACAAGAAGATAACATAATAAAACAATTTAGACTGTAGACTATAGATGTAGATACTATAGCCTACCCATAAGATACTTATGCCACCTTGACAATAATAAAACAATAAGTATTTATTAAATGTAGTTTCTTGATTTCAATAATATAAATAAATTTTATTTACAAATTTTTGTGTTCTTTATGCTAAATAACTCTAATTAAATTTTAATAGTTTAATTGTTCAACTTTCAACTAGGTTTTTATTATTTTTTGCACTTTAAAAAATCATAAAATAATTTATGCAATTTGGCTAACTTTCTGGTCATCTACATAGAAGGCGTATCTATCTATATTCATATGTGCAATGTACATATCAATTACATATTGGGCGCAAGGTCGTCTGGCAGTCTAACTGTCAGATACTTAGATACATTCACGCATATATAGTATGGAAGTGCTTGTAATAACACTGGTTAACATGAAAACCAAGCTAGATTAACAAATGTATTATGTAATATAAATTATATTGTATATATAATTTTTTTAGAAATATTATAGAGCATATATTACTCATGTAATATTTAAAATATGTAAAAGAGAGTTTATTGTATTGAAAAAGAAGTCTTAAATGCTTAAAATTCTTTGGCTGATGCTCAAGATACATTTGTGATATAAATAAAATGCCTCAATAAAGAATAAATTTATGGGATCCTTTAAATTTATTTAATTTTAAAAAACATCTTCTAATGTAACTTATTTTTATTAAAACTTCATAAATAGTATAGAAAACCAATCTAATATTTTTTAAAATATTTTTCCCACCAGTGTAATCAATCAAATTGGAGCATTCAAACTCGTATCTATTGGATATTCTTGGGGCAAGCTCCAATCGTCGCCAATATCGATTCAATTCCATTCGCAATTGCAATTCGCGGCAACTAGAGACGGCTAATTACGTGACATGTTAGACGCGAAAACGAGTTAAACACGCTCCTTCGATTTGTGTAATTAATTGCAGACATCGCTGCAAATGGAGAGCTCAAAATCGAATTCACCTCGAAATGTGCATTGAACTTTTGCTGTTGCTGTTGATGAATGTTGTTTTCCCTTTTCGCAGCCTTTTCGTGTTTTTTTTGTAACCAATTCTAGTTGCACTCGGATGCTGATAACCCAAAGATGAACCCGCGCTGCAAAAGGAGGGCGGGGGCGAGGAAGTGCTGGAAGTGGCAAGAAGTGAAGAAAAAAAACCAGCTGATGTAAACAAATGCCAAGTAAATAATGACAAAGTCGAAGAAATTCCTAAAAAAAATGTATATTCGTTATTGTTTGTTGTATTGACAACATCGCTGGGCTTATCGCTTAACCGTTGTCTGATCAAATAAACATATGTACATTTTAATATGTGGTGCATACAATGTTTTTACGGTATATACAGTGGGGCTTCTATATGGAGAATATTTTTAAAATTAATATTGGGAAATTTCTTTTAACAAATTAGCTAAGAAATGTAAAAAATATAGTATTACTTACTTTAAGATAAGAAATTTTGATTCCTAAATAACAAAATTAAGCTAAAACCTTCTTAAAATAATTTAAAAAATGTCTTACAATTTTTTAGAACACAAAGGTTGTTAATTACAATCTTAAAATATTTTTAAAAATTTTTCGAACACAAAAGTAATTGATTGGCTTTATTAAACTGTACTAATTTCCATATTTAAGCCTCTAAATTATTTATAATTTCCCCTTTAAACTAAAATATTAAAGACTTCACTGACAGAAGTCTGTGTCTTTTCTGGGTCTTGTAATCATTTCCCCAGGCAGGAAGCTTGAACCATTCAGAGTTTGCCTCTAATGTGTGTCAAGTGTGATAAGAAATGCCATTGTAACTGAGTGTTATATGGTTGCTGAATGGATTCCCGCTTGAATACGGTTTGCATTCCTCATATGAGACATTAAATGCAGCCTCCCACCACTCCATCAAGTCGGAGTGTGTGTGGAGTGTGTGGAGTGTGTGGAGTGCCTGCCATGACTAATTAAGTAACCAAAAAATAAGAAAAGAAGGCGAAAAATAAAGCTGCTCAAATTCGCAGCATTAAAACGTGCCGACAACTTTGTAAAGGCTGCCAAAAATGCACATTATATATATTTATATTCTCATATATATACGATGTTTGGTCTTCCCTTTGGAGGAAATGCAAAGGGTAGCTTTACTTTGAAGAAGAGTTTGGGATAGTTTGGCCTTAAAATTGCTTAAAAAATTAATTTAAAAGTAAAAAAAATATTTGAAGAATTTAAAAATAAATTTAAACAAAATTCTATTACATTACAATTTAATTTTATTGATTAATAAAGAGACTTTATGGTGTAAATGGGGGAGATATTTCAATAAAAATATATGTATTTAAGGTTCTTACAAAATTAAAATTAAAAATATATATTTAAGGCTCTTACAACATTAAAATTAAAAATATATTTTTAAGGCTCTTACAACATGTGAAAAAAAAAATACTTTAAATTAAAGTTAAAGGTAATGTCTTGATATAAATATTTATTAATTAATAAAAACATAGATCTATCACAGAAAAAAATATAAACAAAATAAATAAATCTATAAAAATAAAAGAGCATCCCCTTTTCTCAGCTACTCCAAAACCCCAAAGAAACCCTTACATATCCTTTCCAAGTAATGCCATATGCATTTTCAATTCTTGGGCCTCCTCTGCCCCGTGTGAATCATGAGCATTAAGCATAAAACCGACATTTAGCTGATTGATCTTAATAAGAATTTCTGCGGCAGGGCGTAGCACTCGGGCGGAGGACGACTGACTGCTAACGGATCGCTGGAACGACGACGACGACGACGGGTCAATAACATTTTTTGGAGGGCTCCTCCGGGATTCCTTACCATATCCATGTCCATGTCCGAATCCGAGTTGCAATTTGAGGGCGTTGCTGGGCTGCGCCTGCGCAACATAAACTTTGTGTTTGTTCCGAAATTCTCTGTTCTTTTTTTAATAACTCCGAAGACTCATCGGAGTGGGGGAAATAATATTTCTTTTAAGGAGTCGGGGGTTCCCTTGTCGGAAATTAAATTTTGAATTCGCTGAGTTATGGTTTTGGAAACCTCTTTTTTCCCCTCCCCGATTATTCTGCACTCAAAATATCTCATGAAATCTTGGCGTATCTCAGAGATTTGCACTTAGTCTCGGGCAGAACGGATGTCTGTGCTCGATTGTTAAATGAAATTTGTCGCCAAAAACCACACAGAATTAGCAAAACAAATTTTTTTTGACCGCAGTTCTGTCTGTCCCGCCCTGTTGCATATTTCATATGTTTTGATTCTTGGTACTTTTAGCTTTATGTTGATTTTGTATTCTGAAGATTTATGCGCAAGTGCTTAATCGAGGGGGGGAGAGCAGAAAAACTGTGCCAAAAAAATAAAATCAGCAAAGGTTTCTTTGCATTTTAAATTTAATTTATAAAGAGTTTGAGAGTTCTAGTTGAAAAATTAGAGGAAAATACATTCGAATTACCAGAAAACATGTTTTAAAAATTGTCTAAAATTTTATTAAGAATTTTAATATATATTTTTTAAGAGTTTAAGCTGTAAAACAAGAAGATAATGCTTTCAAAATTACTATGAAAATATGTTAAAAAAGATTCTCTAAAATTTTATTTACAATTTTGCAATATTCTTTTTCCAAGAACAAACTCACTTGAGTGCATTTAATTTCCTTTTCTCAAGGGTGACAATTTTTCTGTTGCGCAATATCTGTGGCTTCTCCTGGCCTCCCGTCTAGCAAATAAATTAAATCAAACTGCAAAACAAAATAAAAACCTGATTTTGATGTCTGCAATTCAAATTAAATGCAATTAAACCGAAATTGATAGAACATTCAGACAGTTCCAAATTTAGAGGTTTGCTCTTTGGTTTTTTCTTCTTTTTTTTTGGCACTTGACAGCATCTCTTTTCGGTGTTCTTGCCACATCCTTCGAAGGTCTCAGGTTTCGCCTATTTAAATTCTAACCTTTTAAGGACCTTTTTGAATTTCATCAGGGCTTCGCCTGTCTGCTCTCTGTCTGCCTTTTCTTTTGTGGTCCCTTTGTGGATCCCTTTTTTTGTTATTTGCTTTTTGGGTTAGACGTTAGTCAAGTTTTGCCCTTTTTTTATGTTGTTTGGGTTAGTCTGCCGAATTTCAGCCTTTGTTTTGATTTCGCCTTTTGATATAATTTTTCGCCTGTGCAAAAGGGGGTTGAGGGGCTTCTAAGCCGTGTTCTTTGTTTATGTAGAGTCATTAGAGGTGCTTAGAAAATTATATAATATTTAAAATAATTTATGTAATTATATAAAAAATTATATAACTATTTTTTTTATTTATATTTAAAGTATTATATGTATGTATTATTAAAAATAATTAATGAAAATGTATTTTTTTGTTGTTGTAAATAAGTATATTAATGTGATTTAAAATATAGATTTTACGCTTGTCAATTTGAAATTAATTTAAAAAATATTTTTAAAAAATGTAAAGGACTTTTTAGCTTTCTTTATTGAGAATTTATATTTATAGTTTTTGAATAAATTTGATTTGCAGCCACTTTTTCAGTAATATTTATAATAAATTATATTTCAATAAAAAAATATATATTTTTAAAATGACAAAAAAATTAAATATTTTTTATATTTTTGTCTAAGTTTCTACCTTTTTGCTCATCTCTAACAAAAATATGCTTCGTTTATTTTTTTGCACCATCTATCTCTTTCTCGTCGTATACTTTTTCGCTCTAGCTTTCAATCTCAATCTTTTGGCTGCCGAAAAAAAGTGGCCAGACATCTGTTTCTGTGTGTGTGTGTTTGTGAGTATCTGAATCTGCTGTCTGGACTTTTATTGTACGGATGACCTTGAATTTATGGAAATTGCATAAGTGAGAACAACATTGTCATATTAAGAGAAATATATATACGTTTCGCCATGGACAAACAAAGACTTAGAGACCTTGACATTGTGCTGAAGGACTCCAAATAAAGGGAAACAGGGAAATAGTTTATTATTATTCAGGATATAATAAAGTAATTTATCTACCGCACCCTGAAAACCGTTCAGAAACCACTTCCTGAATCTGATATTTATGGGATTCCTAAATTTTGGCATAAGCCAAAGCTCGCATATCTCAAATCACCGCCAAATGAATTACAATCTTGCGAAAAGAGTCAAGGAAGCAAATAATGACCAACCTCTTCCTCGCATAATACCCAAGGAATATCCATCGGCATATCGATAACCCTTATCAAGTGTGCGGCATCGCCGATCCAAAAATACAAATTATGCTTCAACCAAAAAAGAAAAGTGGGCGTGGCACTTTTAAGTCCACAAAATACAACCAAAAAAAGAACACACACACAATCCAAGCTGGGCATCAGAATTTAAGACCGTTCAAATTGCAGTAATTTTAATTTTTTGGATAAACTTGGCCGCTTTTATTAGTTTCCCAAATTACTGAAATTAGTAGAAGGGCATCCGTTTTTATAAAAAGGTAAAAGTGGTTTGTTTTTTCACTTTCAAAAGGATTTTTAAAACACTTGAAACAATTTTTAGAGATTTTTTTAAGTCATACATTATAAAATAAAAGAAAAAGCTGTTGAAAAAATATTTTTATAAAGCCTTGGTTAGTTAAATTTGATATTAAAAAATATTTTAAAAATACTTCAGTTCAAAATTTATATTTTAGAATTATATAAACTTCCTGGTGGTTATTTTTCACTTTTAAATAATTTTCAGAACACTTGAAATTTTTTGTTGTTGTTTTTAAGTCACACAAAATGAGATAAAAGAAAAGGACTTTAAAAAATATTCTTATAAAACCTGGGTTATTTAAATTTTACTTAAAAAAAAAATTTAAATAATACCTCAATTCAAAAATATAATTCCAGAATTATACAAACTTCTTAAAACACTTTCCCCTGGTAATTTACATCGTTTGAAAGCTAAAATTAAACTAATTCGACTGAAACCAAAAGTAAATACTGCAAAATTCTCCTTTTAAAATGATGAAGCGCATTAGGGTGTCCACCGAAGGACTGTCTCGGTTGCAGACTGAGTTGCGGCAAATGCGTGGAGTCATCGACATGCATCACAGGCAGTGTCACATGCACACCTTCCAGCATCAACAGGCACCTCCTGCAACCTCGGACTACTCCAGCCAACCGACCAGCACCACCACAGTGAAATACCGGGCACACCACAACCCAGAGACAGTGCCACAGAATACACCAAGGAAAAGGATCAAATCCGATATGCAGAACCTGGCCGACATAATCCTGCAGCAGGCTCATCGCATCGAGAAACAGCAGCAGGAGCTGCACAGCCTCAAACTCCACTACGAGCGCCAGGTGTCCGCCATCAAGAACAATGCCAAGATGCTGGAGCAGCAGCTGGAGAAGCTCCAAGGCAATGTCAACAAGAGCAAGGCCATGAAGATGGGCAATCACTACAAGGAGATCTTCAGTGCCGTGGAGAAGCTACAGAAATGTGGACGCAGACCATTGTTGCTTACCTCCAAAACCTATCAGAAAAACTAGGAAAAGGAAACTTAACAGAGAGACTAGGAAAAGGATAAAGACCTACCAGCAGATCTTTATCCTTTGTCTAGTTTTTCTGGTGAGTTGTGGAGGAGTAAGTGGAAATTATTTATTTCCAAATAAATCTTGGAATTGTGATCGTAGTTCCCCCTGGAAACCCCTTCAAAAACATCTCCCTTAAAGCGTTCCCACATAAATCATTAGGTAATACACCTAGATCCTTAGCCTGTCTTTTAAAATTGTTGCCTAAATCCGAGCCAAGTTTTCTTGTTTTACAAAATTCCAAAAGATCTGTTGAAATAAAGAAAAGCTCTCCGTAAAATGCCCTACCACGATCGGACGAAGGCCCGCCTGGAGAACGAGGTATCCACCCTGCGCCACGAAGTGGTTGCGCTGCGCTCCAAGCAGAAGCAACGCCGCCAAGAGCAAATGGATCAGGCAGTGCTACAGGCACGTCTTGAGCAGGAAATCCATGAGCTACAGACCGAAGTGGAGACACTGCGGCTCAAGCGCAAGATGCGCGAAAGTGGCGGAACGGAGCACAACAAGCTGAACCAGCATATACAGAAGCTAGATGAGCATGTGACCAAGCAGGAGCATTACATCAAATTCCTTGAAGAGCAGATAAATCGCACACGCACCAAGTACCAGCAGCGAATGACCAATGTCCACCAGAGCGCCGATCAGTTGGAGGAGAAGCTGAAGAAGGTGCGCCACGAGATGCGCAACATCAAGGAGCAGGCTGGTGAGGTGGATCAGCTAAACAAACGCGTGACCTGCCTCAGTGCCAAGCTAGAGCGAAGGGACAAGATCATAGCCCACTATGAGGCCCAGCATGCGGACTTTATGAAGGTTATTGCGGATCTGGAGAAGCAGGTGGAGCGACAGGCTGGTGGAGATGGGGGTGACGGAAAGGAGCCTAAGTTGACCTACGGCAGCGAGCTAAACAGTGAGGATGTCAAAAGTGAAGTGAAGTCTCCTTCCCCAGTTTGTGATCCTCCCAAATCAAAGCCAGGATCCTACTTTGCCAGCTTGGCAACGGCGCTGAGAATGAAATTTGATGATGCTTAAAGATAACAAATTGCTTTTGATAAGGAATCTTAAAGATACAACTTTTACATCTCTTCAGATCTACCTTCCAAATTGATTAATATAGTGTGAATTGTATAATTGATTAGTGATCATAAATTGTAATGAGCATTTTATAAATTTATTGTAAAAAAAGTAAACTAAACCTCAAGTTTCTTATGTAAAACGATTGTCAGTCAATGGATAGCGGAACTTCTGTCAGCATTTCCATGGTCGGGGGAGTTCTTGGAATCCCTTGCTTTACAAGTTCATTGACAAGCAAAGTTTTGGGGGACTGGCTACCCATTCAGCAGTAAAGAGTTTACCTTGGGGTTAATGTTCTGGCGCTGAGAATTGGGAATTGTATAATGGTTGGGGTTTATTTTGGTTGCTTATTTGGGAGTTACTGGGAGAGTTTATTACTTGGAAATACATTTTTGAGTCAGGGATTTGGTTTAATTTTAAAATAATCTATCAAAAATATACAAATTATATTGAAAGGGTTTGGAAATATAGGTTTTAAGCTTAAATAGGCATATTTTGTTATCAAGTTCATACAGAAAGTTCATAGATCTTTGATCATTTCAACAATTTAAATGATTCATCCATTTCAGCTACAACTTACCTATGACAAAGCATTGAAAGGGCTATCTTTTGTCCACTCAAAGTGAACACTTTAGGTCTTCTACAAGTGTCTAGCCCTGTAAGCCAGTCACGTTCTAAACGAACGCCCGTTCTAATGCAATATTTCTCCCCAAGAGCACGTACCGTACGTATTGCATAAATATATACCAAATGAGTCAAATGCAAAGGGACGGGACTATTGTCTATTGAATTCTAATGCTGCAACCAGGAAGTGCGTGCAGACAGCGCCCAGCGGTCAATTGGAATCGTTTGTGGATGGCAAATTGAGATTGATTGGCTATATCGGGAGAACAATTGGGCCAAAAGTTCAGCTCTATTACTTATTTCAAGTATTTTCAAGTATCTGTGCAGTGTCAATCTTATCTGGAGAACATGTAGGGGGTTCCAAGTGAATCACTCTCCTCTAATGATGAAATTAACCATTTCTGGGATCGATTTTTAGCAGGTTCCATGGCTAACCAGTTCCGTTGACCTTCACACAAACGTTTCTAAGGCGTTTTCGGGCTTGGAACTACGCATAATTAACACGCTGCCAGCACCAATGAACGACCCTGAACCAAGTAAGTACCCAAAAATATTACGTGACGTCACTGCGGGGGTGTGAAACATCCAAACTTCTTCCAAAACTGAAACAGAGCTGGATTTCTTTTGAAGTTATTATTATTATTATTAGTCCTTAGTTAAACGGTGTACATTACATTATTACATAAATTAAATAGAGTCAAATCCAAGCGTGTTTACGTGCCAGAAAAGCTGCGAAAATTGTTTTTCAACAGCAGGACAACAAAGAAAATGCCCACGGCAATGGAAAGGAGCTGCACGTTGATCACCTTCGAGTCGACCAGGGCCTGCAGCATGTTGTAGATACTCTCGCTGCGCACTTCGTTGCCGCAGCAGTCCATGAAATGTTGAAAATTGTTGAATTTATAAACGCTTTTGTGTAAGAATTTTGTTTTGTTTGCAAACAGCTGTGAAATAAGTGGGACTGTGGGTTGGATACACTTTTTATGCTGTAATGTTGCGAAAGAAAGGGTGGTATTTCAAGGCAAAAAAGGCTGGTCACACTTAGCCTGGTGGAGGTTAAATTTTGCTCTTATTTTTAGGTTTTTCAGCATTATATGATATTGAAACGATATTAAATAGTGGCCTAGAGGTTAGATATAGCTCTTGACTTGCTTTATCTTTACAACAATAAATAAAAACAGTTATAAAAGTGTTAAAATTTCTGAATAGTTGGCAACGCAGCTTAAACAGCTGTTTGCCTAGAATAACAAATTAAAAATTAATAAATTTATGTAAAATATCACATTCTCGAGTAGTTTTTGTTAATTATATTCCACACAATCACAATACCATAAAATTCCGCTGCATTGCAACCGAAACACACAACTCGCTTGAACTGTGGGTCTAGTTTTATTAATTATTTTAACATAACTATTTGCTATTTGGGTTTCGATTATTCGTCGTTCTCAAAGTCAGCGGGGTTCTTGCGCGCCAGGGCATGGTGCTTGCGCTCGGTCAGATCGTAGATCAGGTATCCCAGGATGAAGGCTACAAGGGGGAACCAGATTATAACCATATCATAATAGAGATTCCAGGGTTTACTTACGAGGTGCCACAATAAAGACATTGGAGCGGAAGCGACGGATCATGTTGGGCACACCGTTGCTGATGGCTCCGGCAAAGGCACGCTGCTCGAAGGGCGACAGCTTGTAGGTAACGATGCCGTGCACCTTGGCCAGATTGCCGAAGTGGGCTCCATTCAGAATCGAGGACAGACGCATGGTTCAAGCTGCAAGGGAACAAGGGGTACGGGGATTAGCAGCTGCAGAGGAAGTGGACCAGGATCTGGATGAACACGCAGATCGTTATTATAAACATTATGATGGGCACTGCACTGATCTGCCTGCGCTGGGTTATGTAATTTTCGCTTTGCTCCGCGTTTGGTGGCGGCCAAGAACGTCTGTCGCCGGGTCCGATCGCTGCACTTTTGGCAGCCCATAATTGTGCATATTTTTAGAGCCCAGCACCTGTCATTGCGGGGAATTATGATGCCAAATTTTACCTTGGAATTCGACTTTTTTTTGTGCAGCAAAAATTTTTGTCGTCGACTTGACCGGTGTGACCGTATGTGGTTAGGATAGGGTGTTACCAGGCTACTTTAGGCTTTGGCAAATTTGAAAGTGGAATACAATTTAAACTATCTGTTTTGTCTTAAAAAAATTGTTTAAAAACTTAAAATTTTTAAGTAAAATTCTTGATTTTGTTAAACATTTATTTGGTCTATTATCCCCGTGTTTGGCTGTGAACGTTAAATGTCAAAATAAAATTTTACGCGTGTAGACTTATTGCGGACTCAAACCACGGAGAGAAACTTTATCATGGACTAGAACCTGGTTCTTCCGTTAAAAATTATAATTCTTATACAATTATTACTAGCAAAATATTGTAAATATATAAAATAATAGCAAATAGTAATTCAAAATATTTCAACAACACATATATTGAACTTACATTACTCAGAAAAAAATATTTTGATGCTTTTAAAAATCTCCACAAATTTTGGAAAGTTCTTTGAGTAATAAACTTTCAGAAATGCTCTTAAAAACAGTCACTTTTGATTTTAAAATGTAAAAGCAATATCACAGCTTGCTCCTTTACATTTTGAAAATAATAGTTTTTCCATCTAATTAATAAGAATAAAAATTTAGGATGTTTTACAATCTAAGCTTAAAAATTTCCTCGCTCTTAGATCAAACTATAAACTTTAAAATTTCTAAACTCCTATCTTTTATTTTTTGTTTTTTTATTATTTTTTTAATGATTAACATTTTGTACAGTTATGAGATGATGCATCTTAAAATTGAATAAATATTTGCGTATAAAAGGACTACACAAATGGACAAGATTTCACAATAATGGCAACAACAAAACGTTGTTTTCGGTTTACAATACGTAGACAAAGGTCCAATACAAGGCGTTAAAGGCCAGAAACATGGCGGGAAATAGGAATCTAGAACGTCGATCAATCCACATGGCAATCTCCTGCGGCGTCATGGTGGTGAAAGTGGGCGGCGTGTCCTTTTTATCCTTGTCCATGTCCACAATATGATCGTTGCCCGTCGTCCGCTCACTGCAAATGGACACTGTGTCGGCGCACTCGGTTTTGATGATGGGTAAATTGGGCTAAGGAAGGGATAAGATATTATTATTACATCTTAAAAAGTTTATTTTAAGACTTACATGCACTGTGAGGTAATTGTTGAAACCCTGATTCACAGTGCCATTGCCATTCCGCACACTCTCCGTGCTGGAAACTATGTTGTCCAGGCTGGAGCAGGATCTGGCCCGGGAATCGTTGCTTAGACTTCCACCAATTTGTCTTCGTGCCGGTCTTGGGGTGAGCGTTGACTTGATGATGTACTTGCTGTTGACCTTCTTCAGCTCAATGTTCTCCTTGCGACGCCAAATTGTGTTCACAAAGGCAAACTCCACCATGCTGCCGAAGATGAAGAAGGTGCAGCCCAAGAACCAGATCTCCGAGACCTTGATGTAGCTCACCTTGGGCAGGGTTTTGCTCTGCGTTGAGGAGAGAGTGATGAACGACAACATGGTGCTGGTTCCTAAAAAGAAAATATAAATTAATTAAATTAATATTAAATATTAGAGAAACTCCCTCAAGCTTACCCAGCATTATGCGTGGAGGAGAGGCATCAGCCTGCAGCCAGAAGGACACCCAAGATATGGCCACAATCATCATGGAGGGCAGATAATAGTCCAGCAAATAAAAGCCAATCTCACGCTTCAGATTCACCGTGAAGCTCAAGGAACTGTAGTTGCCCACTAAGAAAATATCAAAGGGTTATAAAAAATAACCTTCGAAAAGTGTTTGAATCTTATACCAAAAGCTCCATGCCGCAGATTCCTGTCATCCGCCATGACCAAGGTTTCGTTGTGCCAGTATTGAGCCATGTTGTACTCGGTGAGTCGCATTTCTGGGTCAAAGGAGATGGGGTTACTTTTCTCCCACTCCAGCACCAAATCGGAGGTGTTGTACATCCCTAAAAGCATTAAATAAATATTAATTCCCATCCTAAACAGGTATCCACTTTGCAGACTTACAGCTCTCCAGGACCGTGTAGCAAAACTGCTGATCAAAGGGAAACTTTTTAAAGTCCATCCAGCAGTATAGAGTGGCCTCCATCCTGGTGGAGATGATCACATTGCCGTCGGGGGCCAGTGAGGTAAGGACATCCTTCTCATCGGTACCCAGAATGCTGGAGTCGCGTTCGTTGGCAAAGAAAATGTGTGGCAGCCACAGCCGCTCGCTGAGATGTTTCTGGCCCAGAATGGGATCGGTTCTCTGGGCCTGGATGAGCTTGTAGGCCAGACGCTTGTCCTGGAAACTCAGCTGTAGAAGAGCATGCATCTTAAACTGCAGCAGATCAGAGTTGAGATTCTGCAGGAAGTAAACGTAGATCCTGGTCTTTACCACAGTGGGTAAGCGAGCTGCTGTGACAGGGTCGTATTCTGAGGAAAGAGAAAAGGGTTTAGGATATTTATTTGGTATATATAGAGAGAGAGGTATTGTTACCTATGGGCCTTTCAAGGCGATCGTAGCGGCAGACATGGGTTAAGCGTTGAATGAGCTGCGTTTGCTGGAGGTTCTCTGCATTGGACAAGGAAGGACAGTCCTCGTTCTCTTCAGTGGTGTTGGTGGCACTGAAAGAATTGTTATTATATTACTCGAAAATATCGTAAAGGATATATCGAAAATATCGCTTTATATATCAATCTTCCATATCAAAATTTTCTTTAATTTTTTACTTAAATTCGTATGCCATAATCAGTTTTAAATTGTGCAATATAGCGTAATAATATCCCGTAATTCCTTGAAAATAAAACCGTTTAAGGTGTTATTTTAAGAACCCATTAAAATTACCTCCAGGAATTTTAACCATAGGAAATTTTTTTTCTCCAGGTAAGTGAACACCTGAGCAGCTGTGCAAGCTAATTTGCAGCTACCTTAAATCGCCAAACAACAAAATAAATGGCAAAATAAAATATAAATAATGGGAAAATAGTATGTCTCTTTGCTTATGGCGCTTGCTTATTATTTATATTTAACTTTTGCATTTTAACTTTGTTATTTTCAGCTTATTTGTTTATTATTATTTGCTTTGCTTGCGCAATTCCAGAGTTGACCTGCTCTCCGGCAACAGGAAACTAATTATAAACCTATTGATATAGCGCCACGATCTTGAACCTATTCGATAAGAAGTAGGCTTCGACCTTTTGGCGCACTTCAAAGACCCAAATGCCGACAGTAAATAATTTTCGCTGCGCCTTTGGGGAAAATTCTTAATTAAAATTCCTAATCTCAGGTAGCCGGAGGATTTATTTCCGCAAAAATCGTTTGAGATTTATCAGGGGCTTTGGGGGAATTTCATTGGCAAAGAATTATTTTCTACAAGTTGTAGTAGAAATTTTCCCAGGGACAGGAAGTGTTTATAAACAAAGTTACAACATGCGTAACCCGTTTTTCCCTTATCTCAATAAGTACTCTTCATGTAAACATTTTCTCTTGAACATCGTAAGATTTCATTTTCATTATCAGACAGTATTCAAGTGTCTTTATCAAGGCATCTTTGGAAATACTCGAATGTGTTCTCTGCGTTTCTACTATATCTTTTTAGATCGTTTTTTTTTGTTTTTTGGAAAGTTATTTGCTGCTCTTGCTGCCAAATCATAAAAACAAAAACCTTTAAGCTAAATATAGATAGATTTCTGGCAAAAAGAGACACTTTTTTTTTATCAGAGAAAGAGACACATCAATTTGAATGAGTTATCTGAAGTTTTCGTGGCTGCTGGGATTTCCCTTTTGAAATTCTGCTTCAAACTTACCCAAAAGAGGCTTGTAGGCTGCAACTGAAGATCAGCATAATCCAAAGAATTTGTCTCAGGCTTTGATGATCCATATTTTATATTATTTTATTTGATTTTTTATATTTAATATTTAAAGTGTTACTTTAACAACTGATTTCTGTGGTGGTCGCTGGCTAAATGATTCAATTCCGTTGACTTGTCAAATTATATGCTCATGTTTCACACGATCTCCTCGCACTAGCTAGCAACACTCACATTCACTTCACACATTCACTTGGCAATTAATGCAAATCCAGCTCGACCGTTGATTTTTATTCGATTTTGTAGTTGTACGAATTTTCCTAGCTGCTTTTGTGGAGGACGAGCGATTGGTTGAGTTGCCTGCCTGCCTGTTGCTCCGTTCTCTGGTCGTCGGCGGTTTGAGATCGCGCCGGGTTTGCGCCCCCCAGAAATACCCGCAAGATGCGAGTCCCAGTCCGCTCCGTTGCCGAACAGCACTGATTCGTGGGTGAATCTACGACGATCTAGCCCTCGGCTCTGTCTCCGATCTCAGCGTTGTTTATTTCGCTTTATTTTTTGGTTTATTTTTTAACTGTCGTTTTCGGCTACTGATAAGGCTAGGTAATATTTTGGTAACAGCTCTCCGGCCCCAAGCCAAACTCCACTCCGCGCGCACTCCCACTTGACGGCGGGAACAGTAGTAGCAATTGCTGGCGGCTGGTCAAGAGCTGGAAGGCAATAGCGCAGGGTCGATTGGGGATCGCCTCACTTATAAGCGTTCTATAGACCATATACTAGATACAAGATCAGCCGCGTGCGTTTTTGTCACTGAAAGAAATTGAAGTCTGATACAGCTTGGATATTTATGGGATCAAAAACATAGAAACATTTCTACCAGCTTTAAATTTAGTTAGATTTTTAGTAATAAACTCATCTTTAATAGGAAAATGTTAAATAAATATATAAACAAATATTAAATTAATTAAGCTAAAATATTTTTAAATGCAATATAATGCAATTATTGATGTTTATCGATTTAAAATCGATTTTTTCATATGACAAGATCGAAAACATGGACACACCTTTTTCATGTTAAAATTGATGAAAGTGTCAAGGTTTTCCATCAATTTATTTAACCTTTAACAAAATAATTAGCTTTAAATTTGTAATAGTTAGTTGTAGTTAAATGATCTTTTAATTTAAAAACTTAAAAAATCGGTTGTTATCAATATTTACATAAAAAATACAACAATTTGGAAGAGAAAGAGATTATTTAACTATTTAATTTTCCACATTTATCTAATTTAATAATATTTCAATTTAATTTATAATATACACTTAAATATTTTATAGTTATTTTCGTAGCTATTTTCGTTGCTACAGTTAATCATCTTTTTTTTTGCTGTGCATAAATCGGAAGCTTCGCAGTTGCGTCTGTTTGCAAACCGGTATCTCCATCTCGTATTGGAAAATGCACCGAATCAGAATAAATAATCGTAACATTTATGAAGGCATTACATTTTTTCTGTCATTTGCATTAGCATACCGCGGAGCTGCGATCAGTGATCAGTGATCAGCAAGTGGTCTCTCCACAGAGCATATGACTGCCTGTTTGCCCAAGTGTCTAATGGCAACCGGCACCTTTCTCCACCCCCACCCGCACCTGCTTACTTCTAATTAAGTTTGTAAATGCAATGTTTGCGCACGCTCTCACCTTGTTTGGGCTTCACTCCACTCCATCCCCCGATGATCCGACTCCCAGTGGGTTCCGCTTCCAATCCCGGTTCAACAAACCCCGATTGATTGTCCCCAAACAATGGCGAAACAAACTATTTAATTCTTATCAGACGAACTGCTATCCTCCCTGGTTGAACGATCGGGCCAAGGGATTATGCTCAGAGGTCGGCATCGGAATCCCAAAGCTCCACTCCCAGATAATAATATAGTGAGGCCCAGAATAATAACGTTAATAATAATGAGCTGACGAAGGCGAAGCTAAAGCCGCGACGTGACACAGAATTAAGAGTGTGACAATAATTGAATATATGACAAATTGCCAATAGCGGAATGAGTTAATATCGTTTTGTCAAACACAATTAGTTGGCCAAGTCGTACAGAAGCCTGAAACTTGAGTGGGATCCCGAGATTATTGTGGCTTGTTGTTATGTTTGAATGATTTATATGGCAGATATATGTATACGAGACACTTTTGAGTGTTAGGCACGAGTCAATAGACGAGTTTTTATTTGATTCGATTCACTGGTTGAGTGGATGCTGTTAGAGATGTACTCATCTCCTGAAAAATTATTTAATTTATGAGCAAGTCATAATTGTTATGTGTTTTGTGATGTGTATATTATGACGTTTAACTGTGAATATATGTGGGAAAAGGCACTGGGAAAAATATTATTTATTAATTATTTACTGAAGAGTCTTTAAAGAAGATTTCTTTATAATATAGAATTATAATTTTAATATTTATTTAATTTATTTTATAATAATAATGCTAATTTTGGCCATCTTTCTTTTATCGGTCGGCCATTTTGTAATATGGTTTCCCTCTAGCGGATGTATAACAGTTGTTCTACAAAATGGCGCCCAGTAATGGCTTCAGGATAAGGAAGACATGTTTATGCAATCTAAAAAAGAAGGCATTTTAAAGTAAATAAGATATTTTAATTTCCCTAATTCAAGGACATTTAAATTTAACACTTTAAATACCATAACATTGTAATTAAAGTGTTACATTTCAATTACCATAACCTTGTAATTACAGTGTTAAATTTAAATTACCATAACCTTGAATTAAAGTGTTAAATTTAAATTATATTGGTTTAATGAAATTAAAATATTATTTTAAAACTTCTCATACTATTCCGTAAATTCTACCTGCGTCAATCCTTAGCCTTTCCTTGGGGACTTTTCTCAATTTCTCACCTCTTATCATCGGCTGGGGTTTATTTTGGGAACTTTAATTAAACGAATTGTTCTCGTGGCTGAGCATATTTGATCTGTGAATATTTAACAAGAAGAAGGCTTTATTTAATTATTTCTTCGCATTGCCAAGGCAAACAACAAGCACTTGTGGTTGGTTGGGTTCTATTATTCAGGAGCAGCAAACGGATTGCTTATCGCGGCCGCTTGAATGTGAGTGTTTACCAGAGTCATTGCCATGGCCCCCGGCCCCGTCCCGATCTTGGCCGGATCCGGCGTAGGTGTTGCTTACCCGTGGCCCGTTTAGAGGTTATATTGTCTTATTTGCAACGATTTTTATGGGTCGCCGCCGCCGCTGAACAATGTGATTTTGTGTGTTTGCCCACAAATATTGAACCATCCATATGCGTAATCTTTGAGGTCCTGGTTAGCACGTGATAGGGTTCGATACCAAGGTATCTAGAGATCTTTAGCATTTATCTCACCTGCAGATGAGGCAGGATGAGTCACCACCAGAGAGTGTCGTGTCTCCGGGGGAGCTGAGGCTGCAGCGGAGAAGGTGGTAAGTTCTTTATCTCTGGACAACATCTGGCAGGCAGTAGACAGTTGCTTGTGTTTGGGATCGTCACAAAATAAGGAAAACAAGCGAAAAAGTTTAATTAATTAAAACAAAATCAACAACAACAACATGGCACTGGGTGCTATGCAAATAGAAGTGAGCAAATATCGCAAATAGAACTGCAAATAATCGAAATTAAAAACGTGTAGTATTATTATTGCGCTAGATAATCGCTCTTGGACCCTCTCGGTCCGAGGAGTCTCAAGTGGCTGTCGTCTAAATTTAAAGCGATGACAGACGAACGAACTGGGATGGCCCCTTTGGTCTATCTTTTGGGTTTCTTTTGCGCTGCTTCTTGGCCGCTTTTTAATAATATTTAGCCCGGGCAGGCACAATGGTGGGCACTAAATTCTTATCAGTTTTTTTCGGAGGAGGCGTACGTTCGCCTTCAGTGACGTCTTTCGGCTTTTCGTATTTGCTGCCCGCTTGAGCGTCCTAATATAATGTTTAATATTTGCTCTTGCCACCGGAGCGTATGCGTAACGTGCAGTTAACTTTCGTTTTATAAAGAATAAAAAAAAAATCATAGCGGAAGCTGCTGTAAAATGTCAGTTAGCTGAGTCAGTAGACGACGCTGGCAGAGATCGCCGGCTTTATCGCCGATCTGAGCGACGTGTTGAACAAGAGTCTGCCATCTTACCTATAGTAATTGCCAATCTTGAACATCGGGGCATTGTTTGCGGCAATAATTTCATGTTATCAGCGGCGAATAAACGAAGACGATGCCCCAAGAGCGGGTTGCCACAGATTGAATTTCAATATCGATTTTTGGTATAGGAAGAAAATTTAAAGGGGTTTCTGATTTTTTTTGGTAAATAAGTGATGTATTTTATGGGATAAACATTAAATAAAGGTGTGTTTATTGAAAATTATATAATAGTCACTCCTGTTAAACATATTTAATTATAAATAATTTTAATAAAATCTTAGCTACCATCAGTTTTTGAATTAATAATTTCCACATATCTCTCTTGATCAGCTTCTTTAAAGGTTTCCATTATCTTTCTCTAAAAAGTTAAACATAAAACACCTCATTCACGTGCTGCAAATATACCCCTCACCATGACAGACTTCTCCGCTTTGTTTTGCCAGTCAAAATAAAAGATCTCAGCAAGATCTAAGCTAAAATAAAAACTTGAAGTCGTAGGGTGATAATAAATCAGTTTTCCGCTTTTTTTTCGGACTCATTTGGGGAAGTTCTATGACAGGCGGCTTACGTGGACAAGAAAAGATTTAAATAAATTAAGTCAGTCTGCTTGCTAAGCAAAAAAGCGAAATCACTCGGATATACAATATGTATGTATATAGAATAATTATTATAACAAACTCCAGAACTTTTTTAGCTAGACAGGGCAAGTTATGACTCAACATACATTAGTGTTTATCAAGAAAATAAAAAATAAATATATAGGTATATTTTAAGAAGATAAATAAAATTTGATAAAGAAAATTCAAAGACAAAAGAATTAATTATATTTTGGGTGTTTATAAATAAACAAAGAGATTAATCAGGCATATTTAATACACTGATATTTTTCACAATATTTAAAAATGATTAAAAGTTATTATCTCTTAAACACAAAGCAACTAAGGTAATCTATAAAAATTATAAGGGTATTACCAGAAATTAGATTTTCTATTTATGATTAAACCAAATATATAAATTTAAATCTGTAAATTAAGTTGATTAATAATTTCATTAAATATGAATTAATTTATATTTTTCTCGGTGCACACAAATTGATTTATCGACTTGTACCACCCATATTTATTTATTTATTTTTTTGTTTTTTCCTACAAACTGGAAGTTCCAGTTCAATGCATCTTAGTACGCCGAGCAGAGAAGATCTTGAGTCACAGAATAGGGAAATGTAACACAGATATTATTCAATAATGTAACTGACTATAAAAAATAACTAACATAACTATAAAAACCATCTCCTTTGAAGAAGCTAGGCGGCACTCCTTTAAATGGACTCTTGGGGCGTATACTTGATATTTTGGATAATATGTTTTACGTAGAATCAGCTGGCTCTCAGCATTATATATATAAGGACACAGCTTCTTGCTGATCTCTTGTTGTTCTGCATTGCTTCCTCCCAGATGAAATTTCTAGTAAAAAGTTTTCTGTAAATATTTATAATATTTTATATTTAAATTATATTTTACTGGAGTATAAATAATAGCAAATAGTTCACTTTCCTGTATCTAGTTTTCAAATTAACTATTTTTCCGCTGGCTAGTGATGATACCACTGCGATAGGCTTAACATAAAAGAAATAATCGAATATGCACTGAAAAAGCTCAGGCCATAGCTTCGCTCTCTTATCGATCGAGAGCTTGCCTAAAACGGTTTGGCGCACTTTAAGCTTTTATTTAAATAAAAAAAACTTGATTTTATGGAGTCTGTTTATAATTATTATATGTACTTAAACATTTTAGTTTGATATTCCCAAAAGTAGTACTAGAAACCCACTTTTGGTTAGCCAATTTTCGAGTGCATTCATTCGCTGTTCAATGGATTATGGATTTGCTTTGGTTTAGTTCTTTTGGCGGACACACAAATAGATACAGATTTTGTACTAGTGAAAAAGGAAATAAGAGCTGAGCGGCTGCTGCTCTACTTCAGCTGCTTTTTCCTTTCATATTCGTGGATTTTTTTTTGTAATTTTTTGTTCTGGTTGTTTTTCGGTGTTCAGTTCTTAGTGGAACAGATATATACATTTCTACATAGCTATATATTATAGGTATGAAATCTGTGGGCTACTCGAGTGTGTTGTTGTTCGCTTAGATGCAGGCCGTTTTATTAGTTTGTTTATTCGGGTTATACATACATTCACTGTTTTTGGCTGTGGTTTCTTTTTGGAGAGTTGTCTCTTCCTTTTATACCTTTCCAGCCTGAGCCTAGGGATTTCCCTTATTAGTTTTGGTTATTTAAGGTCTTCGTTCTATAATATTAAGTCTAACTTGAAGAACAGTTGTCAGATTAAATACAAATTCAAATTTTTTAAATCTCACTAAAATTATATTTGTATTAATTTTCAAGTAGAATTTGTTAAAAATTATAACAAAATATTTTAAAATTTAAATTATAGAAAATATGGATGAACTGTACTTACCTTACCTCAAAAACTGATTTGAAAAATGTCCTTTTTTCGAGCAACAGTTTTGCCTTGCAGTCTTTGCAATTTCCTTTGTGGTTGCTCGTCGCCAGAAGAGGTTTTTCCAATGCCCTCCCGCGTTTTCCCCGAAAAATGGTTAGCAGCAGCGACCTCAGCCTTTCAGCCATTCACCTTGGCCGTCGTGTGCAATTAAAGGGAAAAGTCGTTTGCATTAAAAACCCATTTTGTGGATTTGCATGGCGGTTGCTCCATGACGGCGTTGTTATTGTTGTTGCTGCAGCTATTTCTGCTTTGATTATTGTTCTTGTTGTTGTGGGTGTCTGGCTGTTTTTGTAGCTGTTGTTGTTGGTCTTAGAAACCATTTTGATTTGCGTACGGCGAGTGGGCCTAACACTAACTAACACACGCACATAATTGCCTGCCATCGTAATGGTTTAATGTCCTGTTGGTTGTTGTTATTTATAGTTGTAGTTGTTGTCCTTGCTATCCTTGTCTTGTTGGTGTTGTTGTTTTTATTAGCAAAAGTTGAGCAAGAGCCGCAGGCGAGAGGGAAAAATAGGGAGAGAAACCAAGGCAAAGAGATAGACATTAAAAATTTTAGCTTATTTTAAAAGATTGTAAAAGATTTCATAAAATAAATTTAAAAAAACATATTTATATTTATGTAAGTTAAATTAAATTAAGATTTTTTTAAAGTATTTTCCACTGAATCTTTAAAGGAAGATCTCTATTTAAAATATCAATAATTAGAATTAATTCCAATTACCCTAGAAAATAGTGCTGTTCATGTCTTCTTAATATTATAATTATAAAAAATATACTCCTATATCTTAATTAATAGTTTTTTAAATATTTTAAATTCTACAGCTTCAAAGAAAACATTTTGTAAAGAATCCTTAAACGTTTCCTTTGAGTGCACACCCACACCTAAGCAATTAAAGACCAAAAGACTGAGAGTTATTCAAGGATTTTCGTTGGCTGGCAAATTGCCCGCTGGCAGGGAGTTTGAGGGGGCGTGTGGGAAATGGATCAAGGAGAGGGGGCAAAGTTCAATCGAAGACAGTCCAACAATTCGAGTTTAATTGATGACAGTCGACGTCGTCGTCGCAGAACGTGTGCGTGCGTTGGCATTTATGAGCTGAGCTGAACGGAGTTCCATCGAAAAGAAAAGCCTGCTCTTTTGCCACCTGGCGAATGGACAATGACTGAGCCGTTGATTGGCAATGGGTGCCAGGTGTTCACTCACCTACAGGATTCCCATTATTAGTCCCACTTGCGTGTATTGAACGGCAACAGAAAAAGTCCTTTGGAAACTCTGATGGTTAATGAAAATATTACGCATACGACATGTGGTCTATAAGAATCAGAAGCCACTTAAGCATTTTATATTGTCAAAACTTTAATTTTAATTATATTTTCAGTACTTAATACTTAAATTTTCTTATTTGTATTCTTAATTTCTTATTAATTACTTAATACTCACCTTATCCTTATTAATTACTTTAACCTTCCAGCAATAATTATCTCCTTGGCAACTTTTTACTGGTAAAAGCCAGCTGCAGCTTCCTTTGACTTCCAATTTGAGGCTTTTTCAGGCGTTCCAACAAAGCTGGTGTCCTGCTGTGATTGCTGTTGTTGCTCTCGGGGCATTGTTTACTTTGATGGTCCATCCCGAACCCGCTGTGCTGACTGTTAACCCGGTCGCTATTTACTGACGCTGCGGTAACTGCCCATTGCCATTGCTTTGGCTGCTGCTGCAGCTGTTGCTGCTGCAACTGCAACTGCTGCCGTGGACAATATCCTTGTTGGCCATTAATTTTGCAGGCTTTTGCGTGGGGCAAAATGGAAAAAATTGTCCAAGCCCGCCGCCATGGCCAACGCTTCTGGATAGATAGACAGGACGCTCGATAGTGTTCAACCTTTGGCCTTCCCTTTGTCTCTGCGTCAGCCTTTTGCAATCATTTCACTTTCGCTTTTCAATGTGAAACACTGGGGAAAATTGGAATTTTATCAGGAAAAGTTAAGTGGTAAACAATTTATTTAGTTTCTTATTTTCTTTCTTAATTTCAAAAGCTTGAAATTATAACATAAACTGCTTTTAATTTACAACCGAAATATAAATAAATTTGTTAATTAAAAATATATAACTTATGCTTAAGTGTTCTTTTTTAAACTATATTTGTTAGCTTCTAAGGTTTTTTCCTTTTTCCATCTATATTTTCCTTTTTCTATCTATATATTATCTATTTAAAATAAGAAATCTTTGACTTTTATTATTTATTTATTTATTTATATTTTTTATAATATTTTTATTAAATTATTGTAATATTTGAATTTCATTTTTGGAATATTTTTATATGATTTTCCCTTAAAATATGCATTTATTCCCTTTAATTTTTCGCTTAGTACATTTTTGTTTTTGTGCTCATTATCGCGATTGTTGCTGCTGCTGTCGCTCTGCGGTGCCTGTTGTTGTTATTTACTTTTTAATAATTACAGCTCTCTGCTGCAATTGTCCCTGACCACACGCTGAATGGGTCAGACAGAGAGAAAGGGAGGACGGGGGGGACAGTGACAGGGACAGGGACAGGGACTCCAACGGGACAGTTGGCCGGGACGGACGCGTTGATAAATTGCAAGCACAACGGAGAGACAAAGAGTAGCAGCTTACGGACAACACCCACACGGAAACAGACACCTCGCTTATTAGGTACAATCGGTGTCGAAACAAATAACCATAAATTCTTCAAGAATAGGAAAATATATATGTTAGTTGGTGAAGGAAAGTGAAGGATAACTGTCAAGGATATACATTTAGGAGCCAATTATCGGGGATTATCAAGTCATAAATTTACCAAAAATATGAATAGATTGCACATTTAGTTAGTTGAGAAAAGGAACCCAGGTAATATCTTATAATTAAATAAAGAAAATATTTTTTTTAACTTTGATATCTTCATCAATATAAGTATTTTCCTATAGAAACCAAAATATATATTTTTTAAATAATAATATATTAAGCACTATAAACTTCTTTATTTAGATTGTTATTTTTTCAATTCAAGAATTCTCTGCTATCTGCAATAAATTCCACTGTCTCATTACCATCTCCATTTCCTTGGTCTTCTCCATGGCGAAGGACGAACAATTTAATCAGTCGGTGGAGTGCAGAAAAGCTGATAATACCGTTATGAATAATTTACACACACACACACACACTCTCGCACACATTCGCAATGGAAAACTGAAACGCGTTTTATTATTGTTTCTGGTGTTTGTCTTTTCTGGTTTTATTTATAATTAATAAGGCAGACATCAAATAAGAGCGCACTTGTTGTTTACCCTCAGGCCCTTCCTGCGGAACCTTTAAGGAGCCGCGTGTGAAATCGTTTTAATTAGTCGCGGTAACTTGTTGCGGCTGAAATTGTAATTTGTCCAAGAGAATGGGCATTCCGTGAATGTCACATTCAGGCAAGATTCCTGCTGCTCCAGAGAGTAGAATTTCCGCAATTCGCAATTCGTGATTTGTGTCAAAATCAATGTGCCGCCGCCGCCGCCACCGCAAATATAATCTATGAAAGATGTTTGTGGTGGAAGCTAATATCGAAGTCAACCGCAGACACGCAAGACCGCAGTAAATGGAATAGCCAGAAATGGTCATTGAATACCAACATGATCCGAGGGTGATATTAGAGGCGGTGTAAGAAGGGAAGATTAAGAAATATTAAAACAGTCTTTATTATACATTTTAGTTTCTTTTTTTTTTGTTTGAAATAACAATAAATTAAACTTAACTTGTAGTTTTTATAAAAATGTTTGTGATGGTTGTTTTGTTTCTGAATTCTAATTGATAATAATAATTAATAATACACACGTAAGCTATGTTTTCTATATATTTTGTTCATGTTTTCTAGGGACTAGATTCAGTGAGTGCTTCGGAAAGCTGCAATTCCTTAGATCGATCAACTCGTTTTCGGCTGCTTCTCCTGGTAAACCACCTGAGCTTAGAACGCCTATGTGCTGCACTCATATCCGTTTCCCACTGGCTGCTCTCCCTCCCATTGGCCATCTTCTCCAGCTCTCTGTCCAGCTCCAGTTCGCTGGCATTGAGTATTTGCGCAACATGGGCCTCATCGATGGTGCCCTTGAAGATGAGTGGATAGGGCCACTCGTGGCATATCGTGGGTCCACTGTAGTTTCTCAAAGCCTCGATCATCCTGTCCAGGCGTAGCATCTCCTCATGGTCATCGTTAAACTCACGCACCTCATCCAGCAGAGCGGCCACATCGGATTCCAGTACCTGTGTTCGCGGGGAGGTGAAATTGGATTAGCCGTGGAAATCGCTTATTTTGCTCGATTTGCATTGGTTGTGCCGCTGAAAATGACACTGACAGCCGACAGTGACGGCGTTACGGTCATTGATAGCCTCACCAGGCCCACTGCCTGCCTCAGTTCTCCCCATCTCCAAGCTATTGCCTCTATTTCAAACATTCACCCACATCCCAAGCAGTCTCGGATTTCAGTTGCTATATCTTTTCGTGAACCTCGTCAATAGCGTCTCGTCTCTATTAGTGCCCAATTAGCGGAGACTCGGAACTCGGAACTGAGAACAGGGAACTGGGAACTCAAAACCCGGCCAACTAAGCCCATGTTAGGTGCATGTTACCAGAAGGGGCTCAGGCGCACACCCCCTAAGAGTACAGTGCTTTACGAAAAAATAGGTCTGGAATACGAGGAATATTTTTTGAAGGATCAAAACCTTGAAAGAAATATTTAAATAATTTTAATCAAGGTAATTTGAAAGGTATTTTGTTTAAATAAATATTTGATGATATTATTAATTTTAATAAATGAATATTAAATATTGAAAATAATAAATATATAATATTTGTCCTATTTATTGCTCTAGAATAAATAAATATTTAAACGTTGCTGGTTAATTTCTATAACTAATCTTTTTATCTTTTAATTTAAAATTTCTATAACTAATCTTTGTATATTTTAATTTAAAACCCTCCTATTTTCCTAACCCTGACTGTTCTGAAACATCGTTAACACCTTCACTTGCCTATAGCCGAACCGACATTGTCTAATTAGTAGTGCAAGTAATCACTGCCACCTGCATTTGCCATCCCCTAGAGCTACACCCCTGCATATACTACTCCCCTCCCCTTTTTGGTATTCCAAACAAATTGTTCCCAATAGCGAGGCTATAATTGCATTAACATGTTCCAAATCTCTGTTAACAGAGTTGGCCGGCAACCGGCTGTTAAACAACAGGTGATAACAGGTGGAAAGAGAAGGGGAATGGGCAGGTAAATGGGACGGGAAATGGTGACAACAACTAGATACAAAAGGCCAAAAAAGGGGTTAATAGATAAAATAGTTTGTTGGCAATGATAAAAGTGGAAAGTAACTAAAGAAGTTTATTAATTTGTCAAAAAAAAAAAGGTTGGGAATATCTTGGGGAATTATTTTCAGATTTAAGAAATACGGAATTTATTTTATATAAATATTATTAATTTTGTAATATTGTATTTGCAAAAACTGTGTTCAGTGGCTTGGTTATCGTTTACAGAAAGTGTTTGGTAAATAACTGATAACATTCCCTGAGAGATCGAGTGATAAGAAAAGTGGAACAAAGGCCTGATAAGCGGGGTGAAATGGAGAAAGGAGGCAATATACTATGTATGTATATAAAGATATATAGTACTGCTTTTATATATAAAATAAAGATACACAATGAAGTATAGCATATAAAAGACAAGTTCCTCTCTGATTTAATCACTTTTTCAGCCTAGAAAAACACTTTTTTTGTGGGTTTATATCCCCCCTTCAATTACCAAAAACTCAATATGCAGATTAATCACACATTTAAGAACTTGATGAACGCGTCCCCGTAAATTCTCAACGTTGAGCAGCATTTGCCGCCTTTGCTGCACCGCCGCACTAATTGACGACGTCATCTGCGTATTTGTGTTTCGTTTTATTCTTCAATTTTCGGTTCGTGTTTGTACTTTTTTTTACATGACGCTAATTTGAGTAATTTTTTGTTAGTTTTTTATTTATTTATTTGTTATTATTATTTGTCCGCTTTCAGTTTGTTCGTGGCGGCTTTTGTTGAGTTGGAATTCCGCTCGCGAGTAGCGCTCGCCGTTGACTGAGGTCTCTTCTTTCCACAAAAAAATAATATTGTTTACGCGCGTCAATCAGCCGGAGACTTTAGTGTGTGTGCACACTCATTCCACACACATGTATACTTAATCATACACATTTGTTGAAGAGAACAAAGAACCAAGTAAGAGCATACGTTTGAGCAGAGAAGAAAGCTCTTTAAGGGTAAAAACGGAAAGTAAACATGAATTTTGAAGTATAAATAAATATTTAATTTAATTTAAAATATTTAATTTAATTTTTTAAAATAAAATCTATAAAAAAAATGTTAATAAAACTTATTAAAACCAAGTGTAGCTTTTCTACAATTCCTTCTTTCAGTAACATATAAAATTTACCTTCTTAATTTCTTAATTTACAAAGTCTCATTAAAGATTTTTTTAGAAGATACCGTTGCTGAATTCCTGAAAGCAGGCACTACAGTTTGCAAAACTTCCTCCTGCACCTCCTGAAAGCAAGCAACGGTTTTGCTGTTGCTTGCAACCTGAGAGCAGGCAACCCAGAAGTATGCAGAGGAGGTTGGAACGTATTCATATGCAGAACGCAATGATTTTAGAGCAGCTCTTGCCGCCTTGTCTTGGCTTTAATCGAGCTTTTGTTTGGCTCAACCCGCGCCTCATGCTCCTGTCACACCCAAACCGAAAACCCACTCTCACACCCACACCCACTCCCTCATTCTCATTCTCATCTATGGGATCCCATATTGAACCCATCCCGCGCTGATGGCCAAAGCCAAAGCCAAGCCAAACAAGCATCAGCTGCCGGCCATTAAAATTTTAATTTTGTGCACCATTTGCCACCATCTTGGCCCACTGGGCACCGTCAAGTACCCCTGAAGTACCGATCCCATCTCGCCATAGCCATCGCCATCGCCATCGTCATAGCAATCCCGTCCAAAGCCCTTGGCTTGAGCGATTATGTTGATGGCCAGGCGCCGGTCGCTGCTTACCTGTGCCAGTGCCGCTCCTCCTCCTCCTCCTCCTTCCTGCTCCTGCTCCTGCTTGTCGATAATACGCTCAATTCAATTTGCATATTCAGTTGTCCAATGAAGCGCACACCACACAGCAGCAGCGGAGCGGGAGCGATCCCTCCCGGCCTCAATCCCAGGCAAAAGAACCCCAACGGTATCCCATCTCTTGCAGCATGTCCGTCCAGGCAAATCGCTTCCTTCTCTTCTTTTTTTTTTGTGAGAGTTGCTCTGAGCCATCCAGGTTGCGTTGGCCACTTGCAAGCAGCCGAAATGTGCCGCTGACAGCACCGCACGCATGAGCTGCATGAACAGCTTCAGTTTTGTTGGAAGCACGGCAAGAATTGGGGGGAATTTTTGGGAGAAAAAATAATAGAATTTGAAAAAGAACTTTGTGATTTTAAACACTTTTAACAATCATAAATATACTAAGAGGATCTTTAATGACTACAAATAATATCCCTTATTTCCTAATTTTCTAGATCTCTTATTTTTAAGGCTCATAACAAAATCTTCAAAAGAAATCCTTATATTTACCGTGCACTTGCAGATGCCTGGTTTCCGGGTCGTGCTGCTCCTTTGAATCCTGCCAGCGTGTGGAGTCGTCCTCACCTGCTGTTAGTCCATTACGTTAGCAATTTAACTTGCGCCACGTAAACATGATTATCATCTTAAGTGTGCAACGTGCGTGTGTGTGTGTGTGTGTGTGTGTGTGTGTGTGTGTGTGGGCGGTGCAATGTGCGTGGTCCGGAATCCTACCGAGCGGTTGGGTAAAAACTTCGCCGCCAGCTGCGGATTGTAAGCTCGTTGGCTCGCTATTTAACAAGTTTCAATCTGCTTAAAACTGCAATTAATTTAAACGCTATTTTCCCCCCCCATAATGGCCGAAAACAGTGGAAGAACAACAGCTCGGCAGTCCGGGACCCAATCCCCGAATCCGGATTTCAATCCGGTTAGAGTGCTGCCCTAATTGAGCTTGTCAAAATCAGCCAGCAGCAGCTGCAGCGAGGACACTCAGCTGCAGGATCCCGGCTCCCGTGGCCGGTGCTGACCAGGTGTTTTTCACCCGTCCAGGATTGGGTGCGGCCCCCGTGTCACCGGCAGGTGATTCGGGTGTCCAATGCGGCTGCTGATCCCGTTCAAGCAGATTGCAGCCGGAGGAATTGCAAACACACACACATTCAGACATCCTCCATGGTGCGATGGAGACGTGCGGGAAAATTGCAACAGCCGCTTGATTAATTTGGGGGCGGATCCCGGATAAAATTTGTGGGCGTGGCTGCAACGCAACACCATTTTAAGGTCCCTGCTAGGAGGAGGATGATGGGTGTGTATGTGCAGGGTAGCCGCCCTGATGAGGGTATATGTGATACAGGGGGAGGGTTTGTCCGAAGAAGAAGTTGTTTTTTAATTGTTAAAGAAAGAAAAAATTATTTTAAAAAATTACAGAAATCTTTAAAATCTGAAAAATTATATTTTTAATATAAACTTTAGAAGAATATATATTATTTGCAAATTTTTCAATGATATATTGGCCTAAAAAATATAATTGGTACAAATAGTGATTTTAACATTTATTTATTAAGTAAAAACCCAATTTCTTTTTTAAATTAAGTTTTTATTATATGATTAATGTTGTCTTGTGGCAACTTCGTCCTTTATAGTCTCGAAATTAATTTAAAAAGTGTCTAAAAATAAGAAATGAATATTTTAAGTTCAAAATTTCTCGCTAATTTGTTTATTTTCATGTCTAATATTTTTTAGAATATTTTTCATGTATTTATTTCAAGGATATGTTTATAAAATTAGACATTCCTATTTGATCTAATTAATATTTTATGCAATAACGTTTCTCCATAACAGAATAACTCATCTAAAACCCATAATTCCAGGGAACTCAAAGAATATAACCCATTCAGATGACCCTTTTTGGCACCCTCACTACTTGCCTTTGCCGCCTGACAGGGTAAATTCCGAGCTTGCAAAAACAAGGACCTCTGCAAAAGGCAAAGAGTCCATCAGACAGACAGAGAAAAAAAAACATAGAGAGAAAAAAGGATAAAGCACACAGACAACTGCATTTATGAATGCAAATATTAATAAAGATATACGCACACAAGCACGGACTCTGTCAGAGGCAGCGGCAGAAAGAGAGGGCAACACAAAGTACCGTTGACAAACCCATTATCAGGAAAACAAACCGGAGATTAACTTGGCAAAATGTCTGCAGACGTCGAAAAAAGCGTCCATGGAGTGGCCAGCAAGTGCGAGCGAGAGCGGCTAACCAACACATGCTGAATAAAATATGAGCAAAAGCACACACACTCACACACATACACAGAGAGAAAAAGAAAGCAACAGGATAGCCGAGAGAGAGAGACAGCATTCGGTGCTGTAAAAGTGACACATGAGCGTAATAACAGCTAAGACCTTGCTAAGCATCCGGCAGTCAACAACCACTTGCTGGATCCAAATCCGAATCCGAATCCGGCGCTTATCCTCCTAGCCCTTGCCTATGGCTTCATACCTCTTTTTGCCAGCCATCCCGCCATCCGTCCATCCATCCATCCTTCCTGGACGAGAGCATCATCAGCATCCCCGCCTGGTTTTTGGGCCGTCGCTGCACTCAGCGTGATTACAAATTATAACGTCTGAGCAATCGCCGTCAGCTCGGCTGCAGTGTGTGCGTGTTGTGTGTGTGTGAAAGGGGCGGAACCCGGTTACCGCCCATAGGAAATATAACTCCACAACTTTTGTAAGGGAAACTGAAAGAAAAAAGGGATTAATATAATAAATATGAAATATTAATTTAATAATAACTTACTTTTGAAATGTTTGTTCTAAAATTTCATTTGGAGGGGCTCATTGGAAAAAGCTTGCTTCACTTAAAGTTAACTAATGAACCCTTCGAAACGAATATTAAAGAAAAATCATTGCCTACTTTTAGACACATTTTCTATGGATTTAAAATCTTCAATTAACAAAAAATGTCCCAGAAACCCTTTAAATTATAACAAAATCCTTCACTTAAAAGCTAACTATTGTAAGAAATCATTCTCAACTTTAATTTATAAATAACTAGCTCAGAATTTCTCCAAGTGCTCCCTGCCTTACGCCGCCAGCTGTATTTCCAAGGAGGAAGAGGCCTGCTAGGGGGTTGAGGAACGGTTAACGAATTTGCTGCACGCACCGCTCGCCAGATTCCGCTCCGCTCCGTTGCCTTCTGGTGGTTGGCCAGACAGGATGCCCGGGCTGTGCTAACCTTGCCCCTGGTTGGTCCTGTGCAACGTCCAACCCCCTTTGCCGCCGCATCCTCATCCTCATCTGCTTAGATAATTCCGTTAGCCTGCAGTGTTTTCGTTGTTGTGCCAATAACTTAATTATGCATTTGCCAGCAAATTGCTGTAAGCACTTTTTTTGTGCAGCATTTAAAATGGCGTCTGCGCCTCCGGAAAGGAAAAGCGTAGCGCAAGCGAAAGGATCACGGGAAAGGATGTGGGCACCTGTCTGGCGGCAGCTTTGCACTTTAAGCCCAAAAGCTGGCAAACGTAAGCCCAGGTGAACAAGTGTTTTTGGGCTGTTTCCAAAATCTCTAGAGACTTAAAATCACTAGCCTAATTGTTGGTAAATGCAGTCTGGCACATTACTAAGCCTGTGAGCTATTTTTGTTTTAATTAAATATTAAAGCAGACAAAATAATAATTAGTGAAACTAAAAAGGGCTTTTAAAAGTCTCCTAAAATGTTTTAAAATTAAATTTACCCTTGTCTACATTTAATCAAAATATTAAAAAAAATTTTCCCAGTAAAAAATTTATTTTAAAAGTCTAAACAGACATTCCACAAATTTTTTATAGTAAAAAAAGCGGCATAAAATATTTCATGACGCACTTTTGGTACATCAAAATGATTGTTTTTAAATCTCTAGAGAATACACCGGCATAAAATGTTTTACCTCAACTTTAGGTTGTCGTTTCTAAATGGTTTTGGCACACTCAAACAGTTAAGC